AAGAAAGGTATACCGACAAGTAATAGTTCGACTACTGAGCTGGCACCCTGTATAGATCTGGAAGTTAACGACTTCCCATGGGTTAGTTTAATTTTCATCTCAGGATTTGTTGAATACTACAAAGAGCGAATTACCTAAGGTTGAACAATCGTTAACTTCCGAACTAACACTGTTTCGTGTCATGTTGAAATCGGCTCATTTGCATTAGTTCAGGTTTCGATTTTGAATTATTTTTAGGTTTAGGTTGAAATCGACTGGAGGTCATAGTTTGGGTTGGAAAAACCCGCCAGCAAATAGTTGAGGTTGAAAAATACCGTTTTCCCGCTTTTCAATTTGAGATATTTCGATTATGTGGTGATTGTGATCGCTAACTAATGAGATTGGGTGACTATAAAATTATAAATACGTCCGTTTTGGAACGGAATACCCGTTTAGTTATCAATAAGACGAGTGATTGGAACGAACATTTTAAATTGATCCTTAATTGTTTCAGGAAGCTTTAATTTATAAAACTTGGATTTTTTTTGGGAAACTTTTTAACAACTATTACGAGATGAGAGATTGGAAATGTTACACTAATACACATATGATGTCATTACCTTGTTTAAATCGCTTGTTATATATCAGTTAAAAAAATTCAACAACTAGTTTCAAAAGGACAATCTTTTCTAAACTTGATGCCCATATAATATGTATGTTCATTTTATTTTTCTCGGTCAACTTGTTGTTTTGGATCAGAAAAATTAACTCATCAAAATTTATAACCATTTGAGAAGAAACGCAAATAAATCTATATAAGAAAGATTGACTTCAAACCAAAGATGAAAACACTCGCAAAATAAATATGACTAATCCCGATATCAGACACACGTCCTTATAAGCGCATTCAACCTGATAAATGAAAAATCATGGAAATTCCATACATTTTTGTATTAATACTAGAATTTAACCCGCGGTATACCGCGGGACTATATTTTTAAGAAAAATATAATGTTATTTTTTAAAAGATTAACTGAAGATATATCATATTAATTTATATTTTTAAATGTAGATATCTATCTATCAATTTTGAAGTATAGATACGAAAACATACATTTTTTTAAGTAACGATATATGGTAGATTTTAAAATTTTAAATATTTTACTCTGCAGTATACCGTGGGTCGGTTTTTTTATAACTAAAAATATTAAATTTAAGTTGGATTTGTTTTGTTAATATTATTTCTTTTATTTTGTGTTTAAGATTGTATAATTATATTTTGATTGTAAATTTTAGGATTTCATCCGTGATATACCGTTATTTATTAATATCGACTCAAACCCGTCTATATTATCTCGTTAGCTAAATTATTAGTATTCTAAAATCCAAGAAAATAATTATTATTGTTATAAAATCTAATAATTTTAGGATCTCACCCGTAGTATACCGTTCTTTGAACGGTTTTAAATTTATACTACTAATATATATTTTAAATTTATCATATAAAGTATATGATTTCAAGTTTTTGTGTTTTTTTTTAATTTAAATAAAGCAACGGGTTAAATGATGATAGATATTGTTCTTTTTCCTGTATGTGTATTTGATTTTTCTATGTGAATATTTTGATTATTATAAATTAGTATTTTTATTGCTATGCAAAAAGTTAATATAAATATTTGCTATAAATTTTTTTGAAGATATATGGAAAGATTGTGTAGAGATTTTTAGAAACGAATTAGGCAAGATATTGTTTGGTTAATATCTTTTATTTAAATTTTGTAAAAATAATAATAAATGCCAAGGGCATTCTTTGTAAATACTGTCCAACCCCAGAATTTATTTGCTAAAAGTGTTCCAAAAATGTATATATAGATATTTCTCATCTTACAAAATCTATTATACACTTCTCAGAAATTGACGACCCAGACCAATTCTACATCCCTGTAGGCCCAATGATATCTTTGAATCTTTCTGGCTTAAATCCAAACCAGTTTTACCTAAAAAACTGCTTAATATTTAGGATCTGATAAAATCAGAACAAACAAATCATATTAAACCGATAATATAGAGAGGAAAAAATCTTAATTTTTCGTTTAATTTCAAAGAGTGGCATCAAGTCTTAGTCCTTACTAATCGCAACCTCTTCCCGCAAACTCTGAATTCATCAATAACATCGTTCTCTAATAAAGAAAAAAAAATTAGAATCCAGAAACTATTATGCGGATAGATCAACGTAACGCGTATGATTACTAGTTGATTAATTTGACTTGACGTCCTGACCTTACACAATTATACATTAGAGATTACAATAAAATGAGCTTAAAGAACTTCCAATCGTACTCATCTAAAAATAAAAAAAACATGATAAATTTTATTTTCGAAATCATTATTTCAACGGGAAACAAGAAAAATAAAAAGGATCAAGACAACAAGCACTATGTAAAAAAAAAAAAATCAACAATGTGATTGAACCTCGGTGTGACTGTTACTGCTAGTGTTCCTAAAAGCCCTACTTCCAAAAATCATAAACCCTAATCCAAAACCAGCCATTGCAGCCAAGAAGACTCCTCCATTGAACGACATCACAGCCAACATGACCAAATAAGACAAACCAGCCCTCACGGTGTAAACCAAAGTCTGAACTAGCCCGCCCCCAAAGCTAGCCGGACCGGATTTCATGAAACCGCACCGCGATAGCCACTCCGAGACAGCGGAAAGAGCAAAGATGGCGGCGAGACAGACCCAATACATTTTCAGACTGGTCCCTGGCCAGCCGTCGAATAGAACCTCCGTGTTTTTTCCCCAAAAGAAAGTCATATGCATCATGCCACCGTGACGGCGGCGATGTTGGAAGAACGATGATGGTGAAGGGGCCGGAGCCGCCGGAGAAGATCCGCTCATGCCGTTCATTGTTTAGAGATATTCTTAACGTGCTATGTGAAGATTTTGTTGTTGTTGTATACTTGTGTGTGGGGGTATTTATAAGGGTTTTGTTTTTGGGTTGGAGTTTGGTGTGTAGTACAATGTACATTTTCACAACAATAATGCGATAATTGTGACTTTATTTGAGTTTAAAATTGTACTTCAAAGATATTTAGTTGAGATTATGTCCAAAGATTTTTTCTTTTAAGTCTAAAAATTGAAAATTTAAATTATCCAAAGCTGAAGAAATTTAGAATCTTTTATTGTTTTTGACTTTGAGACTGTGATTTCGTCTGGTTTCTAGCTTTACTGTTAAACGGAAAAAAATTCTTAATATTTGTTACTAATATTTAAAGTGTGCAGAACAAAACAAACCTGAAAAAAAAATTAATTAAGTAAATAACATATTTTCTAGGTTTAATAGAAAGTTCTGTTTATGGGCTGCTCAATTGTTTTAGCCTTTTAGGAACACTGGTATTTATGTGGGCTGAGAAAAAAATAATTCAGAGTAATGAATGACACTTTTCTTTAAACAAGCCCAAAGTCAATAACCCTCAAACGGTATTAGACGTAATCGTTCGCCTCAATGAGTTTCGTCAACGTAATGTTTACGATGTATTTATGGAAAGTCCATATAATACGTCTCTTTTACAGTGTTCTAAAAAGCGGTCTAGGCGGTCGCCTAGGCCCCGACTAGGCGCTAGGCTCTCATGCAACGCCTAGATAACCGCCTTGACCGCCTAAAATTACATAGATCTTGTTTAATGTATTTTTTCAATTTCAATTAGAGTTTTATTTATATATATAGTTATAAATATTCATATATTGTTTAATATAAATATAAATAAATATTTTATCTAATTTTTATTTATAATTTCATAATTTTTAGTTTTATATAGATATTTTATATAACTTTTATATATAATATCATATTGATAATGTTTTATGTTATAAACGTCTAAACCGCCTAAAAAATCGTCTAGGCCCCGATTAGGCGTTCTAGGCGCTAGGCACTGGGTCACCGCCCGCTTAGCACCTAGCGCTTTCTTGAACACTGCTCTTTTATAACCTCACATCAAATATCTTCTTCTTCTTCTTTCTGTTTTTTTTTTTCCCTTTTTTCTTTGTTCTTTTCTTCGTTAAGTTTTAAGCTAATCAATCAATCAGATATCCAGAGCCGGCTCTTGACACAGGCAGATGAAGCATCTGCTTGTGGCCTCCAAATTATATAGTTGATATTCGGCCGCTTTTTTCTGAAAGTTTCATTGGTTCTACTGGTTAAGACTAAGAGTTACTCTTCCAAGGATCAAGGGATCGAATCCCCATTTCATTTTTTTTCCTGTTTTTCAAGTCTTTTTCAAAAAAAGTAATGTATAGTAGGCCAAAAAAAAAAGGGCTTGTGGCCTTAATATCTTAAAGAGCCGGCTCTGCAGATATCTCTGCATCAATATTTGGCAAAGCTCCAATGTTTTTTTTTGTTTTACAGTAGATATAAAGTTTGAATCTATTAGATTTGTTTTGTAAGCTAACATACAATTTTTCATGTTAATTGGCAGAACATACAATTTGTCTAAACATCTTTTGAGGAAGGAAACAAATAATTTATAAGAAGATCCAATAGCCGTTAGATTTTTCAACACGGAAACAATAGTCCAATCGATAAATCTCCATCGTGTTATTAATGTTTCTAAACTAGACCCTTGAATGGAGGACATGTAAAAGGCGGAATTTTAGCGGTTACTTATTAATGTTATCATTCAACAAACCTTATAAAAGCACATCAACATCATGTTTTGATAAAAACAATAATAAATGAATCACATGCAGTTCTTCGCAGTGAAAATAAGAAATGCACCTTACCAAGAATAAGCTTCTTCTTAACGATGATTCCCGAGAAGTATCTGGTCCAACGAAAGGCTTCTTCTTCACAGTGTTTTGTTCACGATTACATGAGGAGACGACCGCATATGATGATTTTACACCAACCATTTATGAACGTCATCCTTGAATACGATGCATCAGAAGACGAACTTGGTTTTCTATTGAAGATAGATGAAGCCTCGACCTCGCCCAGATGGCCACTTGTTTTTTTGGATTGGGTCTTGGTTTATCTCGGTTCACAAGTAGATTCCATGAATGGCATGTCTGATTTTAAGAAGAGAAAACATTTACCATGGCAACAAATATGGGTGATAAGACAAAGGCGACTACCCACTGATCAAAGCGAGTCTTTCCCGGAGTCGTCAAATGTATTGATTTCAACGAAGCGACAAGATACAGTATTATCTCCAACAACATTAAGTTCACATTTCAAAAGTAAAGTAATGCTAAAGGCATTTTGGAGTCTCAGCAGCAAGCTGATAGCCAATAACAAGTATGTGAAAGAGGGACATAACAGATTTCATCTGTTAGCCCGTAAGGCTTTTGATAGCAGGGTTACTCTCCACTCTTTCATCGAAATTGTTTCAATTTTCTATATTTGCGTACAATGGTTGTTTTGTATCTATTATGTACCTTGTAAACTTTTATGATATCAATATATTTGATTTGCCGAAAAAAAAAAAAAAGCATAAAATTCGGTGTGTTTACGTACATTTCATTTCAAAAATAAATTATTTTTTTAAAGAAAAATTTAACTGAAACATTCATATTCAAAACAAAAAAAAATTGATATGTTAAAAAACATTTTTTAAAATTTGATAAACTATTGTATTCATATCCCATATCATTTTTCATTGTTCTATATCGTTAATTCTACATTAATCGCATTTCTTCTGACTGTATTTTCTTGCACATGTAAAACTTCAACCGTATCGTTTTACTTAATTTATGTGTCCTACTTTACTGATACTGTCTCCATTCAAAATCTTAATATATTCATGAGTAAAAGTAAAAACAGTTTTAATCTAACGCATATATTAACTTGTAAATGAAATTATAGTAAAATTAACTTGAAGTACCTATGTAAATTTTTAACATTTATTGATTGTCTATCTCAATCCTATACAAACCAAAATTGATTTAGCAATTCTGAGAACTCCATGAATGGACTATGAAAATTGTAAATCAAGAAGCCGAAAAAAGAGTGTAAATTAAGAACTTAATATAGTACTTAATTAACTAAAATTGGGATTTTAGAAGGACATGCAATAATTCTCTATTTTTACTTTCTAAAAATTACCTTTTATGTACGAGTACGACATAAAGTTTGACAAGTCAAAAAACAAGTTGTACTGTACTACATTAACATCGATACTCTTATCTCCACAGAAACCGAAATTTCATTTTTAAAAAGGAATCTCAAATAAATGCCATTAAATACCAAACAACCAATTTCTTACATTTTTCCAATCCTCCCAACCAAAACACAAGAGCCAAGAACAAAGAAACCATGGATCATGATCACATGCATGGCATGCCTCCACCATCATCATCATCACCATCATCTATGATGAACAATGGATCGATGAACGGAGGAGGAGGACAACACCACATGAAGATGATGATGCACATGACATTCTTTTGGGGCAAGAACACGGAGGTTCTCTTCTCCGGTTGGCCCGGAACAAGCTCCGGCATGTATGCTCTTTGTCTCATCTTTGTCTTCTTTCTCGCCGTCCTCACCGAATGGCTTGCTCATTCCTCTCTCCTTCGTGGCTCCACCGGAGATTCGGCTAACCGCACCGCCGGACTAATCCAAACCGCCGTGTATACCCTCCGTACCGGTCTTGCATATCTAGTCATGCTCGCCGTTATGTCGTTTAACGCCGGTGTGTTTCTCGTTGCTCTCGCCGGTCATGCCGTTGGTTTCATGTTGTTCGGAAGCCAAACTTTCCGGAATACCTCCGATGACCGGAAAACTAACTATGTTCCTCCTTCAGGTTGTGCTTGTTGATGATAATATTATATATGATTTATATATATGTATGGATTGATTCATGCTTGTGGTTCAAATTAAAGATCTAGGGTTGTAGTTTTCTTGGTTATTGTGGATTTGTTCTTGAGGTTCATGTGTGTGAATGTGAGGAGGAGAAATATTTGATATTTTCTGTTTGTTTTGCTTTAAAATATTTTGTTTTATTCTGCTGGCTAATGGTGAAAGCTGAATATACAGTTTACTACTTTTGGACACCAATTTGTTTTTTTTCTCCCAGATTTTCATATACAATTTTCTTATATAAATTTTGAAGTTTAGAGATGTGTTTACAAAATTTCTTTCAAAATGTAAATAAGAGGTAAAGATATATCTTCCTATCGAATACACCCAAATTCAATACATAGGTTACAACTATCGTTTTCTCACTATAGTCTCGTGAGTCGTGACCTCGCTGACACGGCGACACATATAGCCAAGAGTTTTTTTTTTTTGGGGGCAAAGATCATCAAACTCTAAAGCTCAGTTTCTCTTATGTTTGACCTTCTAACATACTCTGCAAAAGACATAGTTTCTGAGTGGGCCTTCTCCTCATAATTCATCATGGGCCTCTTCATTCCAGAAAGCCCAAACACATCTAACCAAGTAAACCTATCGATTCATAAATCACAGTCCCAAACATTGGGAAAAATGTCATTTAATAGCTCAACTTTCAAATTGTGGCCATTTGCCACACCAACTTCATAAATGGCCAATTTAAACATGACAAATACGTTGACTTCCATTTAGCACATTACAAAATCGTTGACCACGCCAAAACACCAAGCCGTTAACAGATCCGCTAACACCCGTTAACACCCGTTAACACCTCCGTTAATGCCCAAAACGGCGTCGTTTAGAGATTAATCGAAACTTCTAAAAGCTGAAGAATCCCCAATTCTGAGAAATCCCCAATTCAATTTCAAACCCTAAAATTTTCAATTCTCATCAATTCTTAGCATTATCTTCCTTTTGAGCTCGAAATCTTGTTTTTTTCATCGAATTCTCCAATTCTACCAGAGATATGAGTTGCAATTCGTGTGTTCAAGATGGAGGTTGCGAGTTCCGCGGGTTTCCTTCAAAGTGTCACTGCAGCTTAGACGTTGTCATTCTCACATCGAAGACGAAGCAGAACCCAGGGAGACCGTTCTTCCGTTGTCCAACCTTGAATGATGTAAGTAGATTTGATTTAGTGTTTTTTTGGTTTGGTCGGTAATACATTTTCAACGTGATCGCAGGGCCATTTGTTTAAATGGGTTGAAGATTGTGTCTACGAAGAGGTTGTAGACGCTAAGCCGAAAATCTCCAGCATTGACAATGAAATAAACAATGCCAAATGTGAGGTTTCAATCGAGATTGCAGAGTTAAAGTGTATGATCAATGAATTGAAGGAAGATGGAACGTGGAGCAAAAGAGAAATTAAGAGAATCAAATTGTGGTTGGTCTGCATTTGTTTAACTATTACTGCAATTGTGATCTTACTGTTGTTTGGTCTCAAAAACCAGAATCTTGTTTTAGGTTACTAGTTTCTTTGTTGTTTGGTATGAGTTTTAGTTGTTTGGTATGAGTTTTAGTTGTTTGTGTCTTTAGTGTTGTGTCTTGCTTTAATGTAATGCTATTATGGCTTTGTGATCCTTGTGAGTTGTGCTTTTGGTAATGGAAATACAAATTTGTCTTCTGTTGATCAATAAGAGTTATGTCAGAAAGACCAACAACCATTCATACAACTAAACAAAAAGAACAATACAAGTCAGAAAGAACAATACAAGTCGTAGAAAAACCAAACAACAACAAGTTAGGTTCAAACAGACCAAAATACTCCGATAGAAAGGTTTTGTTCAGAAACAAAATAACTTCAGAAAATCTTTATCAAGTGGAACACTGAAACCATGATGCAAATCTACCAAGTCCTTGTCCTTCTGGTTGTGCTTCTGGTAGGTTTTGTTCAGAAACAAAATAACTTCAGAAAATCTTTATCAAGTGGAACACTGAAACCATGATGCAAATCTACCAAGTCCTTGTCCTTCTGGTTGTGCTTCTGGTTGAATTTGTGAATCTGCTCCATGCGTTTGATGAGCTTGTGCACCGTGTGATCGATGCCCTGATGTAGCTTGTGATCCTTGTGATCCAAAATGAGGTTGTGATCCTTGTTGAGAGCCAAGATGAGCTTGTGATCCTTGCCCTTGTCCTTGTGAGCCAAGATGAGGTTGTGATCCTTGTGAGCCTTGCACTTGCTCTTGTGATCCAGGATGAGCTTGACTAGAAAATGTTGCAAGCACTTCTGGCGCCTACCAAAAATCAGAATAAATTTAGTGAGTTGTCACATGAAACAGTGAGTTGTAAAACAGAAAACACATGCATTCAGTGAGTTATAAAACATAAAAAGCTTAAAACCATACCGGCCTTTTTCTTGGTCTTCCTCTTGGTCTAGGTAGTGGATTCAAGACTGTTGCATTTTTGCATCCTTGCCTGTTATGCCCTTCTTGCAGGCAGTTAGAGCATGTCATGATTCTCTTTGCCCGTGACATCTTGTTCTTATTAGAAGAAGAAGCAGTCTCATTTCTTCCCTTTCTCCTAGCATGATTATTAGGCCTTCCTCTGTTGCCTCTTCTCCATGGTGGTGGCAAGACAGGCAACCTATTTGTTCTAGGCCACAATGGCATCCCTTGGACAGGCCTAATACCATCCCTATATGTTTCTCGCCACATTACCTTTGTATAATACTCGCTAACATAGTCTTCAATTTTCTCTCTTTTTACTATTATCACAGATGCCGCATGAATACAAGGGATCCCCACCATCTGCCACTTCCTGCAACCACAAGTTTTCTTCTCCATATCTACAAAGTAACTAACACCATTCACTTCTATTTGATGCAAATTGTTTCTGGCCATATATCTCTCACAATTTCCAACCCCAGCTATCATTTTCTCAATCTCAAGATGGGCTCTCTTTGTGAACCTTGTCTTCAATCTGTCAGCAATGATATACCTCTTTGCAGTTCTCACCATGCATTGCCTCCGGATGTCTTCTAGCAAATCCAACAAAGGCTTTCTCCTAGCCTGTCTAATAGTCCTATTAAAAGACTCACTGAGATTATTGAGGTTCTCATTGCAGCATGTCCCTATTCTAAAGAAGGCTCTTGACCATGTCATTGGACTAGTAAGCTGAAGACTTGCATGAGCTTGAGGATTGTACTTCCTAAGCTCTTCCATTTGATTGTTGAACTCTTCTGTGGTGTAACTGCGGGCAATCTTCCAAAAGAGACGTGTTAGTTCTATATCATGGCTGTCCCTCTTCCAATTGTCCATTATATGCTTTGAACATTGTCGATGCTCAGCTTCTGGGAGTATGGTATGGATAGCTTTGACTAGACCCTGCAGAAATGACATAAGAAAACACAAGAAAATAAGCTGAAAACCATTCATAGAAGACTTAAAACCATAAGCAAACTCTAATAAACCAAGAAAACTAACCGACTGTTTATCTGAGATGATAGCTAGATGTTGCATTTCACAGAGTCCCAAGCTAGCAGAGAGGTGTCTCATAAACCAGTCCCAATTATCATCGTTTTCTATCTCTACAACTGCCCAAGCTATAGGAACAATCCTGTTATCGCCATCCCTTCCAACAACAGCAAGAAGATGACCCTTTATATCCCATTTCAGAAAGGCTCCATCGATCCCTATCACAGGTCTACAAGTTTGCTGCCAAGAATCCTTTTGAGATTTAAAACATATATATAACCGATAAAACCTCTGCTTGCTTCCAATAACAGGCCCTGGAACTGTCTCTATCTCAAACTCTGTCCCTGGATTCTGCTTTAAAACCTCAGCTTGATAATCCCATATTCTTGAAAAGTGATCATCATGACTAGCATGTCTTGCTCTCAGCACTTTGGTCTTCGCCTTAGCACACTGATCTGGAGTTACTTCCAAGTTGTATTCCCTCCTAATTTCAGCAACCATCTCGTTCTTTGTAAGTTTTGGATTCACTCTCAGCCTTTCCTCAAACAATAATGCAATTGAAGACCGCTTCAACATCTTAGAATATCCTGACCTAACACAGATATGCTCACTGTCATATGCTCTTATTTGCATCTTATGTTTTGTTTTCTCATATGAACAATAGACTCTCCAGCCACAAGGAACACCATCATCACCAACATAGCAACACTTAGCAGCAACTATCAAAGCTTCAGACCTATAGAGTTTAATGTCATACCTTGTCTTTAAGGAGTATCTCAAAAGAGCAAGCTTAAAGTCATCAGGAGTGTTGAAAGTTTTCGCAAGAGCTAGCAACACCTCTGGATCCTCTTCTTCACTTTGATTTCCCTCTTCCTCGGCTCTGTCTTCATCTTCGTCGTCCGATGACAAAGGATCTGGAATCTTGTCATCCTCCCAGATATCATCCCCACTGTCAGAATCTGTATCACCTTGGTCTCCTCTTAAAGCTTCGGGAAAATCTTCTTCCATGTTAACATTCTCTTCCACAGCTAAACCACCATTATCATCGTTATCTCCACCATCAACTGCATCATCAACAACATCATTATCTCCACCACCAACTGCATCATCAACAGCATCACAGTCTTCATCACCATACACGGCGCAGTCATCTTCGATGTCAGGCTCATGCACCATTTCAGGCTCTTCATCCTCCTCTTCTTCATTTCTGACTCTTTTTTGTTTCCGACACCGTCCTGAAGCTCGACCTTTAGCTCCGGTAGAAGATTGAGCTCCGCCAGCTAACTCTGAAGCTTCTTCCGTCGGAGGACATGGAACTCCATCTCCGACGACAACCCCTTCTTCTCTATCTAATTCGCCTTGCATTTCAGCTTCAATTACAGACCCAATCCTCGATACGATTCACAATTGCTAGTTCATCGGAGAATCTCTTTCGAAAAATTAGGGATTTGATTTTCTCAGAATTGGGGATTTCGATTTTTTGAAGTTTCGATTAAAACCAAAACGACTTCGTTTTGGGAAGTAACGGAGATTTTAACGGGGCTTAACGGGTGTTAACGGGTGTTAGCGGATCTGTTAACGGCTTGTTGATTTGGCTTGATCAACGATTTTGTCATGTGGTAAACGGAAGTCAACGTTTTTATCATGTATAAATTGGCCATATGTAAAGTTGGTGTGGCAAATGGCCACAATTTGAAAGTTCGGCTATTAAATGACATTTTTCCCCCAAACATTTGTTGGAGAGCTTTTTTTTTTTTTTTTTTGTTCGAACAGATGTTGGAGAGCTATTTAAACTACAACTTTTATGTATAGTATCTTCAGGTCTTAAATTCCTATGTTCTTCATGAAAGTTAAGTGCTATCTATATGTGGAGCAGAGAGCAGCATACTGATCAAGCAAGTCCTAATCTTCTGCCACAGGTAAATCCGGTCAGTTCCATATAGAGTTAGCGTCTGTTCCAAGCAAGTGAATGTCTTTGAACCCTTTGGTTACTTGGTCCAGATTTTCTTTGTTTTCGGGACCAACATTGTTATGGCTGATTAATTAATACCATTTTAATCTATTTTGTATGCCAAATTGAATTGTAATGTAGTGGCCTCCATATCTTTGGTGAGGCGTTTTCTTCACATTCAAGGAACTGCGAATGCTTCTGATCAAGAATTGGTATGATCTATTCATGAAAGGTTCTAAAACTAAGCGAAACATTATGTTTACATCTTTCTCACTATAATTTTAGTAGGATTTTTATGTGCATGTAAGCATCTAACGATGAGCTATTCTTTGATTCTTTCTGACGATTGACTTTGCGAGAACAATAAGCGATACAGTCTTTGAGCAATAAACAAACCACAAAGAAAACAGAAGAATGTAATGAAGAATACCCAGAGAATTGAACCAATATAGAACGAACAAAGAGATTATGCATATTATTTGGAGCGAAGTAGCCTCATTCCGATGACTTAGATATTATCTCAAGCCAAATTATCACAAAATAAATCATTTTTTAATCGAGAAAAAGACGTTACTTCCTTCCCAAGCATCTGTTAATGCTAACTTTGACGAATTAAGACAATGACAAAACATTGTCCTTTTCATCAAACGATACTTCACAGATATGCTTGAACGCTAAAAGCCTTTATTATTTCTATATTGTTCTTAGAAAGAATGTATACTTTTTATTTGCTGAAAAAATGTAATATTCAATCGGATAATCGAAACATAAATTTCTCCATGAGCTATTCAAACAAGAACCTTAAGCTATACCATATCTAAACAAATTAACTGTCTGTAGCAGAGTCATCATCTCACGACAAACTTAGAATAAAGAAAATTTAACTACGGTATCTTTTTCTTCAAGAACGTTGAACGGTTTTCCTGAAGTAGAGAGCTTCATACTGATTCATCGGCTTGTCCACTGATTCTCAAATCCAAGGGTATTCTACTGGAGGAATGGATATTGTTGGTTGATCCGCGTTATTGATCATCATGTCACGATATTGGTGGTTTACAAATATATCATACATATCGGCAATCCAATCTCCTTCTTCTTCCCGTGTCATCTCCATGGCATTCTTCTCTGTTGCGAGTACGTCTGTTTGGTTAACCATGTTTCCTTCTCCACTCTGCTCCCCGTTTCTCTCTGTTTCCGCAGCAGAACAAGGAGATGATGCTATCTTCGGAATCTCTGATTCATTACCACTGCATAATAATGGTTGCTGCTGCTCGGAAGACGCAGCTAGAACAGACTCATGCTCCTTCTTGGACTTCTTGGACTTCCTTTTCTTGATCGGCTGCTGCTCTGAGGAAGAAGAAGGAGACTCATGCTGATGATCCTTCTTGTCCTTCTTCTTTTTCTTGTGAATCTTGCAGAGGACTAGCTCCTGAAACTTATCATCGTCCGGTTCCGGTAACAAAATTACAAACTCGTCCATAATCCAGCCGCTTTCGCTGCCTGGAGAAGAAGCACCGTCTCCTCTCTTCTGTTTCTTGTTCGTGTTGGTGCCCTTATAAGTTAGATTTTTCTTGATCCCAATGATAGCCCCTGTATCCTCGTCGATGATATTTTCTTTCCTATTTATCCTCCAGTTCCCGCGGTCGATGCCGTCGTCGTTGTCTCCGGTGATCTTCCGCTTCGGGTACTTACCACGACCAATCTTCTTCTCAGAGATCTGAGTCCTTGTCGAGAAGTAGTACCATTCGTCTTCCTTGAATAAAGAATTGTTGGGATGGTCCAACAACCATGGATCCTTAGCATAAACATCCTTCATCATTATGAAGTCTCCACAGTCTTGAGGTTGAGCTGAGATCAAAGCGTTTTGGGATTGTAAATTATGAAAATAGATGAGTGATTGTGTATATATAACAACTTAAAACTGGGATTCCTGATTTTTTTTATTTTATTTTGCAAAAGTTTATATATATATCTTAATATTATTTTTATAAATTATAAATTATAATTTTTTATTTTTTATTTTTTTTTGCAAGATTTTGTATATATATCTTATACTTGTTTTGTTTGTAGCTAATTATAAGAAAATAATAAGATATAAAAAAACAATATTAAGATTTTGTATATATCTTAATAATATTTTTATAATTATCTACAAAATTTCTTAATTAGCTACAAGACTCCTTATACTTGTTTTGTTTGTAGCAAATTTCTAAATTTAATCTAATGAATTTTGTTTTCATAAAAATCTCATGATAAAATATTATCTCTTAAAACGAAATTAAATAAGGAATCCTACTAAGAAATTCGTTTTATATATTTTAGCAATTAAAATTATCCCAAAATAAAAATAAAATATCTTTCAAACTAATCCAAATCAATTCAAAACAATTATAATAAATATAACTAATAATATATAACTTTTCTTTCCTTATTTATTTAGCATGTAGAGACATGAATTATATGACCACAACTATTTTTTTCATAAATTTGCTTTTTTTATATACTTGGAGCTAATTTCTATAATTATTTTGCAAAAGTTTGTATATATCTTAATAATATTTTTACAAATTATAAATTATAACGTATAATTTTTATTTATTGTTTTACATGATTTTGTATATATCTTATACTTGTTTTGTTTGTAGCTAATTATAAGATAATAATAAGATATTTAAAAACAATATTAAGATTTTGTATATATCTTAATAATATTTTAGCAATTCGTTTTGTATATATCTTAAGAAATTCGTTTTTAATATTTTAGCAATTAAAAAAGAAATTGATTACAAAATAAAAAAAAATCTTTCAAACTAATCCAAATCAATTGAAAAAATGATAAATATAACTAAACTATAATTCATTCTATACAATACTTATTTCAAACATATGGTATAAAATCATTCTATGATCCACCCATATATGCCACAACATTATTTTTCATAAAAATTTCAAAAACATGATTACATACATGGCGTAAAATAGAACCTAGTTAAATATTAGTATTTGTAAAGTCTGGTGAAAAACATAAAGAATTGTTATAAGTAGATGAAATATGAGATTAGCTATAAAGAGTTTGAATAATTAAATACACGGAACCAATGCAACTTACTGTTTCAAAAAAAAACAAAAATTTCGACCCAGGCCCGTTTGTAAATTATATGGCCCAAAAGACTTGTATGTTTGATCGCAAAAGTGTCTAAAACATTTAATACTTCTGTAATTAAAGACAACTGTACCTAAAACCAAAAGTCTCTAGCTTTGTCTGCAAGTTAAAAACTTTTCCTCCTCTCCGTCATGCCCACAATCTCCCTCAACGGCCAGCTTATCGCGGCGCCGATAGTTTACACCACCGCTTCTTCTTATCTCTCTTCTCGCCGTCAATATTATCCCTTATCTTCCTCTCGCGAACTTCGTTTCAACGCATCTTCTTCCTCTCGCTTCAAATCCTTAACTTGCTCAGCAAACTTACCTACTCGGAAGAAGATCGAACCTTCCTCCAACAATGTTCTTGTTAAATCTTTGTCGAAATCTTTCGTCTTCTGTTCCTCCGCTAAGCCGAAGGATTCGTCCAACTGTAATCTCCGTAAGCCACTTGCGATATCTCTCGTAGTCACCTCTGTTTCCTCCGCCGCGGCTCTGTTTCTTCCACGACTATTTTCTCTCCTGTCGATTGTAAGAGGCGGCGGCGGAGGAGGAAAAGGAGGTGGACGTGGAGGAGGAGGGAATTTCGGTGGAGATGGCGGATTTTGGAGGAAATTGTTTTCTCTGGCAGTACCAGTGGCTGTCGCCGACGAAGAACAGTCACCGGATTGGGATTCTCACGGTTTACCGGCGAACATTGTTGTACAGTTGAACAAGCTAAGTGGTTTGAAAAAGTATAAAATCTCAGATATTATGTTCTTTGATCGACGAAGAAAAGCCACCGTTGAAACAGATGATTCTTTCTTCGAGATGGTGTCGATTCAAGAAGGAGGAGTTTACACAAAAGCTCAGTTACAGAAGGAGTTAGAAACCCTAACTACTTGCGGATGGTTTGAGAAAGTCGATTTCGAAGGGAAGACGAAGCCTGACGGAACCCTAGGTGTTACAATCTCTTTCGCAGAGAGCATGTGGCAAGGCGCGGAGAGATTTCGATGCATCAACGTAGGGTTAATGACACAACCAAAACCTGTAAAGATTGATTCAGACATGACAGAAAAAGAGATGATTGAGTACTTGAGAAGTCAAGAGAAGGAATATAAGCAGAGGATTAAGAAGGCGAGGCCGTGTTTGCTTCCGGGATCGATTCAACGAGAGGCGATGCTTATGCTAAGGGATCAAAGGAGTTTAAGTGCGAGGCTTTTGCATAAGGTTAAGGAACGAGTTCTTAAGTGGTACCAAGACCAAGGGTATAGTTATGCTAATGTTGTGAATTTTGGGAACTTGAACAGTAAGGAACTTGTTTTTGAAGTTATGGAAGGAGACATAACACAGTTGGTTATTCAGTTTCAAGATAAGCTTGGTAATGTAGTTGAAGGTAACACACAGATTCCTGTCGTGCGCAGACAAATTCCAAAACAGGTAATGTATGTTGACTTGAAATCAAGAACTTGCTAAAACATTTTTAATGGATTTAGAGGTTTCAGATCAGAAAATGTAACTGACATTTGAAAATCATATATATTGTTTGTTTGGTTAACAGTTACGTCCAGGTCATGTGCTCAACATGAAAGTTGCGAACGAAGCTGTGAGGAACATTCATTCTTTAGGATTGTTCTCTAACATCGAGATTATGCCAGTACCAGATGAGAAAAAGGAAGGAGGTGTAATTGTTGAGGTCAAGCTTCAAGAGGCAGATCAGAAATCTGTAGACGTCAGTGCAGATTGGAGTATTGTTCCAGGTCCTGGAGGATATCCTTCACTGGTATGTGCTGCTGTATATGTTCATTGTCGACTAAACTTGGAACTTTTTAAAGTTTTAAATTTCCACTGAATTTTCTATATGTCCATTGTTTATCTTGCGTTTATTAGGCGTCGTTCCAGCCAAGCGGGACTGTTTCTTTCGAACATCGAAACATCAAGGGTCTTAATCGATCTCTCATTGGTTCAGTAACCACTAGTAACTTCTTGAATCCTGAGGTACACAATCACTTTCTATATGCTTCTGATACATATCTGTTTCAAATTGTGGTTTGATAACATCCATATATATATACACTTGGTTTGGCCCGCAGGATGATCTTTCGTTTAAGCTTGAGTATGTACACCCATATCTAGACGGTGTTAACAATCCTAGAAACCGTACCTTCAAAACGAGTATCTTCAACAGTAGTAAACTTAGCCCAGTGTTCACTGGAGGCCCTGGATTTGAGGAAGCAGTGGCTCCAATCTTGGTGGATCGAGCTGGTGTGAAAGCTACTATAACTGAGGTAACTAAGTCCCTTGATCAACTTGTTTTCTTTTCCCACAAGAACCTAAACGATCTAGGTTTTTTTTTATGCGCAGGACTTCACACGTCAGAGTAAATTAACATATGGAGTTGTGTTGGAAGAGATAACAACTAGAGATGAAAACGGGAAAATCTCTTCAAATGGTCAGGTTTTATTACCTAATGGAGGAATCAATGTTAATGGACCTCCAACAACTCTTAGTGGTACTGGTATTGATCGTGTAGCCTTTCTACAAGGTAATATAACCCAAGACAACACCAAGTTTGTGAATGGAGCTATTGTCGGAGATAGGAAGATCTTTCAGGTGGATCAAGGCTTAGGTATAGGAAGCAATTCCCCACTCTTCAACCGCCATCAACTAACTTTAACAAAATTGATTCCACTGAGACAAGTAGAAGAAGGTCCCGGTAAACCGCAACCACCAGTTCTAGTTCTCCATGGCCATTACGCTGGATGTGTAGGTGATCTACCTGGATATGATGCTTTTGCTCTTGGAGGTCCTAACTCTGTTCGAGGTTACACTAAGGGAGAGCTCGGTGCAGCTAGAAACATTGTCGAGGTAAGTAAGATTCCAAAACTCATTCAAATTGTTTTTAAACTAATTCTCATGGTGTTTTTGGTGTTAAAAATTTGTATAGGTTGGTGCTGAGGTTAGAGTACCTATAAAGAACACACAAGTGTATGCATTTGCTGAGCATGGAAACGATTTGGGAAGTTCAAAGGATGTGAAAGGAAATCCGACCACGGCTTTCAGAAGAAAGGGACATGGTTCATCTTATGGTGTGGGTGTGAAACTTGGTCAGATACGAGCTGAATATGCTGTTGATCACAATTGTGGAACCGGTGCTCTGTCTCTTCAGTTCGGAGAAAGATATTAAGGATTAAGTTGATGTCTTGCAAAAGAATTGGTCTTTTGTTACACATAGGTTTGAGACTTGATCATAAAGAAATAGGTTTTTTTATTCGGTAACTTGTTCGTTTATATCCGCCAGTTATTTTTATGATCTATTTATGTTACATAAAATTAAGATAAATACTTTTTTAAACTGTAACAAAAATAGATAGAAACTGCAATATTTTGTGTTTGATTTGTTACAATCGAATTTGGATCATTAAAACAGAAATAAATTGACAAACTTCTTTGATAAGCGTTGAAGGCTTGAAGCTTATCGAAGTTAAATTGAACGGAAAGAAAAAGAGGGAGAGAAGTATTGCGCCGTTAATGGATAAACTTGTTCGTTTAAGTCAATTTAAGGAGAATTCATTTGATAAGATAATCGATCATTCATAAGATAAAATCCTAATAATGCGGAATCAGTGCTTAAATACACCAACAAGCCTAAAACGACATAGTTCTAAAGTAAAGATAGTAGCTAAAACCCTCTCTCACAACTAGAGTCTTTCTTACTTGTCTCCTTCTTCAACACTTAGCTTCTTTTTTCTTCTTTATAAAGGTAATGAGAATCCATAACCTATCATTCTTCTACTAGACTTCACTAATCAACAATCCTAATATAAAATACCAAAACAAAAAACTGAACACTCAAAACATAACTAGCATTAACTAGTTTGGGACAGGCATTGAGTCCAGGATGGCTGCAATCTTGCTTCCAGGAGACCTACGCAAGAGATGGCGATAAGGCATGAGCTTTCTCACCAAACCATAAAACAGATCAGCCGTAAGAATGTCCTTCGTTAAATCCAGTGCGTTGTACACCACGAAATTCCCGTACTCACTCCTCGCCAACCTCATCAACATCTCTCTCTTGCACGCCAAAAGATCCATAACCACTAGTTCCATTACTGAGTCCCCCACCTCCAAAAGCCGCTCCACAATGTAGCTTCCATACTTTTTAAACGAGAGTTCGACGCAGTGGCCACATAGATTATCAGCGATGTTACGCGTGCAGCGGAAGTCACGTAGTTTAAGCACGTGTTGGACCACAAAGTTCCCATAAGCATCGTTGCTTAGCAAAAGAGCGTTGTTCGCGACTATGTCCAGGAGCTGGTTTCTGTAGTAAGGATCGTCCAAGTCGGTTATGATTTCGTTGAGGGCGATGCAACCGTGTTGGTCACGCGCCAGGTAAAGCGCGTTTTGGAGAATGTGCTCATACATCAACTCTCTCTTGTCCTGTTGAAAAACTCTCATTCCCTTTATTGCCACGTAGGACGCGTACTTGTCGGTCATGACATAGAGGAAGAGTCGCATGATAGCCTCGAAGAAGAAGACGTCCACGTCATCTGACATCCCCATGAGTCTCTGTATGCTTTTGGAGCCGTACTGGTTTCTTGCGATGACCATGAAGTAATTGGAGTCAGACGTCAAAGAAGACGCCATCCACATAAGCGTTCTCGTGTCTAACACTGAGATCAATTCTTTGAAACGAGGCACATCTTCGCTTCTAGTCATAAAGTTGAACATCCATCGCAAATCCATCGCCGGAGGCTCCTCATTAATGATTTCTCTTGCGGGGGCAAAACGGAGTTCCGGTAAAGCATTGAACATTGTCGACATTGAAAAGGGATTGGTGTTTGCCATTGTGTTACGTCGATCTACAGAATTACTCTCGAAAGTCAGAAGTAACAAGAATTTTTGTTGTGTGATTTTGGAGAATGCGGGAGATTTTAGTGTTGTTGTGATGCCTATATATAATACTAGAGGTTTTCGTTTCTTCCAAAAGGAATTGGAAATTCTTAGCAATATCGCTAAAGATTTTTTAATCAAAAAAAATATGTATATATCACTAATTTCCTTTTTACTTTGTTTTCTAACTGATTAATAATATCCAAATACTTTTTTTAATTGATAGTATAAAAAAACTGTTATTCCGTGAGGAAATAATTGTGAACAAATTTCATTAAAACCACAAAACAATAACCATAACACAACATACTGAAAAACAAAGAAAGAGCCGTTCCTCACAAAAGAGACCCTTTCCCAACTTATTTCTCTAAGAACAAAAAGCAATATGAATAACACATGAAACCAAACCCACCACTTTGTAGTATAATAGCACCATTATATAACTCAACAGCTGAACACTCGTTAACTCAAAACCGCGTCTGTGATTTCTTGTGCGTTTTAGTTTTTGGGGACGTTGAGCCTTAGTCGGAAATCTTCTTCCATGAGAGGAAGTCCTTCTCTTAGCTTCACCTTTGGCTCCCAACCCAACACTTCTTTGGCCTTACTAATGTCTGGTTTCCTCTGTCTTGGATCGTCCGGTGTGTTCTCCACCATCTTTATCTCTATGCTTGGGTTAATAAGCTGCGTTTAATATAAAATAAAACACACATTAAGGAACTAAAACATGATACAAACGCAGGCTTTATCATAGCGTTTAGAGTAAACCGGCTCTAACCTCCTTAACCGTCTCAGCAAGTTCCACCATTGTGAATTCACCTGAGAAACAGAGAGATTTTAGAAAGAAGCGATTGCGGTTCTAGATTAGAGGTGCTCAATCTGGTTCAAATGAAACAAAAACCACACTCTAGTTATAGGGGTTAAGGTAAATGTTGGAATGGAAAGGCGTACCTGGGTTACCGATGTTGATAGGGCCAGTATCATCACCTTCCATAAGACGGATAAGTCCATCCACCATGTCGGAGACATAACAGAAACTGCGGGTCTGTGTCCCCGGTTTCTGAACTGTCAATGCCTCACCCCTACAACACATTCATGGAAACAACTAAGCAGAGATGAAACAAAACTTGGTTTCGATGAAGTTGAGCGAGAAAATGACTTTACCTGAGTGCTTGAGCAATGAAGTTGCTCACGACACGCCCATCATCAATGTTCATTCGAGGACCATACGTGTTGAAGATTCTAGCAATGCGGATTTCTACAAATAACAAACGGGCCAATGAGAATCTTAAAGGAATCACTGGATAAAGAAAAAGGGATGCAGTGAGCTTAGGGAGGTACAAAACTGACCAATGCCATGTTGTCTGTGGTAATCAAACATCAAGGTCTCGGCTACACGCTTGCCTTCGTCATAGCAACTCCGAACCCCTTTACATAATAACAACCAGGTTAAGTTTTCAAAGCTGTTAAAACCGAAATGCAAGAAGATTCCTCTATAAGATGAGAACATTTGAAACTTACCAATTGGGTTGACATTTCCCCAGTAGCTCTCAGGTTGAGGGTGGATGAGAGGATCTCCATAAACTTCAGAGGTTGAGGTGAGTAAAATTCTGTTTCGAGAAGAACAAGCGTTAGTTGCAAAGCTGAGCATTTAAAAGAAGGATGTGGTTAAAAAATAGGAAGCAGAATATGTCCTGAACCTTGCTCCAACACGCTTGGCAAGACCGAGCATGTTGAGTGTACCGATCACATTGGTCTTGATTGTCTGCAGAAACAGATTATATATCAGAAAACTAATGCTTCCTTCTGATGATATTAAAGTGATATAAGAATATATATTCTACACAAACCTTAACAGGGTTGTACTTGTAGAAGATAGGAGAGGCAGGACAAGCAAGATGGTAAATCCGATCAACCTCGATCAACAAAGGCTCCGTAACATCTATATAAAGCCCAAAACCAAATAAAGAGAGATCTCGATGATGGATCTCGTTGACATAAACAAGAAGACGCTTAACAACAATAAACTGAGAGTCTAGAGACCATACCGTGACGAATAAGCTCAAACCTCGGGTGACCGATCCACTTCTTGAGGTTTTCTTTTGATCCAGTGAAATAGTTATCAGCAACAATCACCTGGAGTATAAAACCAAACATTAAAAAAATGATCAAACTTGACAAAACATAAAAGCATCTCAATTTTTGTTGAGCATACAAACCTCATTCTTCTCATTTTCCATAAGCTTATCAACCAAATGAGAACCAATGAACCCAGCTCCTCCAGAAATCAAGATCCTCATATTGGACTACACAAACAAACAACAAAAAAAGTAAACATCTCATAATCAGCCAATCAGATCAAACTAATAAAACCTCAAGATCTGATTCTGTAAAATCTCTATAAAACCAACAATGATACAAAAGTTCTCCCACAATGTAGCCAGCAAAAAGGGTCAGATCTAAATGACATTCGATTTCAAGGAATCTTCATTCCAATGTCAAAGAGATCAAGTCATTACATAATGGTCTCGATCGCATCTTAATGAAATTAAAAGAAAGTTGCAAAGTTTGTACCTGACAAAACTTGGAATTGCGGAGAGGAGAAGGAGAAGGAGGAGGCTTTGTGCTGTTCTGTTTCTCACTTGTAGCTGCCATTGCTTCAGAGATCTCAATCCTGAGCCAAAAACGCATTAAATGAGATTGAAATTGACATGAGTTTAAAAAAAAAAAAAACGAAACTTTGAGAAAAGAGAAGATAGGGAATTCGATTAAAGATTTACCAGAAGCTTCGGGGAATGGAAGAAGACAAGATTTAGAACCAAAATCTTCTGATCTGATGAGAAGATTAAGACAAGGAGAGATCGTCTACTTATAGTCCCAGGTGTCTGAACAAATAACCAAATTTAAAGATTTTGTTTTTTAATTTCTCTGTTTAATTAAAGGAAGGAATTACAAAATTAATTTAATTTTAGTTAAGAGACTTCAAAAACACGAAATGCGGAAGCGGAAATTAACAAAAAAAAAAGAATTGACGTTAGCTACTAAATCACGACAACGTTTGACCTAACAGATATCTTACGTGGCAATTTTATTTACTTTTTTTTTTGCAGATTTTTGTTTTCCTTCTTCACAGTTTTACAGCTAAAATTTTGACTTTTTTTTCACCTTTCTTATTTACGTGTTTAGTTTTATTTGCATCTACCTCTATAAAACTTTTGAAAATTATAGTATAATCTTTTTTGTACGTGTTTACATCTATTATTTTAGTATCTATTAATTTGCTATATAACTTGATACTACGATTTTACATTATACAAAACAAGTCAACAACTTTGTTCACAATCAATCATTCACCATCAACCATCCTACCATGTATCATCCACCATCGACTCCAAAACTCATTATCTACCATCCACAAATCCACCAGCCACCATATTTAGTTTTTTCATGAGAATTTTTTTGAAACATGAGTTATAATCACTTAATTAAATTGTTTTTTTTGGAATAATTAATTTTAAAAACAAACAATAATTAAACATCCGGGGAAAAACATTTTAAAGATCTACAAGATTGTGAAGATATAATTTTTTAAAAGAGATATATATCCTATCAACAAACTCAATTGTTCAATTGAGTAAGGCTTACTTTTTGTTAACACCAACCAAACTAGAAGTATGACTTACGTTTTATCAACATAAAGCACATGATTTCAATCTCCCAACCCATAAGTGGATCATTGTTAACTCTACATTGGCTCTATTGACTGAAGAAAAAGAGGAAGCTATCAACACTTCTTTTGTAAAATGAATAAATGAATACATTTCTTAAGATAGTAAGATTGTTTAAGTTCTTAGTTACTTCTTCTACCAACAAAATAAAGACATCCGGATAAGTCATCAAGCTCATATAACCCGAAGGTTCCCTCAAGTTTGCAAATCAAACATTGCATTGTTTAAAGGAATTTTGATAGTTCATCCTAGATAGATATTCCAACCCGATAAGGCGAAAACTTCTCACCTTTTGTTTACGATGGTCTACCAGTGTTCTTAGATGGTAGTTAAAGAAGGTATATTGTGAGATTTAGAGGATTTCAGGCTGTACTTGTTTGAAAGATAATTTGGCTCAAACCCATTCAAATGACATTGTTGAAGTGGACATCACACTTTCGATATATAAGAATGTCCCATTTTTCTTTCCAAGGAAGTTTGGCTTAAACCCACTCACATTGAAGTAGACATCACCCGGTCTTTATTGCGATGACAACGACTTTGCAAGGTATGCAATGGCGCAAGATCACGTTGGAAACAAACAAACTGTGAAGTGTAAGCAGCGGAAAATCAAAGAGCAAAGAAGTATTCTTAACAAATGAAATTTATAAATTTTAATGCTAGTTTATCAAGAACAACACTTTTCTCAACCAAACACTTTTCAGAACGCTCTGGTTCTCGAACGCGACAAAAAGAGATGTAAACCGAGTCATAACAAGTTGCGTTTGGACAGTTTTGAAGGGTTTCAGATAGGAATATGAAGAACTTTTGATGAAACTCCGGAGATCTCAGAGGTGTGAAGTTGGAAGTTGTTCACAACATTTCTTGAGACTTTCTGACACAGCGGCTTACTTTCTTCTTGAACTCATCTCTCTTCTCTCGCCATTCTTTCTGCGCAAGAGAACACACACAAAATTCATAAGCATGTTTTGCTCTTAATTGCAAGATATATGCATTGAACCTGATGAGCGATAAATCAATTGAAAAACTCACGGCAGCTTCAACATTTGCTGGAGACTCATCGTTGGGACCAGAAAGCATCGATATGATACTCAACATTATACTTTCAACCTGAAACACCAGAATTTGAGACATGGAACAAATCACCTAGAGAACCATTTAGAGTGTGAGAAGTATAGTAACTCTAGTCATAGAATCTACAACTCTGAAGCAAAACACTGACATGTTATGCAAACAAAAATGAACAAACACAAATCAATTTAACATACAGTATGAACAGGGGTCCAGCGCTCGCTTGCAAGCTCATAACCGCTAGGATCATCACCAGGAGGATGAAGAATAGATATGCAAACACGACCATCAGAATAAACTGCAGGACAGATATAAGTAAACCATTCAAGAAAAGGACTGATAACAAATAGAAAAATGTCTGTCTTCTATTCAAATTCCTTCGAATCCTTTCCCGATTAAAACCGATAGAGAGAAAACTAACCGTTAGGATGCCACATATCCGAAGTAAACCTCACGGTTGGCGGGCTATTCGGATAGTTTTGCGGAAATGTCATAATAGCGTTAAAGAATCCTCCTTCACTGCATTTTCACCAAGTTTTAAACCATATCCACAACAAGCAAAATCTTTTTGGCATTGCAGATAAGGGTAAATTTAAAAAGAGTATTGAGAGCAATTCAATATAACTATCTGCACTATATAAGAACAAACCTAAATCAAGAATAAAAAAAAATCCGATACAAACAAAGAGAAAAACAGATAAAGAATACGAGAATCCCACAATTATGTGATCTACAATGTTCAATCTCAAGCAATAACAATTACACATGAATCATTGAATCCAATGAAAAAAAAAAAAAACTGTTCGACAAGAATCAAGAATCAGAAAACTAGCTAAAAAATCTGAGAGAAAGCAATAAAGGAAGAGCGTTTACTAGAGAGTATCAGGAGGTCCGATAATGGTAACGCTCCATTCGAATATATTCTTATCATCAACGAGACCAGCAGAGAATCCATCAACAGGATGCTTACAGAGATCTGAATCAAGAAGACAACAAAAATTCGGATTTAGAGAAGAAAATAACAATCACAAGATTGATTCAGAAAAGGAAAAAGAGTCAAGGGCTTGCCTTTAAGTTGTTTCTGAAGGAGAAGGCTAGCTTGCGAAGCCATGGATGATGATGATAGAGAAATCGAGAATTGAAATTGAGATTTTTTTATATGACAAGCTTTTCTGATTTTGTGAATTTTCGGGAATCGATGTTTTCATTATGAGAACACATGGAAGGAGCTGGGATCTGCTACGGGCATACCTATTCTCTACTTTACTGTTCTAACCAATAGGGTTTTGAGACATTTCCACTTTCCGTTAACTTACTAAAATTCTAACGACGCTCTTACAGTTAAACCGGGTTTGATTTAGTATCACAGATTTTCGGTTCAGTTTCGGTTTAGTTAGATTGCAAGATGCAAGAAAAAAAAATACCAAATCAAAATGCGCATACTTATCCAAATTTTTTGAAATGATAACCAATTTTTGTTGTGCACCTATTTTTTTGCCGACGTTTTGCACCTAATTATGATTCAAATATATAAAATCTATATACTAAAACTCGGGTGTTTTTGTCATTCATAAACTCACACGATATTAGTTTGGACCTCTTTGTCTAGGTGTTGGCGCGTTGCCAATGTTATGTTGATAAAATGATACTATTTGATAGTTATATCAAACCGGAACTAAATTAAACCGAGCTAATTGGGTACATCTACCCTAACATGATACATGGATCGGGATCATTTCCATCAAAGATTTATATTTTTATTAATATAAGTCATTAAGAAATTATATCTAGGCATAAATTTCCATTCTTTTTGATAATTATTGAGATCAAATCCAGTTGCCATCATGAGTGATCCAGAGTTTCTGTATAAAGGGCCATAACTAAAGCACGTTAATCATTTTCATTATATTGTCGTGACCCGTAAATTACAAAATCATGACAAATACATATAATGAATCAAAAACTTTAATCCAAGTTATAAGGATTGTCTTGTCGACATAGTGCAAACTGCAAACCAATCACAAGACACACACAACACAATTGATAATGGTCTTTAATCTTTATATATATATCAGAATAAAACCAATGGTATAAAACTAATAACTTTACTTTTATTGATCGAGATCGAAAGTTCCGAGAGGAAACAATCTAGAAGAAATGGTTTGGTAATGCGAGATTGGACCTGCAAAGATTGGACCTGTCTTTGGATACAATCTAAAGAAATGGTTTGGTAATGCGAGACCGACAAGCTTTGCCGGTGAAAAATAAAAAAAATCCATACGAGACACACAAAATTACAAATATGTAAGATATATCGTAGTGGATTTTTTTTTAAGATTTCGTGGTGGTTATAATGACACCTAAATGATGATGAAGGCCGCAAAATTTTGCCGACGTATATTATTATTAGAGTGACTAAAATTTTCGCAAGTTAGTACCAAGACGAAGCATTTAGATTTTAAATTTCAACCAGGTTTAATTGCTCGGTTTGTTCCGGTTTCTGTTGATCCACATATGAGACTCATTCAGTGGTGATAGCGCAAACAATTCAAACGATAATTAGGTTCTAGATACCAAGAAAGTATGGACTAATATTATGCAATCAATTCGGACTGACCAACAAGGTATCAAAGATCAACTACTATGATCGCTAAATATCGGTATTTTGGTTTGAAAACATAGGGGAACCGCATATCTATCTGATTGTCATGTAGGCCGAAAAACAGAAGCATAATATAAGAAATTTGAAGGAAGTTGTAATGCTTTATTCTATTTCTACAGACATTCTAATTTCTAAGTGGGAATTTCATGGCATAGGATTCCAAGAAATGACATTTTAACCAGAGAATCTTACCTGGTTTCTTCAAGCTAAGTAATCATTACGATTCTCCAAGGAGAGTACCAACTAGATTTGACAAAATTGTTGTATTGTGCTTGTTACACATATAATATATATATATATATACATATATGATCCTATATGAAAACAATTAGCTAATTCTCTACCTAAGAAATATGAGAAGACATGATATCATCATCAAGCTTCTCCTTCTCATCTGCTTCTTTCTCAGCAGAAACATGACTCGGGAATGCCGAGAAGGTAATTCCATTACTCTCGCTGTGTGTATGTGTTGAATTACGACATAGAGATGATATTAAAAATGTGTTGAAAATTGAGGGCATGGTTCTTTGCACTCTTACATACGTTTCCCTGTCTTTTGCTTGTATAAGTCCATTTCAAGATTGGACCTGCAAAGATCATCGCAAAACCGAATTACGAAAGAGTGATGCCAACTTGGGTAAGGATCGGAGATCAAATTTTGCATATACCCATTACAAAACAGAGAGAGCATAATAACAACATCTTTCTTATGGGATTAGGTCGAAGAAAAAAAGTGGCATAAGCACCCATCCGGACCGAACCCAACAGGAAATCGTCACCCACCGGTCAAACCCTGAGTCGATAATGCTGCAACCGAAAGAATCTTACAAGTCAATGCATGATATATCTTTAAAATGATGTACTAATAAGGAGTGAAGCAGCCTATAAGATGGAGAGTACTAAAAAGTGATAGATCCAATGTTTGTGAAACATATGTACGCTGATAAACTATGTCAATTCGATGTAATCTATATATAATAGCAATCTAATAAATACCATTTGCACATCTGAACGGTTGCATCTTTTTATCGCAACTTTTCGTTTAAATCGGTTATTTTTTTACGGTTATGTATTTTTATTGAATTTTCTCTTTGAATTTTCGATGAATTATTTACGGTTAAATTTGTTCAATTACAGTTGTATCTTTTCAGTTTACAGTTATATCTTTATAGTTGCATTTATTCATTTAAAGTTACTTATTTCCATTATATAATTTCATTGCATTTTTTGTATAGTTAATAATACTACGAAGATTTTTTACATCAACCATTAGACTACATATCAAATTGGTTTTATTAACCAAAATAACAACCTCAATAAATGCATTTTACACTTTTGAACGGTTATGTCTCTTTATCGTAATTTTCCGTTAAAATATTAACGGTTATTTTTTCGGGTGTGTTTTTTATCGCAACTCTTCATTAAAATATTGACGGTTTTTTTTTTGTTGTGTCTTTTATTGCAACTTTCCGTTAAAATATTGACGGTTAATTTTTTAGTTGACGGTTATTTTTTGGTTGTGTTTTTTTCTCGCACCTTTTCGTTAAAATATTAACGGTTATTTTTTTCGTTGACGGTTATTTTTTAGTTGTATTTTTTTCTCGCAACTTTCCGTTAAAATATTGACGGTTACTTTTTTCGTTTCTTTTATCATAACTTTTTGTTAAAATATTGACGATATTTTTTTCTTGATTGTGCCTTTTTTGTCTGTTAAAATATTGACGGTTATTTTTTTCTCGGTTGTATCTTTTTATCGTAATTTTTTGCTAAAATATTGACAGTTATTTGTTCTCGGTTGTATCTTTTTATCGCAACTCTTAGTTAAAATATTGACGGTTACTTTTTTCGTTGACATTTATTTTTTCGGTTGTGTCTTTTTATCGTAACTTTCCGCTAAAATATTGACGGTCATTTTTTTGTTTGTGTCTTTCTATCACAACTTTCCGTTAAAAGTTTGACGGTTATTTTTTCTCGGTTGTGTCTTTTTATCGCAACTCTTAGTTAAAATATTGACTGGTTTTTTTTTCGTTGACGAATATATTTTTGGTTGTGTCTTTTTATCGCAACTTTCCGTTAAAATATTAACATTACTTTTCACGTTTGTGTCTTTTTATCGCAACTTTTCTATAAAATATTAACGGTTATTTTTTCTCGGTTGTATCTTTTTGTCCTAGCTCTTTGTTAAAATATTTACGGTTACAATTTTTCACTGATGGTTATTTTTTCGGTTATGTCTTTTTATCGTAACTTTCAGTTAATATATTGACCGTTTCTTTTTTTGTTTTTGTCTATTTACCGTATCTTTCCGTTAAATATCGACGGTTTCTTTTTCTCGGTTGTGTCTTTCTATCGCAACTTTCCGTTAAAATATTGACGGTTATTTTCTCGGTTGTGTCTTTTTATCGCAACTCTTCGTTAAAGTATTGACGGTTATTTTTTTTCCGTTCGTGTCTTTTTATCGCAACTCTTCGTTAAAGTATTGACGGTTATTTTTTTTCCGTTTGTGTCTTTTTATCGCAATTTTTTGTTTAAATATTGAGTGTTATTTTTTCTCGGTTGTGTCTTTTTATCGCAACTCTTCGTTAAAATATTTACGGTTATATTTTTCGTTGACAGTTATTTTTTCTGATGTGTTTTTTTATCATAACTTTTCGTAAAAATGTTGACATTTACTTATTTTTTGTCTTTTTATCGCAACTTTTCGTTAAAATATTGACGCTTATTTTTTCTCGGTTGTGTTTTTTATCGCAACTTTCCGTTAAAATATCGATGGTTATTTTTTCTCGGTTATGTCTTTCTATCGCAACTCTTCGTTAAAATATTGACGGTTACTTTTTGTGTTGACGGTTATTTTTCTGGTTGTGTTGCTATATCTTTTTGGTTTTGACCCACTAGAATTTTGCCTCTCTATATTATAACTCTTCGTTAGTTATTTTGTCACTTATAAATAATTTTATATTCACAAAAAATGTTTCAAATTATTTTTTTAATCATAATTTTGTTTTTTACATTAATATCTTTAGAAAATATTTATGATATAACTTTAAGACATAGTTAATTTTATATAATAATTCAATTATTTGAATATATTATAATAATAACTTAATACATAAACGTAATAAAATATATTTGTTGAAAATGAGTTCCCCGCGATATCGCGGGGTTCATAACCTAGTAATTACAATAGAAGAGTCTTTATAAGCATAGCCTCTGAATTGTTATTTGTTACCATAACAGAACCATGCTAACAGAGCAAAACATATGAAATAACATTTCAATTTGAGATTGAAGAGATAAAAGTTTCTTTATTAATCATCTTATATATATTGCAGTCAATTTTTACATTTTAATATCACAAATCTTCCGCTAATTTCTAGAAAACCAGCATTGTCTCTCATACAGATTGTGTCTTGCGACCTACGAAACGTTTAAAAACCCTAATAAACGCCCAACTTCAGAATGCAAATCTCTAAACATGAGGCCTGAAATTGAAACAAGAGATGAATTGAAATAGCTTTGGTAAACCTTTAACGAATACTATCATGGCCATAGGTATCGATTTCCGAAACAGAGATCGCAGAATTGGTTTGCCGATGGATGTATCGCCGCCCAGAAAGGTCCACCGGATTCAAGAAGAGACAAGAGCGTAAACTGAAGAATCATCCCGCGGAGATCGGAAACCTCCGTTGCGAGAGTTACGACCAGATTCACGGAGGCATTGATCAGTAGTTGAATCCGTGAATGAAAACTTAGTAACTTTACATATCTATACCGAATAAAAACTTAATTAATAACTTTATACATCTATATCCATACTCAACTCGATGAGATCATCTTTTGTGAAAAATTGAATCATGTTGATTTTATTTTCGTCAATAATATGCATTGTGAAAAATTGAATCATGGAAACCAGAGACCACCTTTTCTTCTCTTGTTCTTACTCACGACAGGTTTGGGAGGAGGTAGCAGGAGGAATACTCAGGAACCGGTTCTCAACGGATTGGCGACAGATACTCAAACATACTTGTGACAAAAAAACTGACAAAACCAATGTCTTCATTCTACGGTACGTGTTCCAAAACACAATTCATGCGGTGTGGGGTGAAAGGAATTCAAGAAGGCATGGCGAGCAACCATCACCAATGGAAAAGCTAGTCCACATGATAGACAAGAACATCCGAAACCGGCTGAGTACAATTCGGAGTGGAAGAGACTTCAAATATGAAGGCGGCCTCCGATTGTGGTTTGGATCAAGAAAAACTCAAGTTTAATCTCATTATGTTAGAGATTCTTTTTCTATGAAACATATGCATTAAGTTGTAAAACAAATTTTTTTCTTCTCTTTTTTGAATATAATTTAACATCTATTCAAAAAAAAAAATAATATGCATTATGTAGGTTTGAGTTTGGGTGGTCACTACTTAACAACACTATTACTTGTCCTAATCAATTAAAATTATTAAATATTGTTTGTTAGTAATATAGCATTTGTTAGATTCAATAGAAACGACATATGGTGTTAGTTGCTTTTAAATTATGTTGGCAATATTAATTACGTGTCATCGTTAAGTTAATAATTGGATGAGAGACACCATTCAGCATGTATTTTGGTTTACACTACCACTCTCAACTTTATAATTTTACTCCAAAATTAAGAACTTAATATTATTGGTGATAAAATTAAACTCTTTTTTTCTTCATCACACATGGTGATAAAACTCTCTTCACTATATGATTTTTACGCACGAATGCGTTAGCGGAAAGATATAAAGAGAAGATGATTAATACGGTATACTTTATATTATATATCATATCTTAAACATGTTAAGATGCAAGTATACAACATAAGAAAGCAAAAGATTTGAAAGCGATCAAGACGAAAAAAAAGACATGGTAATTAATATATAGCAGCTTAGATAGCCGTCTTTTATTTTACTTATACGAAACCATACTCTTCAAGTCTTTAAGCAAATCATGTCGTAATCCCCCACTTCACTTGATGCTGCAACCAATAGAAACGATCAAGAGTATAAGTTACATCACTTAAATCATCGTGTTAAGATCGAGTAATTAGAATATTAGAGAAATGTAAAAACTTACGTGGCGCAGTTAGTGCTCGTAGAGATGGGATAGGGGATGCTAACACCGCACTTTCCAGGAAGGCCAGAGGCTAGACTTGGATTAACCCCTTTTGCAGCGGACTGTAAGCATCGGCATGCTTGTTGGCGGTCCGGTGTGGTTTGAGCCAGACCGTTCAACTTTTTGACTCCTGCACAGCACGGAGGTGGCACCACCCCACCTTTTGATAGGTAGCTTAGACACGGACTCAAGCTACTCGCCACTGTACCGCATGTGATTGCTGCATCTACTGATGCAACGATGAACACCGTCAAAACAAGGCATGTGAAGAACCTCAAAGCGAAAGCCATTGTGTTTGCTTCTTTTTTGGTGATTAGTTGGGTTTTGTTTTCTATGCTTGTGTTTTTGTTGTTGGATGAGAAAAGTGGGAGGTGATGATGGGTTTATATAGGAATTTCATATGGGAAAAAAATGATGACTAAGTAGGGTTTGTTAGTAGTTGGATTTGCATTTACTTCATTCATTCTCTCTAGTTTCTTCTACTAATCAAAAGAATTAGTTTCTTCAGTCATATGTAATTACGTAAACAACAGTATTATTTTTCAGAATTTACAAGACCGATACGTCAATATTTCTATACTGTTAAAAAAATATTTATTTATCTGCAGTTAAACTTGGTTATTTAAAATTATCATGTTTGACCGATGTTATAAGATACTAACAATAATAATATAGTTTAGCATAGTAGACAAGAGGAGATCGTTTAGAAAGCCGTATCTTCGTTGTAGATAAAATGTCAGCTATTAGTCGTACACTATGTAAACTAATTATAAATACCGTCTAATTAAATGCGATGTGCAGCTGATGGACAGGTGTATTGAACACTAAACATCACAATTCTCCCATCACATTAACTAATTATGGCCACTAGAATTAGGAAAGTTCACATTTTATGACTTACTACATAATTGAATGAGAGAGAGGTGATGTATGGAGTTTTTCTACACATTTTGTATAATCATTAACGTAAATGCGTTTGTCAACAACAATAAAAAAAAGATTTAGCAAAATAATCTGAATGATAAAAATTTATTATAATCGTACGCCAAAAATACGTTTTATAGCATGCAGGACGAGTTTTACGTTAATTTTTTTTTTTTTCATCAACGAGTTTTACGTGAATGCCACATCAATTCAATGCATAATTGCATACGATCTTAGAGCAACCACATCTGTTGAAATAAGTTTTTGAGTTTTTATATATTAAATATTAATTTTTAATATTAAAAAAATAGACCATTAAAAAATAGACAAATGGAGTTTCTAAAATGTCTAGCAATGTACCTTAAAAGAGAAACTTCTCTAATTTTCTCTTTTTTTTTTTGTATTTCTTTTCAATATTATAATCTTGAGAAACCTTCTTACAGACAAGCGTTGTGATTGCTTTTAGATTATCTCACTATAATAGGGCGACCAAATAGTCTATATATAATTATCCTTGAAGCGATTCTTCTCAAGCCAGATACACGAAACCGAATTTGTCTTAGGTAGTACATAGCATAGAATGCTAAATACCCCTCCATAACACTACATATCGCTCTATGCCTCTATAAGCCATAAACTCATAGTCACATGCATGCAGTCTCATACATTTCTCATAATTACACATAATACAAAATTTCTTTAATTTTTGTGTTTCCTTTCTACGTACGCATGTGATGATGCTTCTCCGATGTCTTAGAGAGCTTGGGATCTGAAGGACGTTGATGTATGGTGTTGGATACTATCAGCCAAAAACCGTCAAGCAACATCGTACAAGATTGATAAATCTCCCACATGTGCAATAGTCACAATTTAACTACACAAACCTCTGCCGACACTAATATCATGTAGCAATTATTTTATATACTCTTAACGCATAATATACTGTAAAACATCATCATTTATATCCATTTTATGATATAATAAATATCAGTATCGTCTAAAATAAAACTAAAATAACCAGTGCAATTTTGTATAATATTCATATAAAATTGCGAGAATCCTCCGTGTTCCACAGATTATGATGATTGTTGTGAGCTTTGATTTATGGTTTTCACGTTGTAATAAAAGCTTTTTTAAAACAGTAGAACTTTCTTAGTTTTTTCTAAGACACACAATTGGTAACAAATATAAATTGTGCTAAAAATATATAGTTATAGTTAAACTGTAAAAACTATTACTATACAATGTATGTAAAATATCTTAAAGCTGTTTCTACTTCTATACACATTATCGTTTTCTGTTTATGAGAGAGATTGCTTTACCTTAATATGATTTTTGCGATGCTTAATTACTATGAGATAAAACTATTCTGAAATCAATTTATAATTAAGGACCCTGTACTAAAATAAATATAAATATTAAAAATCGAGAGCTATAGAAAAATCCAGAATTTTAGAATGCAAATGGTCGTGCAATTAGAATAATAATGTATTTGATTATATATTAAAAATACTCACCAATTATCCTTTATAATTTTATCCAGAAATTTCTAGAAGAGGAAAAAAACAAGTAAATGCAAGTCACATTTCACATTTCAAATTACCAACTACCAACTACAAACTACTTCCGCATCTGAAATTGAATCACTACTTTATATGCTCATCATTCTTTTCTTTCATTACAATCCCTACACCAGGCTAAGAATTTTGGTATTGAAATTCTAAATACTTCATAAGAAACTGTTGGAATAATTTTTTTTTTTTTTGGCTCAACATCTACTATCATTAACCAATCAAGAAACTGTTAGAATCATTTAAAAACCGTGATCATGTATCATCCGTAGAGAAATTTTATTCATCTTTTATATTTAAGTGCATTTTTTTTTTCTTTCACCGAACCTTATGGCCATATATAGTTAATTAATAGCAAATGAAAGGTGGTCCAATGGAAATGCAGAATGTGATTGGGCTAGTTGGGAGAGTTCTGATGTTTAGTGTTGGGTACACGTGTTCGTCAGTTACACATTGCATTAAATTCGACGGTATTTCATTATTCAAATTTAGTTCACATAGTACGACTAATAGCTGATAAATTAATGATTATGTACGAAACAAAAATAAAATAAGTTATTTGATAATGTAATGGAGATACTATATTTTACAAAATTCATCGCAATGCTTTCTACTAATTTGCTTAGTGGTCTTCTCCAGTTAGTCTTGTCGATGCCAAGCGATATTATTAAATCTTGAAGCATCGCTCAAGTATTATATATCTTACGATAACCAAATTGTTATATATACTTTAAAAAAAAAAAAAACTAGTAAAATTTAAAATTTAGAATATTTAGATATATTGGTAATCTATAAGATATACTCTTTCTGCTTCTAAAAGGATTAATTTTCAAAATTTTCACACATATTAAAACAATATTAATACTATCCACATAATTCTTTTATCCTAAACAATTTTCAATAATCATAAACCAATAGTAACTTAATAAATTTAATTATTTTCGAAATAATGCTTTTTGAAGTTTACAATTCATTAGTAATCAAATCTTTTTGGAACAAAAGAAAAAATTAGAAAATCATTTGTTTATAAAGCAGAGAGAGTACATAGTAAACGATGTGGTAGAAGAAACTAGAAGGAATAAATGAAGTAAATGCAATTCCAACTACTAACAAACCCTACTTAGTCATCATATTTCTCCATCTAAAATCCCTATATAAACCCCATCATCGCCTACCATTTTCTCACATCATATCCACCAACAAAAACACAAGCTTATAAAGCAAAAATCAACTAATTTTGTTATCAACCAACAAGAAGAACAAACACAATGGCTTTCGCTTTGAGGTTCTTCACATGCCTTGTTTTAACGGTGTGCATAGTTGCATCAGTCGATGCTGCAATATCATGTGGCACAGTGGCAGGTAGCTTGGCTCCATGTGCAACCTACCTATCAAAAGGTGGGTTGGTGCCACCTCCGTGTTGTGCAGGAGTCAAAAAGTTGAACGGTATGGCTCAAACCACACCAGACCGCCAACAAGCATGCCGATGCATACAGTCCACTGCGAAGAGCATTTCTGGTCTCAACCCAAGTCTAGCCTCTGGCCTTCCTGGAAAGTGCGGTGTTAGCATTCCCTATCCCATCTCCATGAGCACTAACTGCAACAAGTAAGTATTTTCTTTTTGTTTTACTTGGCCAAGTACTCGATCTAATTTATTTTTCTAATGGCATAACTTATACTCTTGATCGTTTGGATTGTTGCAGCATCAAGTGAAATGGAAGCTTACGTCATCATTTGCGTTAAGAGTATGGTTTAACATAAGTACAATAAAAGGGGCGGCTATATCTTAGCTGATATTACCATGTCTTTGTTGTCTCGATGCTATGTAATCCTTTCCTTTCATATGTTGTATTGATGCGTTTAAGATATGATAATAGTACCTTATTAGCCATCTTCTCTTTAGATGTTTCCTCCAACGCATACGAACGTAATAATCATATACTCATATGTGAAGAGTTCTATATAAGTAACCAATAATATCAAGCTCCTAGTTTTGGAGTGACATTATAAAATTGATATTTATACATACGAAGAACGGAAGAAGACATGCTGATGACTGGTTTTTCTCCTTTAACCAAAAAAAATAACAAGGTTCTCTCCATTTACTGTTAAGTAAAAGCTCAGCTGCAATAGAAATTTTACCATAAAAAAAAAACAATGTTACTAACCTTCAAGATTTAATTAGGCATCAATGAAAATTGTGAATCTTTTATATTTCTTTGAACAGACTAGGAATACTATACTTCCTTATTATAATTTGGACAAAACTTGGGCCTTTCGTTATTGTAATGATATATATCTTCCTAATGTGTTAATATTTTGTATGTTCAGCATCAAACATAAACGTATTAAATTTATTTGTTCTCCCAAGCACCTTGGAGATGATATCAGTGAGTTCAGTATGAATATATAAAGTTACTAATTGCTAATTCTGCGTGTGTGTCAAGTTACTAATATTGTGAAAAAAATTCGTCCAATATACTACACAAAGCCATCTCAAAATCCTCTTTCAGCGAAGTAAGCCCATTTTACCGCATATAATATTTTCAAATCAGAGAGCATTTAGTATGGTTGCTAGTGAAAAAATTTCAGATTTGGTCTCCTCCTATGGCTAGCTATCAAGCTCTAAGTGTGTAACCTCCAAAGCCGACATTGCGAAAGCACTGGAATTCATACGTTAGAACATTTTGTTCCACATTTCGCATATGCTCAATTAGGTGTGGAAATTGGTAAATTTAAATATTACGATAAATGTAACCAATTTTTGTCATACACTTTCGGTTTGCAGACGATTTACTCATATTCCTTGACAATTCGCTTCAATCCCTCAAGTGCTGGAGGATTTCAAAACAGTCTCAAGACTTGAGATATATGTTAACAAAACCAATTTTTTCCACTATGGGCTTACTCTAAAAGAACTCATATCCATCAATCTAAATGGTTATAACTTCCCTTTTTTTTGGGATAAAAATAATGGGTTATAACTTATAAGCATCATGTCACTTTGATTTTTGCGCCGTGGCATCAGCTCTATCTCTATCCGATATTCAAGGCCTACCTTTTTCTACTAGGAAACTTTGGCAGAGGCTGTTTTCTCGTTTATTGACTAAACCAAGTCTAAAATGGCATCATAGACGATTTATTATATGCATTTCTCTTTTTCAAATCGTGTCTAACAAATCAAGATCGCTGGTTTGTTTAGCCTTAAGGACATTCATTCAAGTCAATGACACAAATCTGTGATGGGCCTTGGGCTTTCAACAGGTCCGTCAGATGCCCAGAGTCTCCTTTACTCAGCCGACGTCTTTTCACCAAGTTTCCAAGTCAAACCGAATTGAAGACCACATCCTTCAACTTATTTAAACCATGTCTATAGCTCAATCTCCAAACCCAGCTTGGTTTTATTTAAGGACTCCGATAACCGGATTTACAAATTGAACTCAGCTCCGGGTTTATTCTTTAAATAAGCTGGTTAGGAGAGTTGTGACATGTTTGATGTTGGATACGTGTCCCGCAGTTATACACTGCATTGATTTGGACGGTAGTTGACATACGGCTATTAGTTGTTAAATCTCCGATTACTAACCAGTAACCACCATCTCCGACCTTTTCACCTGTTAAATTTTATTTAAGAGAATATATGTACAATATTGAAGACCTGGCTTATAATCAATACATATATCTTAAAATAAACAAAGATAGACGACAGAAAAATTAATGTACATAGTACACGTATGTAACTGATAAATTTATTGATCAATGTACATATTACTAGTACTCATAACTGAAAATAAATTAACTTGCTGTCGGATACGTCCCTTAGTAGTTACACATTGCATTAAATTGAAATATTAACGGTTATGAAATACTCCGTAGTCCGTACACATAGCTGACAAACTATTGATTTTTGTACACATATGATTAGCGAAGCATTTTTGCCCAAAAAAAAAAAATGATTAGCGAAGGCTGCGAAGCATATATGTTACCAGTATTATTATCCAAATTCCAAATGAATCCTCTAAAGCGCCTATAAGCATTGATATCTTAAAATACGAAAATATACAAAATACGAGTAGCTATATTGATGTTTATAGACACTCTTAACATACTAAACAATGTGATACTATTGGCCGGTTACGTATGAGTCATATGATATGACTATTGCAACACATTCTTTCTCGTTAGTGGAAGAAACTAGAATAAATGAATGAAGTAAATGCATATCTAACTTCTAACAAACCGTACTTAGTCACAATTTTTTTCCATCTAAAATCCCTATATAAACCCATCATCACCTCCCACTTTTCTCACATCCAATAGCAAAACACAAGCTTAGAAAACAAGACTCAACTAAACCTCTACTTTTGTTTATAATCACCAAAAAAAAAAGAGCAAACACAATGGCTTTGGCTCTCAAGTTCTTCATATGCTTCGTTTTGACGGTGTGCATAGTTGCATCAGTAGATGCAGCAATCTCATGTGGCACAGTGGTAAGTAACTTGGCTCCATGTGTCAACTACCTATCAAGAGGTGGTGTGGTACCGGATCTGTGTTGCGAAGGAGTTCAAAAGTTGAACGGTATGGCTCAAACCACACCGGACCGCCAACAAGCATGCAAATGCCTACAGTCCACTGCAAAGGGCATTTCTGGTCTCAACCCAAGTCTAGCCTCTGGTCTTCCTGGAAAGTGCGGTGTTAGCATTCCCTATCCCATTTCCTTGAGCACTAACTGCGACAAGTAAGCTCTTTTATTGTTTTACATATATAGTTAGTCTCCTCTCTTTTTCTTTTTAACTTAGCTAAGTACATAAACACCATGATGTACTTTTTTATAATTTCCTAACTTATACTCTTCATCGTTTTTATTTTTGCAGCGTCAAGTGAAGTTGGAGCTTACATGTATCTTCAGATTATGGTTTAACATAAGTAAAATAAAATACGTCTATGTACGCTGATCTCACCGTGCCTTTTTCTTGTGGCTTTGTAATCTTTTGCTTTCTTCTGTTGTTTCTTAACATGTTTAAGATAATAATAGTACCATAATCCTCTTTTATTATATATTTTTCCAACGCCTTATCTCGCAATAATCTTAGTGACAAGTTCTCTAACAAAAAAAATCAGGGATTTAAGGATGGAACGAAAATATAAAACTGACATTGGTAAGGAAAAATGGTGCAAACTTAATTGTATCATTTTTGTTAAAAAGTATAATAACACAGATGTTAGCCTAACGATCACCAACACTATTAATTAACAACATCATTTAAATATATATATATATATAATACAATTACTATATGACTCACCACCAAAAGGTCCAAAACATCTCAATTTCAATATGCGTAAAGACAACTTTGAACTTCAATGATAGAAATCTTATATTTCAGCTTTTTATGTTCATATGGAAAACTTCAAATTCTTATATTTCAGTGATATATTCACAACAAATTATATATCCCGGCCGTCACGTTAATTAGAACGTGCATATAATCGTGTATATTAATCTACATTTAAATAAGCTAAATTTTGTTTTTGTTTCTAGCGTTTTGGTAAGAATATCGGCGAATTGAATATCAATATTAAAATGTTATATCGCCATATCGGCGAATTCCATTCACCATCTCATCACAAAAATGGAAATCGATTTCAATATATTCTTAACGCGTCATTAACAAATATAATTAGCTTCATAAGGTCTTTTCTCCCATCCATAACACTCTGACCTTCGTGATTTCGGAGAACCCACCCAACTCCACTCTGATCTCCTTCTCCTTGCCAAGCCCCATATGTATTACTTTTGTGACTAAAACCAAAATGGCAACAGATGAAATATGTTCCCTTTGCTTCATTGTGAATTAAGATCTGTTGCCATCTGTCGCCCGTAGCTACTGCCAACAAATTGGCTACGGCTAAAATCCTCGAAAATTCACGACAAATTTAGCAATAGAATTTTGTGGTTGTTATTATGGCCAGGAGTTTAAAAATGCAAGATATATTAGCTAATTTTGTGACTAGTTTAGAAAGGCAAAACCATTAGTGGTGACAAATTTAGCAATTTTAAAGTCGTTTAGCTAAAAGCACGCTAAAAAGATCTATATTTTAAAAGTTCAGCCAATCATAAAAGATACTGTATAATAAAAAATAATCATAAAATATTAAAAAATTAGAGAATATTAAGTAATTTGGCTTGTGTTAAAAAAAAATAAATAATAATAATTTGGCTTAAACGATAATAATGCAGCCCACAGGCCCAATAAGAAGTTATGCGATCATGTCACATAGTTTTGAACTTGATCAGCAATCGAATATATAATTTGCATAATTTTGAAGAAAGGTAAAAGAAATAAATGAAATTGAAATATTCAGTGAAATGACTGTACTTGTTAAATGAGTATGATTATTATCTTTAAATTGAAACGCTAAATTTTAAATTGCGACAAAAATATATAATTACATTCCGTTGCGTTTCAAAATGTTCATTAGTTCCTCCATAGTTTGAAATTAAAAAAAAAAAAAAAAAAAAAAAAAAGCAACTAACGATAACATAAAATATAAGTTTCATTAACCCCTCGTTACAACGCATTTCCACTACTATCGAAACGACGACTAGTCCCACCAGAAAAGAAATCAATAAACGGCTGCTCTCGGCCGCCACCGTCGCCAGAACAAACCCCCGGAGAATCACTACCAAGGGCAAAACTGGAATTTCCAACACCATCGTCATTAGTGGCATCCAAAGGCTGAAGTGGAAAAAGAGGAAGTGTTTTCCGCCCACTGGAATTGCCGTTAATGCCCTCACCGTAATAACAGTGATCACGAAGGGCAAATCTGTCATATCTGAGTGAGCTCGAAGACATTGGCATTCTAGTTGATGTTGAGTCTGAAAGTTGTTTCTTATGTTCTGTGGTTGTCCGTTTCTCGTAGCCACCACTTGGAATCATCACATTGTTTCTGTGAAGAAGATCGTTTGTGTATACACTTCCATGTTGCTGATTCAAACCTACTTGCTGCAAATAGTACGGACTAACACAACCCACTTCATAACAAAAAAAAAAAAAAACAATTTCATTTTGTAAGTCCCAATTATTGATAACAATGAAAAACAACATAAACTCACAAGAAAACGGAAGAAATCTGCTAATCCAAAGTACATAATTTGCTCATAAACATCTCAAAATAGTTCCATGATAATCCTTTCGCATCCAATCATATGTTTTTATATTAACTTTTTAAAAATCAATTTGAATCTCAGACAAAAGGCCAAAACTCAATTATATATATGTATTCAATGACATGTTCCTTCTAAGTTTTTTCGTTGTCCAGATGTATTTCACAGGCTTTATTTTCAATTCTTTAATACGTAAAGAAAACGTCGCCAACAAAAAAAGAACCTATGATGTATGGTTTAGAAAATTATAAAATAGAACGTCGAAGTTTACGTATAAGTAAGAGAAAGGATGAGAACTACGTGCCGTTTGAACAAGGAGGAGGGTGGAAGAAACGGGAGGTTTTGTGGAGGAGACGATTGAAGTAAGCCATGCGCTCCTGTTTCTGCTTTTGGCGTTGTCTAGCCTTATGGTTCTGAAACCAGTAAAAGACGTTTTTACCCTCGATATGGCCGTACGCACGGAGCCTGCCGGTGATCTGCTGAATCTGATCGGCGCTCGGAGTTCGTATTCCTTGCTTGTAAAGATTTTCCAGTAGCGTTATCTGATCTTTTGTTGGGTTCCATCGTGAACTGCTTGCCGTTCCAACGTTTCCTTCGTTTTCCATTTATTTGTGTGTCTAAAAGTTGTTTTTTGTTTGGGGAGAGATTAGGGTTTAAAGGCGTTTTTCTGCATGTTGGTTTGAATGATGCATGAAATTCATGGGGAGGCTCTTATATTTATATAGCGAGTTAGTGAGGGAGTGGAACAGAGTCAAATGAAGAGAGAGACAGTGACATGCGTGTTGTTTTTTGTGCTAGAGACTCTGAAAACATCGTGTGGAGCGGCTGAGATGGTAAAAAAGAGGCTACTTTTTATGAGAAGAGACAAATGGAAAGAGAAAACAAAAAACAATTTGGATCTATTCATGTTTTTTAATAAAAATGTTGCGTTTATAATAATTAATTTATCATAAACTGCGGCTAATAGAAAAAGAGAGATAACACAGTAGTACTTGTCAATGTCAAATTGTCTATAACATATAAAAATGTTTTCCTATATGTGAATTTTATTTCAGTGGATACTCTGTATAATTGTTAATTGCGACTTTATTATTTTTTTCTTATTCTTTCTGGGGATTACGGATGTTTTTTTTGAATTTAATGAAGAAGAGCAAGTTTTGGAAATGAAAGAGATAGTAAGGATAAATACGAACGTTAAATATAATAGGGCGGCAAAAGATAGCTGGTTGGATTGTGTTCTTTGTAGGTCATGAGAAGCCTACATATCTAGTTTGCTTCGGAAATTGACATATCTTATATTATATCATATTTTCTTTGTAATATTTGTATTTATATAAAACGACAATATGAAGTCGAGTAGCTTGGCTTTTCGATTTCTTAACGATCACGAACAAATTCAAAAGATTCGAGCAAAGAAACAAACACTTGATTATATTTAGTAAACCGTCAAAATAGAAAACTCTAGTGGCTTAGTTCTTTCGCCTCGTGGTCTCATTTCTGATGTCGATTCAATTTTACCTAGGTGAAGAGGAAATGGCGACTTCAAGTTTGGACCGTCATTTTCTTTCAGATAGAATCTTATTGATATCCGTACGAGATATATATCAAACATATTCATAGGTTTTTCATTAAAAATTAAAGTTTCTAAAAGAGAGCATACTTTAGTTGAGCGGCAAATCTTAACGATATGCTTAACGTATGCACAAAACGTTTATTTGGAACTATATATTGGTAATATAACAATAAAGCATAACTGAAAAATATTACATCGCATATATAAAACACAATTTTCTAACTGTAATAAGTACAAAATTTAAGAAATCAATAAAATGAAAAATGGCTTCAGAAAGCTGCTTTTTGGAGTATATTCGTTGTATACTTGTAGATGAAGCAATCATATATGTACAACGCTTCAATGTCGTGCTTGTGGTGTTTAACTTTTCTTCCATACAATTGCACTATATAACATATACAGTAAGAAAAATACACTTTTCACGGTACAGAGACAGTTATACAGACGTACTTTAGAACATTGCTATCACATATTTATTACTTCCTCATCCTCTTATATTATCTTTACTTGCACAATAATTTGTAAAGTAACATAGTGAAACATAATTGATTTGTTGAATACCCTTGTCTTTAATTGTCTTAGATTTTTCCATCACATATTTTTACATCACAATCTTGGCTTAATACATATTGACTTCGATTAGTAATATAGTATTGCATAACTATATAATGATATAAGTTGCAGAATGAAAAACATATATAAAATTTTAAGGAATAAAAAATCGCATAATAAAATTGTACTAATTGGATATATTTGCAGACTAACAGAATAATTTTCATAACATAAACAACTATACACCTATTTAATTACATAATAAATTTTAACTTATATATTTTAGACGAAAGCGCAAATTCTGCATTTTTACGTTTTCAAACAATATATATATATATATATATTTTTTTTTTCTGTAAAATATTTACATAATCACATTAAAACACCATTTCATCATTATGTGTATTACCAATCAAAGCCATTAATACAGTATGTTACATGTTTTATAAGTTAGCTTTCAATTCTGAAAACTAGACTAGTCAAACAAAAAGTCAGAATTAAATTTGACACAGTTCTGATTTCTGACTAACAGAAGGATGCCATTGTACGACTATCAATTAGTTAAAAATTCATCGTGTTTACGCCTCGAACTTTAGATATAGAAATGTGCAATACGCATATATGTAGACTGTAAGAATTTGTGAAAAGTTGGCATGGGGAATGACAAATTGTGAAAGCAAAAGACATGCATGGCTTCAATTTGAGTCTCTTAGGCACCTACGAATCTATAGGAGCAGAGATTTGCCTCGAGAAAGAGTAACACTCTCCAATCTCTTCATTGATTTTCATGATTCAGTGAAATTTGAGCCAACTTGATTCGTTCAGCAAATATTTTACATCTTGTTTTCGTTTAATCCAGATAAGAATGATAATCACGATGGCAGTTTTATTTAATTTCAAATTTAATAAAATAATCTCTCATAAAAATAATGTTTAATGTACAATCAGCATAATACTACTACGATAGAATATAGTTACCTAATTTTATTTTTACTTTTAGAAACAGCACTCCCTAAAATGAATTCCTCTTATCTGCGATTTTTCTATTTATTATATATATATAAACAAAAAAAAAATAGTGGTTTTCTTGCAAAACAACTTTTATTTGTGCTTTGAGTTTCATCTACTCTGTTTGTTCTGCATTATTATTTTATTTTTGAATCTGATATTTGTAGCTGAACTATAATACTATATTACGTATGTATAACTGCCGTAAAAGGCAATTTTGTCTCCTTTCTGAAATTTCAAATTGCATGTGTGTAAATTTATGTTAAATGAAATTCTCTTCGACATCCGTTTTCTGTTCCGGAAACAGAAACTCTACGAAAACGCGTTTTCTAAACATATATATTCGAAAACAAGATAGAAACGTGAAATTTTTTGTTTTTTTTTAATTTAAAAGTCTAATAAATAAAAGTTTGGAAATATTAAAATTTATAATACATATAACTAATTTTGGAAAATCGACTTTAAAAGTTTTCTCTCGACAAACCAAAGCCAAAGACAATATTGTTTGATGGAATTGATGAAAATATGAATAAAAATGATGGTCTAAATATTTGAATTTAAGCGTTTTAATTTTTATCTTTTACAATTTTAATTGAACTATTTAATATTTATGTTTTAGATTAATTTATACTTATACGTTTCTCCCACGTTTTTATTTCCTAATTTTGGAAAAAAAATTGTTTTTCGTTTTCAAAACGTTTCGTATCCACTTCCATGCAACATAGGTGTAACATATAGGTAATTTCTAGAATTTTTTCTGTACAATTTTAAAAATAGTCCCTCTATTTATCCCTTTTTAATTATTATATTATGTAAATTTAACACTACATAAATTTTAACATTAAATAAAGAGGGTAATGCTTTCGTATGTACTCCTCCTATCTATATAATTTTATACAAACACACAAATTAGTAAAGTCATTTAATACAAACTTCCTCATTATTTGATCATAGCGCTATTAGCGCTTGAAAAACATACAATATTAAAATTTTGATATAAATAAAACATTAGTGAAGATCACGCAGTTGTCTTTGAAGTTTTAATATTTTTCTCCGGGTCTGATCCGAATCCGATTTAGAAATTCAGTTCATCTTTTACTTTATTAGGCTTTTTGTGAGGTTCCTATCTCCGGTCGGTTTAACTCCGGTTCAGCTGAGTCTTCGGTTCATTGAAGCTGCCTAGTTAGTTATCCACTGGAGAAAGAGATGGGCTACAGTTTGTTGGAAGGCCCAAATGAAAAAGCTGGAAGAAAAGCCCCGATCGAGAAGTTGAATTTCTAGACTTCAAAATCCATCGTCTTCTCTTTATCAAATTAGAACAAATCATCTTATAGACCCAGTATATATTTTTCTTGCAACTTATATTTATATATTTTATCTTTCGCCGACCTCTAATTAGTAATTACATTATATATTATAAAAAGATAAATGAAATATAGTTTTTTTTTTTAACACAAAAATGAATATATATGAAATACAATTTTGTATTGTTTGGTTTAGGCTTTAGTGTAAATTGTCTCACGTTTTATCAAAATTAAATAGTCAAAATTTATTCCAACGGTATATTTTTGTTTGTTAATATAGTAAACATAAAGAAACAACACAACAATTCGTAAATAGTAAACATAAAAACACACTTTCTGTCTATATAATAATTTAAAAATCACCGATATTATTGGAATCAAAACAAGGAAAACAAACAGCTATAATGAGTTTGTGGGCGACGGTTGTCTAACCCTTTGGTTCTGTCTATTTATTATCTTATCCAATCATATTTTCTGGTTTCCCCTCGTGGCTTCTTCAATTATTATTCCTCACAAACCTTTCAATTTTAAAATGTTGCTACATTTGCTCTTTAAACTTCTTTATACGAAGAAAAAAAGATTGCAATTTTATTAACTTTTGCTTTATTTCGAATAAGTATTAACACTTTTATTATAACCATATACGTTTGATGGTTTTCAAAATTCATATGTATGTATATGAGACATATTTAGTAAGAAACTGAGATAAGAGTTTGTATCCTACTAGTTTGTAGTACGAAATTGAAAACAGGGAAACATAATTGGTAACTGACATACCCGACCATATTATTGAACAACTGTCTAAACACTTTCCAGATTATTGCAATTGACTAAACATTTAAATAAGTTATGAGAAAACGCCATTTGGCAAATTAAAACATATCTATACTCTTAAGTGAAAAATGCGAAGATATATAACAGTCTTGGTTCTTTGTTTCGAGAGATTGGCTCTTAATGGATAGGAGAAGGTAGATGTTATCATTGGTTTGGCCGGGGGCATTCATGATAAATCACACTCGTAGGTCTTCCTTGTGAAGAGGTCTCTTTGCTTTCTTGAGACTTTTGTTCTTCCTTTCGATTTTAAGTCGTTTTAGCTTTTGTTCTTTGTGTAGGGTTACAATTTCTTTCGAGTTTGGGCTTAAGAGTTCTGTTTTGTATCCCTAGCTTCTATCGTTTCCCTTGTTTGGGCTTTGTCTCCGAGGACATTTTGTCGTCTGTCGGCTTTAGTTTTCCTTGTTTAGGCTTTGTGTTCTTGTATGGTTTCACATCAAGCTTTAATAACAATAACATTCCAGTTGACAAAAAAAAAAAGTATTGTTGTGGAAGACACGCGGAGGGGAATCTTGGGTTGTATCGACAAAAAAGAAGAGAATCTTGGGTTGATGGCTATGACTGTTTTTTCACTGTGTAAGCTCAAAACTTCCTTTTTTAAGAGCGTATCTAACTATCTATTATTTGCTTCTAATAAAGAAAAAGTTTTTCCCCAAAAGGTAAAATTATTTGAAAAAAAGTTCAAAGGTGTGAAACTTGGTAAAGGTTGTAATGGAGTTACGAAGAATAAATGTTTGATTGGTAATTGTAGTTGTAGAAAGCATAAAACAGTAATTGTAAGATGTATATAGCAAATTATATGGAGCTGTCGTTTGTTTTGTTTATTTCGACGATATACAAAAACAGAAATTCTTTTTAATTAATACTAATAATATTTCTATTAATGCTTTTATTATAAAATGTTGTGGAGTTGTACAAACAAACAAAAATAGTTATAACGTGGACCGTTCAATTCTTGTCAATTTATAATATTTTTTGCAGATATAAACTGAAACGATATTACAATCATTGTAACCTGAAAAAGGCTACCATTTCAATAATAAACAACATTATCATTAATTAAGCTCAGACTTTAGATACCGATGATATTCACTTAAAAAAATTATTTAGGATACCCACAAAAATATGCAAAATATAGATTGCATATGAGATGTAACTAAAATGTTGACAAAATAAATGTTTAGTAAGATTAAACTCTACTAAGGTTGACGAAAATAACCCTATTACTATTAAGTGATCTCAAACTTAAGATAGAAATGACATCTAGGTAAGAAACAATATCCAAATAAAAACGGGAATAAGTGGTATAATTTAGTATTTGCTTAGGTATAAAACGCTTTTACAACTATTTTTAAAACTATAAATCTAAAAACACCATTTTTTTTTACAAACAAACTATAAACTAAAATAATCAAATAATGAATTAATGTGTTTATACACAAATGAAAGTATAAAAATAAAAAACTGCATATGCAAGTTGACATCAGCTTCCGGTCATTATCATTAACTTAAAGAGAATTAACAAATAATTAGATTTAAATACTGATTTTGGGTTAAACATAACTATATTATCTTTAAAAAGTGTACTCTAAATTTTCTCTCTTTTTTCTTTCAAAATGTTGAATTAAAGGCACCATGACTTGGTCCTTTTGTGGCAAGTATAACAAAGAACCCAACTTGTGAACCTAAATTGCTTTGAAAGAGAAGTTCTTTTCTCTGTTTCACTTAAAATAAGATAGCACAAAAAAAAAAAAAAAAAAAAAAACTGTCTTTCTCTTTCAATCTTAATTTCTCTGCTCACCATCAAGGCAAGTTTCCTTCTTTTGCTCCTCTAACAATTTCCATTTTTACAAAAACAAATATCTTATTTCCAAAAGTTTCACACATTTAGGTTTTTCTCAATCGTTATATATGGTAACCAAGTCTTATTCCATTCCTCTGTAATTCACACAAATTCCTTGCCAAAATAAGGTTTTTTTTTTTTTTTTTTTTAATGTGATGTGAGAATTTGGGTGAAGAGAAAGATGAAGACTATTAGTGGATTAGGTATTGGTTTGAGTTTAGTGTTTCTTCTACTAGCACTTGTTGCAGAAGTCTATTACCTTCTGAGATGGAAGAAGCACAAGAAGAGAGTCACAAGCCAAGAGAGTGAAGAAGAGAAAGAAGAAGAACAACCAAACGGATACGCTAAAGAACTTATCCAGCTCTTCTGCTTCAAAAAGCCTCAATCTTTGCAGCAAAACAATGGAGGAAGAGAAGGTGAAATCTCAATGAATCAAGATGTGAATCCAGATTTGGAACTTGGGTTGATGAAACACTTGAATGGAGGAGATCTAGGGTTTGAAGCAGAGCTTATGAAGCTTCATAACCAGAGGTTTCTATTCACAATCATGGAAGAGACAAAAGCAGATTTGGAATCTGATGATGGCAGCAAATCAAGATTAGGTTCAAGATCAAGAAGAAGAAGCTTGAGTGATGTTCCTAATGACTGTAATACCCCTGGATTCACTCCATTGGCTTCTCCTACTACACTAAAGTCATCTCCTTTGGAGTCTTATCCACACCATGGATTCAATCCTCTGTTTGAGTCAGACGGTGAGCTTGAGTTTAACAAGTTTTTCAGGTCGTCTTCTTCACCTCCACCAAAGTTTAAGTTCATGAGAGATGCTGAAGAGAAGCTAAGGAAGAGAATGATTGAAGAAGCCAGAAGAAGAGAAGGGTTAGCTTCGGTTGTAACACAAGGTTCGTTTTTGAAGTTCATGAATCCTGCAATGAACAGAGAGAAGAAACAGAGTATTCAAGAATCTGATGAAACGGTGTCGTTTTCTCCTTCTTCTTCATCAGGTACAACAAATCTTAGAACGTTAGTGGTTGTTTAGTTTTAGCATCTCTAGCTCTACTTTTTTAATTTTTAATTTTTGGTTGAAATTTTTTTCAAGAATTTCAATTTTATTTGTGTGAAAATTCTATCTTTCCTTTCTCTCGTTCTTGTTTTTTGGGAATGATTTTCTTCTGTACGTATCAATCTGAAAAATTTGCAGATGCTTGTTTTAATTTCGTCTAAGAATAATTATAAGCTAATAGAATTATATCATTTGTCCTCTAATTAAAAATGCTAATAGAACTATAATTATTTGTTAGTTCTGAAAGTTGGGGTTAATAATTTGCAGATGCTTGTTTTTGTATAAAGCTTTGGGAAAGTAATGTGAAATAACAATGTGTTAGGTTTGAAAGTTGGGGTTAATAATTCAAATCTTTACAGCGCCACAAGTTGAAATTTTTAGCCTCTTTTAAGTTTTTTTAATAAAAAATCTACCAGAATAAAATATAAAAAAGTGTAATGTTCTTCCTGTCAAAAAAAAAAAAAAAAAGAAGTGTAATGTTCTTTGATAATTAGTATAAGTGCTTTAAAGCCCGTAAATTATGGCACAACAAAGCATGAGTAATTTGTTTTTACTTAATTTTTGATGCTTACTATTTTGAGTTTTCTAAATGTAAAAAGAACAAATATCATGGTATGGACTTATAGTATATACAGTTAAACCTCTATAAATTAATAATGTTGGAACCATGATATTTTATTAATTTATAGTGATATTAATTTATCTATAAATTAATATTTATTATTTTATAGGATTAATAAATTTATTAATTTATAGAAAGTTTTGTTTTCATTGTTGAATTTTTTTAAAAAAATATGAAGAAAACAATGTGATCGAAAGAAAAATTAATGTTTTGGATTTTATAAATTTTATAGTTTTAGACTTAAACATTTAATATTTTGAAGAGAAAACAATTTTTTTTTACAATGAATAACAAAGATTATAAAGTTTACATATATAAACGATATACATAAATTAAAATTTATAAACAATGACATCTATAGTTGTATTTGAAAAACCTATACGATTATTAAAACAAAATGATGCATATTCTAAAATTTGAAAACTTAAAGTAAATTTTGGCTATTTTTATGAAAACCCTAATATATATATATGTAAAAATTTACATGATTATTAGTTTAGGATATTATTGGGACCATATTTTTATAAAGGGATTTCAAAAAAATTATTATCTTATTATCTTATCGAATTTAGTTAATTTTTACATTGGCCCGATTCAGGACCGGCAAAATTTATTAATTTATCGTGTTTATTAATTTATCGAGTATTAATTTATAGAGGTTCTAGTGTATATCTAGACTACATTTGAATAAAAACTTGTAAGAGAAAAATACTTTTTGTGTTGTCTGAACTAGAAAAAATTCAAGGCATCACGCGATGTATCGCCGAAAGGTTTGTGTTCATTTCACTTACCTTTTCCACAGTTTCCTTTTATATATAATGAAATATACCTACTCACACCTATGTGTATTTTGTTTGGTTCCTTCCAAGCAACCCAAAAATGCAAGATAAATTTGTTCAACTATCTACGGTTTGGTTTCTGCAGAAAAGTCAAAATTAAATTAAAAAAGCAAGTTTTATTAACAAAATTAAAGTTGTAAAAGTTTCTAATTGAAGTACATCTCTATGACTCTATCTAGCAGAAAAAGGTACCAAAAATCTTTTTCTATGAAGTCTTATTGGACCACTGACCGTAAAACTTTATTAGTGGTGAGTTAGCGACATTTTTGTCGTCAGAAACTCTATTTATTATTAATCACTATGAATAATCGGATGTTAAAGTCACAACTGAAAAGGTACCGAAAATCCTAATCTATTTAGTATTCATACTTTTAACCAGAAATGATCATTACATACTTTTTTTAGGTGTTTCAAATATCGACTGAAAACTATATTTGAATATATATTTTTTGGGATTCTTAAGTGGTTATAATAATATTTAAATTTTTTGTTTTTGAATACAATAACTAGAATTTGTCAATCAGTGATAATTACAAATGGACTTTTCTGGATCATGGTTGTACTGGTTCGATCATCGAGTCAGAGTTTAAAACCACTATTATTTTTGTTGTTGTTTATATCTTAATTACAAAAGAATTTGAATTAGACAGTGTAGCAGAAAAAAAAAAAAAAAAAACACTATAAATATAAACACCCTGTAATGGCCTGTATGAAACAAAAACTATCCGTATACGTACATTACGCATCTCCATACGTATAAATGTACGTATTAGATGACACATGTGAACATGGCGGCACGTGAAAGAACCAAACTCAAAGAGACAGAAAAGGGAAGGAAGGGGTCCTAGAAACACACGTCCACCTCGTAGGCCCCACCTTAAAACGTATTCGTAATTAACTATGATTTGTTTGTTAATCCTTTGTATAATCATGATTTTTTTGATAACATTATGGGACTGCATGTACTCGACCAGAAGGAAAAATCATTATAACAGATATGTATCGTCTGTTATAACGTCTTCTAATGATCTGTCATAATCAGTAGTTTTACATGAACAAAACAATTTAAATACAAAGATGCCAAAAAATTTCAAGAATCAAAATTTCAAATATACATCATATACGTATCCAAAACCTTTGATGTCAGTGACCAAGCCCTGATCTCCACCGTTGACACTTAGAGACAAAATATTCAAATTACTAAGACTATCCACATTGCAGTAGTTAGTGAAACTCGAATATTTAGATATGTATTATTTTAGACATTGTTTAGATGACCAATAGTTGGGACAAACAAAAAATATGACCAGTTGAACTTCCATTAGTAGTTAATTTATAGTTAATTACATTAATACTAGTGGTGGGTGCTATGTATGAAGATTGAAGAGACAACCTAACTAAACAATTGTAATTTTGTGCTTATAGATTCAGTTGGAATAACTTATCTGGCCATTGTGTGAAAGACTTGATCCAAAGATAAACATTATATATCTTCTATGTGGCTTTCCAATTCTGTACATCTTTCGTTTCTTGTTGAAGTCGTCTTTTCTTAATTAACTTAGTTTAGAAAGAAAAACTTATTGTGTTACGATTTTTGGAAAGGAGCAGAGAGACATCACATCAGTAGCTTAGTTTTACATCTGTCCTTTAAGGTTGGTTTGCTTGCTCAGCGGTAGGTTTGAAAACTTTCATAAGGTGATTTAGGTTTCTTTAAGCGACATCATTTTGTGTCTTTACGAATTTAGAACAGATAGGCCCATTAAAGGAAACTAAATGGGTTTAGGAATAACAAACGAAAACAAAAAGACTTGAAAGAAAAGAATGATTTAACGGAGTAGTACTTTTCAATCATGAGATGTTCTCTTCTTCTTTTTTTTGGCACACGTGTTTTTTTCGTCAGTCATAAACTAGAAAATCTATTTAGATTTACAACCTTATAAAATGCATATTTATTGATATAAGAAAGTAGATTAAAAGCCTGCAGAAAAAAAATAATTTTTGTGTTGTTGATCTTTGATTTGGGAAAATTATTAATTGTAATTTTGTTTTCATCGTGTAAAAGATCAGCAACATATTAAAACATAAATTAATTCGAATTAAGGGACAGAGGATTCAAGAACCACACCAACAAAATAGAAAATGCTCCAAAAATAGTAAGGATTAGCTATATATAACACACGTACGTTACTTAGAGTTAAGTGCTAATTTACTCGACAAATTTGAAGAGAAACCAAAACAAAGCAAACAAAAAGAAATTTTTTCAGAATTTGATTCTCCAAACTGATCCTTTAATTAATTTCCTGTTCGCCATCACCAAATAAACATTCGGAGACTAATGAGAAACCACTAAACCATCACGTGCTAAAAAGAGAATAAGTAAACTACAACATTCAACATCGAGAACTTAAATTGAAAGAGAACTCAACGTACAACCCAAAGAAACTTCTGATCTTTTTCTCTTCGCTTGGAATTTGTAAACTTGAAAAATTAGGAAAACTTGCACTTTTTAATAACGGCAACATTGAAGCATCTTCAGGTTAAACTTATTAGATATATATACATACCAAACTACTTTTTTGTATGTAAAATTTGAAGCATTCGATCATGGTTACAATTCAAACAAGAAAAATCTTATAATTTTTTTTTTTAAATATGCATACAATTAGGATCTTCATATTTTTAAAATCAATATATTAAATATATGTTTTCAATAAGAAAATAACATTCTACTAGTAGTTTCATACAGCTCTGAATACATAGATGCATAAATAACTTAGAGGTAATATCTTTGTATATATCAAGTGCGACCCCTGTTCTAAAAATCCCCGCCTAGCCTCGATTACTCCCCGCTTAATCGCTAGGCCCACCCTATCCGCCTCGATTAATGACTAATCCCCTAAAAAATCAGTAACCCGATTATTCTCCGCCTAATCCGATTACTTCCCGCCTAATCCGATTATTTTCCACCTTATCTTATATACCCCGATTATTTTTTAGATTGCAAGTATAAAAAAACCTTTTATTTTTGTTATTCAATCATTTGAATGGGGAGTTTGTGATGTTTTACAATAATTTGTGTTCAAATTTTAATAAAAATCATAAATTTGTAATAAAAATCATAAATTATTATAATATTGGATTAATATATTTTAAAAATATTAAAATAACCCTAAAACTAATCCCCGATTAATTCCCGATTTTAATCCGATTTTCCGATTAATCGCTAGGCCCATGCCGAGCGCCCGACTAGCGCCTAGCGATTTTTCAAACAAGGAGTGCGACTAAAGTAATTATAATATTACTCTGATTTGGAAAAAAGTGATATTAATATATAATATAATATGATTTACCTCGAGAGAGGAATATTTTGGTAAGAATAGGATGTGTGGGGATGATCAACACGAACGCATGTTTGCTTTTGTGGGGGGACAAAAGTCAAATACACTTAAAAATTTCAAGATTCAATCTTAAAGTTCCCTAACCCCCAAGACATTCAAAAAGTCAACTTATTGTTGATTGAGATAGATTAACCATATCCTTGCTTGGTTTTATGGACATTTAGCTTAGGATCCTCCAATTATTAAAAAAGAAAAGAAAAAAACAGAAGTAGATAACGTAAACAGACAAACGTAGATCTTGGATAGTAGCTGGAAGACAAACTTAGATAAATTGATATGATTTTAGATAAACTTACAAACATTAATGTAAACGAAAAATTGAATCCTAAATACTAACGTCAAAAATTTATGCACCATTATCCAAATCGAATACTGCAAACGATGTAATACATGCATTGTTAAATGGCCTACCATGAATTTATATGCGTATAGAACATGGATCAAGATCTAACTCTCTCAATATTCTTACAAGAAAGAAATATTCTTACCGAAATTTTGTCAAAAAGAAACGGAGTTCAATTTCAGATTAGTTTGATAAAAACACCAATCTTTTGTTATCTAAACTTTGGATTTTATATAATCACATCAATATCACACCAAACCCTAAACTTTTGTTTTCCTTTTTGATATAAACAGTCTATTTATATAGCGTATAAACTATATAAATAACGCAAAACAGAAAAAGTGAAAAAAAGAGAGACAAATCAAGCCATGGATAGATAGATATATATATATATATATATATATATATATATATATATATATATGTGTATATATAGACTATCGATTAAGATCTAGCTTTCTTGATCTTTTTACTAAAATCTTGAAGAACAGACGGAGGAAACATGGATTCGACCTCTCTGGCTACATCTAAAAAAACCACCGATCTCTTTACCCACATGGCTCTCCGTTTCATCGCCGGAATAGCTTTTGGCTTTCTCGGCGGTCGAGGAGGACAATAACACACACTGTTCGAGTTTCTCGGCGTCTCTGTGATCTTTACACGAGAATTTCCATCCTCACATTCCCATTTTCGTTTTCCTCTCGATCCATCTTGGAGCTTTTCTAGTTCTTCATCTTGTTGTTGGTGCTGGTGGTTTTGTTGTCTTTTAGATTGATTTTCTTGATGATGCGGAGATAATGATGAATCAGAGTCCGGTTTTGATGGAACTAGGAGACTCTCGGGTTGTTGCATGGCTTCGATATCTTTGTCATCAGAGAATAAATGAAAAATCTTATTATTTGACATCTTATCACATACAGGGAGAGAAGCAGGAAAAGCGAGAGTAATACCAAAAGAAAAAATAATGACTATGATATCAGAAACAACAAGAAGATCTCGATATATATTAAGGTATACGTGTATGCATATGTGTGCTTGTTTATATTATTGTATTTGTATATATATATATATATATATATATATGATGCAAATAAGGAGCAAAGAAATTGAAATTGAGATCTTTGTGTGAGTGTATCTTTGATATTTGTGAGTGTGTGCGCTTGGTATATAACGAAGAGCGACGACACCTCCACATCGACAAGGGAGCGAGAGGCATGCAGACAGTAAAATGAGAAGAACTTCTAATTTATAAATTTCTAAGAGATGAAAAAAAAAAAAAAAAAAATCGCTTCGCCACCCACTCACTTAGTCACCCACTCACTTAGTCACATTATTGTGTCTATAATAATACTATAACCAGTATAGATAGTTTTGGACTCATTGTCTCAACGAAAAATGTAGGAGTTTAACATGTTAATAGCCATAATTCTATAAGATAATAAATATTTTATAAAGAATATGTAAATATATCATTGGATGAATTATAAGATCAATTTTTAAAGCTGTGACTGATAATATATGGTAGAGTAAAATTTACGAGCCTATAATGGATTAAGAAGGTTTGAATACTTTGTTTTATAAAACTATGTGGGTCCTGAAACAGAGAAATTAAAATGGAAACCCACTTTGTGCGAGGGATCCAATGCATAAACAATTAAACACATATGAATATCATTCTGCATTTATGCATTTACATACAAACCAGAAGCATATGACTAATTATATATATTTTTATATCATTTTCTCTTATCTCTTTATGTAGTAACTGTCTATAAAACTTTAGCCATAAAGAAATCAGTCTTTCTCCATATTGAGAGTCAGATTCATGTCTTTTCACTATTTTCTTTTGTGTTAAAAGATCATCTTTTCACTTCTTATCGTTCTTATAAATAAAATAAGTGTATCAGATCACCAGATTCAATTTAGTCTAGAGATTCAAACTATCAGTATATAAAGTAGCGAATATTCAAAATTAATATTTTTAAAATAATTCAATTTAGTCTTCCTTTTTTTTAATCACCAGATTCAATTTAGACTATAACAATTTTTAGGAACTAATAATCATTTAAAATTCAAATATTTTTTTTATATATATTACCAGTTTGTTAATTGCATTTGAGGTGGACTAATCGAGATAAATTATCTTTTTGAAAAAAAACAATGCATGTCACATTATATCAACTGCAAGAAACCTACCTGATACAGTCCCTCGTTTATGTGGCTGAGTTAACCAAATATTTAGACAATAACCTAATAATGTCATAAAATACCTAATGACAACATTTGAATATAACAAAATACTCCATCTGTTTCACAAAGAATGTCATTTTAGAGTTTTGCACACAGATTAAGAAAACATTAAATTTTTTATTTTTTCTAAACAAAAACATCATTAACTATATACCTAAACATAATCTGCACAATAGTAAAACAATCTGCAGAATACTAATAGTCATAAAACATAAAAAATCATTAAATTTTACATTGAAAACCTAAAACGACACTCTTTGTGAAACAAAAATAAAACCTTAAAACGACACTCTTTATGAAACGGAGGGAGTAGTAATTAACCGTGATAATTAATTACCGTGTACTTGGATATAAATGGGAATTTGTCATATATATTGATAAAACCTAATAGTATTTGAACAGAATAATAGCCTTGTTATAGTTTGGTTTAGTTTTTCATAATAAAGGTGATCATGTGACTCATATACTTTACTTTAGATTCGTCAAAATCAAGTCACGTGATTAATTAAGATCTACTGCTTCTTCTATGGAATCTATTACCTTTTAAGCTTTATATCCGATTTTTCCATCGTTGATCTTTTATTCTTATTAATTATCTTAGCTTTCATCTGATCCTGATCATGTTACTCTTTGTAAATTATAAACATTAATTAACCTTTTATCAAAAACGAAAAATTTATATTTATTCATGTTTACACATTCACACTCAAAATACATTTGATAATCATCATAGATAAAAATTATTACCTAATACAATGTAAAAACATACAGAAAGCGCGTTGCATTTGCCGTAGTCTAAGGCTTCTAGTAAAAAAGTCGTAAGACTGATTCCTAGGATTCCTTCATTGACACTGATCATATGGTTTCGAAGAGGTTGTAGATTTGGTACGTGTTTTTCTTTCTTTGTCATTTACTCCCTTTTCATAATATTGTAGTTTTAACCACTCCCCATCTACATATATGTCCGGACCGGAATTTTTATAGAGATACATAAAAAATAGTAATCCAAATGCTATTATATTAAATGGGTACCAAAGAGGAACGGTTTTGAGTTTTATAAATTTTGAATGCTCTGTATTTGTGTCGGAAATTCCTGCACAAATATCATAAAACTCTTAATTTGTGAAATTTTATGGGCCAAAACAAAGATTGTATACAATACAACCATACAATATATATATTGCTCATCCCAATATCAATATGGTACGTTGAAATCACTGAACCAATCACTACATTTTTCCAACAACTTAATTGTCCTTACATTGATAATTTTGTGTATAAAAAAATTCAATACTAGTATCATTAACAAAAAAAATCAATAATATCCAACGAAAAATTGTAACGAAATGTGGACAACAAAACTTATTGGAATTTTCTTTCTTTTGTAGCTAGAATTTATGGAAACATTGTGGTCATAAGAAAAAGAAAAATAAAAATATATGGAAATAATAATTAATTCGGAACATGTCATATATGTCTCCATGCTGGGGTATGCGGGGTCCATTTGAGATTGCTTGGGTTTCACCGCATCCTAAGTTTCTTATTCTTAAGATTTGTTCCTGCATTTTTCATTTTAGTTTAATACTAAATCCAACCCCATGATGATTTATGCTAACAAAAAAAAAATCATAGACAAAATACGTACATTTAAACTAGAGGGATAATAAAAAGAGAATATACTGCTATTTTGTAAGCAATCGTATTATTTTTTTCTTTTTTGGGACAAAAGTAAGCAATCGTATAATAATACGAAAAAACAGAAGAAACACACTCTCATACCAAATAATTACATCTCATGCTCATGCTTAATTATGTTGCTTCCCCACATTTCCATCATCATTACACCATTTTCTCAATCTCCGCCCAACTTTTTCAGCAAATAACCCACGTCTCCCCTTAAATTACTACTAGTGTTATTCTGTTAGACTGTTATACATTTTTAATAATCTTACTTTTTTCTCTATGTTGAATTTTTAAGTCTCTAGGATTGGGTATAAGATATTTCAGGCTTTCATTAATTCATTAATAGACATAACAATCGACATATTTCTTTTGGAGTGGGGCTAAAGGGTTCAGAGGCACTCAAGATAAAAACGAAGAATTAATGGTTGAAAATAACATCAAAATAAGTTCCTTATCCTAATATATTACTAGTAAATATAATAAAGATGTTATAATTGTATATAAATCTACACATAAAAACGGTCATTTTGATACATTTATATACAATTATCCGAAGTCCAATTTCAGTAACAAACTACAACAAATCAGATTTTAACATAATAAGACCTCGACCCATGAATGTGGTTGATTATTAAAATGTTACACTTATTATATATATATATATATATATATCATATCTCTAAAATCAATCTCTGACTCAACGACCCATATTTCAAAAGCCCAAATATTCAATAACGATTCTTCCGGCGAACCATGTGGTTTTGGTCATGTTGAGCTTTCACGTACCTAAAAATAGGTGGACACATGTCGTCACCCTCTTAGATATAGGATTTAGCAGAGACTAACGGCCACGATTTGTTTAGAGTCAAGCGATATAAAGCAAAGCTCCTTTCATTTTTTCAGAAATTTTGAACCCATTAATTCAAGGCGGGGCGTTTCAGGATCCGATTTCAAGTTTTGTTCTTCGTTAAAATTCACCAGGTGATTACCAAGATACCATTGTTTGCTGGTAACGATTTCGATTTGTTCTAATGGAAAATGACAAGAAAAATGGATTTTAGAATAATCTACTTGAATAAGTATATAATGCCATTTTCATTTAAAAATGGCTTGTTAAATAAATATTCTTGGAAATCGTTACATTATTTGCATATTACAATTGTTTTGTTACCAGTCTTGATTCATATTCAGATAGAGACTGAAGAATGGCTGACGGTGAAGACATTCAACCGCTAGTTTGTGACAATGGAACGGGAATGGTTAAGGTAATTTTTTTTTTTTTTTGAATGGTTAAGGCAAAATTTCTCTTTAAGACTCTAATTGCTATGTCACATATATAAGGATATGCCATGTACTACTCAAAAATATATAAACTGAAATCTCTCTCGTGCTTAGGCTGGATTCGCGGGTGACGATGCGCCAAGAGCGGTTTTTCCAAGCATTGTAGGCCGTCCTCGCCACACGGGTGTGATGGTTGGGATGGGACAAAAGGATGCTTATGTTGGAGACGAGGCTCAATCAAAACGTGGTATTTTGACTCTCAAATACCCAATTGAGCATGGAATTGTTAATAATTGGGACGACATGGAGAAGATTTGGCATCACACTTTCTACAATGAGCTTCGTGTTGCCCCTGAAGAACATCCGGTTCTCTTAACCGAAGCTCCTCTCAATCCGAAAGCTAACCGTGAGAAGATGACTCAAATCATGTTTGAGACATTTAACACTCCTGCTATGTATGTTGCCATTCAAGCTGTTCTCTCACTCTATGCCAGTGGCCGTACAACTGGTCAGTAACACACATCTTTTTTCCAAACATTTTCGCGTTACTCTTTAGGTTTGTGTCGTTGAACTAGCCACTGACTGATCCTAGTCCCTAGCTAGCATTTGGTTCTTCATTTTCGGTTTTTTTTTTTTTTTGGATTTTGGGAAGAGGAGTTAGTCCAATCTAGAACCAAAATTTTTATGGTCGATTTTAATTAATATTAACTAATTTAAGGATAATTTGGTTATACTTTTATGGACAACCCTAATTGGTTCTTTTGCAAATTGTTGATTAGGTATTGTTTTGGACTCTGGAGATGGTGTGAGCCACACGGTACCAATCTACGAGGGTTACGCTCTTCCACACGCGATCCTACGTCTTGACCTAGCGGGTCGTGACCTCACAGACCACCTCATGAAAATCCTGACAGAACGTGGCTACTCCTTCACCACAACTGCTGAGCGTGAAATTGTAAGAGACATGAAAGAGAAGCTCTCTTATATTGCTCTAGACTACGAGCAAGAGCTAGAGACTTCCAAAACAAGCTCGTCCGTTGAGAAAAGCTTCGAGCTTCCTGACGGACAAGTGATAACCATTGGAGCAGAGCGGTTTCGGTGTCCGGAAGTTCTGTTTCAGCCGTCAATGATCGGAATGGAAAATCCGGGAATCCATGAAACCACATATAACTCTATCATGAAATGTGATGTGGATATTAGGAAAGATTTGTATGGTAACATTGTGCTAAGTGGTGGAACCACAATGTTTGGAGGGATTGGTGATAGAATGAGCAAAGAAATTACGGCTTTGGCTCCAAGTAGTATGAAGATTAAGGTCGTGGCTCCACCGGAGAGGAAGTACAGTGTTTGGATCGGTGGCTCTATATTAGCTTCACTCAGCACTTTCCAGCAGGTAAACACATTTTTTATTTGATCTAAATTCAACAATTTTTTTTTGAAACACGATCTTAATAGAACATTTATAAGTCTGTCTTGATATAAGTATTGTTATGTGTTTGAAAATTTGACAGATGTGGATTGCGAAAGCAGAGTACGATGAATCTGGACCCTCAATTGTGCATAGGAAATGCTTCTAATCACAGTTCCTAAAATCACCAAAGGAAGACAGAAGTAAAAGTAAAAGACAAACAGTAAAAAAAAAAACTGAGTATTTTTTTTACAGCTTACATTTTTCCATCATATTTTCTAATGTCTCCATTTTTTTTTTTTTTTTTTTAATAGTCTCTCTATGTTAATTTTTCCAACTAAGCATACTTTTCTTTGAAGAATGTCCACTCCCACAATGTACTATAAGCGATAAAACTTAATTATAATATTTTCTTCTATTAACTTAATTTATTTGTTACTAAAGAACATTGGAAATAAAGAAAGGTATGTGCTTTTTTGTTTATTATGGTTGATAAACAACATTTTTGTCGCAAATATGAGCTACACGTCTTCGGGTTCAAATGGAATGTCATCGAGCACATTGTCACGGTGTTCCGACGAGATGGTAAACAATTGTGACTTATACTTCAAAGACAAAAAAAAGAAAAACAAAATCCAAAATCCTTATCAAACACAAAACAAGCTCCATAATGTTGGTGTAGTACAAACCAGGGGCGGATCTACATTAGTTTACATGGGGGCAGTTGCCACCCCTAATTTTTTAAAATCTTTTGAGAATTTTAAGGAATTAAATTTATTGCCCCCAAAAAAAAATCTCTCTTGCCCCCGTTAAATTTGTGTTTTCCAAAAATCTCTCTTCACGTTACATAAAAAAGTGGTAAATGAATATTGCATATCTCTTATCCCCTATAATTTAGCTAAATAGTAAATTTCTTACAAATTTAAATCCAAATATGACAACGTAATCCAAATGCATAGACCATACCATTTATTCCCTTTGAATCAACTAATAAATTAATGTTTGAAATTTTGGTCTCTTCCCAATAGCTTTAGGGGGGTGTATTGGAACAATGATTTTGGAAATTTTTGGTTTTTTGTTAAAATCACTTGTTATTCAATCAATGATTTAAAATTTTCTTCTCAAATTCCATGTTATTGAAACCGGAATTTATGTAAAATCATTCCAAATCATTTCAAATCTCATGTTATTCAATCATGAATTTCTAAAACCCATATCAAATCCACTGTTATTCAAACTTAACAAAACTTTTTTAAAAAAATATTGAAAACTGATTTGGTGAGACTTTGGATACCTTTTTAGTGTAAAAATAAGAATTAAACAATCACACCTCTAGAGGTGGTATTTGATTAAAAATAAAAAAGTAAAAAAAAACATGTGGCTAACGAAACTAAACTTGTGAAACAATCTCCTCTCTTCATCCTCGTCTTCATCTTTGTCTTCATCTCCATCGATCTCGATCCCTTGAACAAAAATAACATAAGAGATCCTAAAATCAAAGTCCCCATTTGCCTTGAAATATGTACAAGGACTAAAGTCAAAAGAGAGTCTCTTCTTTGGTAGTGGTGGTGACTCACTTCTCGTCCTCACAAGTCTCGAGCAGCTTCAATCTAATTCTCAAAGAGCACAAACGGAGATTTAAATTGATGAATAAAACTATTCGACGATTAGAAGTCAAATTGTTGCGAGGTCGGTTTTGATCTTCAGTATGTTTGTTTCTTTGCTAATATCATAATAGAACTTTATTTGCGAAATTGATAAATTTCAGATAGAATTTTGAGTTAGTTTATGTGTCGTCAAGCATGGAGGTGAATCTCGTTTTGCTGCTGTGTATAGCTTTGATTTGTCGCTGATAACACTAGATTTTTGAAACTAGGTTGATGGAGTGACATAAGTTTTTGTTTTGAGCTTGATCACGAATTCCACCACCGTCAAACATGTTTTCGAAATTCAAACGGCATGTTTAAGAAGTTACCACAAACCAGAGAAAATTATCAAGGCAAGTTTTCTTGTTGTTATAGCTTGGCTAGTTGCACATGTTACTTGTTGATGGTGATTCCAATTACTTTTAAGCCTTTGAATGGTTCATTGATATTGATTATACCGTCTGCAATTTTTTAGGAAATCTCAATTTTTCTATTTTTTGTGCTAAAAATCTCACCAAATCACGTATATATTATCTCTTTAAAAGTTCATCAAATCACAAATTATCTTTCCTTTTTTTAAATGAAAAATAACAATTCCACCAAAAGTATCCTATAAACTCACTTAAATCTCTGCAAATCCAAAATTTCCTAAATTCCACCAAATTCTCCTAAATCTTTAATCGAATACACCCCCCTTAGTGATTTATAGTTATGGTAATTGGTTTCTCTATAATATTTCTATGTATTGTATTCCAAATTTTTGAGTTTTCTATAAAACAATAAACTAAAATATTAATACAAAATCTAGTAAATTTAAACTTTAAATCAAACTAAATATGACAATTCAAAATCTCTTACTTTTTCATAATGTATTGCTCTTTGATTCGTTTAAACTTAAATGATTTTTAATAAAAAATAGAATTAACTTAAAATTTTATTATATAGTATAATGGAATAAATATATCAAAAACAACATGAAAAAAGTATATTAAATATTTTTATTTATTATATATATTTATTTTTACATAAAATATAATCTATTATATAAATATCGTTCGTCCCCTATAAAATTTTTTTCTGGATCCGCCACTGGTACAAACAATTGTGACATATATATATATATATATAAATGGTCTAAACTCATTCAATTTTAGATTACTCGGTTTAATGGATGTGGTCTAATAAGTGTCAAGAAACACAAAACAAAACGTGAAGATTTGACGGTTAGATAAGATTAAATGTTGGTTTTAGGAATAAAAAGTGTTTATGTTGTTGGTAAAGAAAACAAGAAACGAATTGTTGATGGTTAACTAAAATTTTAATTTCTGATTCGATTTCGGTTTAACCGAACCGAATTGCAAAACCCAGAAACAGAAGCAGCGGACGAAGAATCCATTTTCAAAGATATTTTTTTTCTCGATCGTCGCCGTTAAAGTCTGCAATCTCATTGCTCATTGGTGAATCCAATCCCTAATTCGTATGTCAGATTCTGTGTCCGGCGATTTTCCTCCCGATCCACTTCTCGCCTCCGGAGCCTTCATCTCCTCCGCCGGTGACGGAACCCTAGACAGTAGTTCGAAACGGCGACCGATTCAGGGAGGAATCGGAGTTTCTGGTTCGGGAGAGAGCGTACGCATCGGGATGGCTAACGGTACCGATCAGGTGAATCCATCGCCGGATAGTTCGAGTCATCAGGCGGAATCGAAGTCGCGGAAGCGTGCGGCGCCTGGAGATAATTGGTTGCCTCCTGGTTGGAGAGTTGAAGATAAGATTCGAACCTCCGGTGCCACAGCTGGTTCGGTGGATAAGGTAAAGAATCTCAGCTCTATACACTTCTTTCTCTATGATGTTTGAGCTGCGTTGTTGCTTGAAGACTACAAATTGGGGATTCTTTGATTGCTGTTGTTTGTTCTCTTTGGTTTTAGAATTTGGGTTCATCGCTGCTACAATGTTCTTTAGATTAATTCATGGGGCTTTTGAGCGTATGGATTTAGTCAGTGAAGAAAAAATCGTGCCTTTAAACTAGTGACAAGTGTAATGTTGTAGTAAAATGATGTGGTTGGTTCTGCTTAGTTATGCTTAAAGCATTAATGGCTTTGTTTGAGATAATGTTAGGGAAATAGATACACCTAATCATACACTTTATCAGTGTGATTAGTGTTAGTTTGATTTTTCTGGTGGATTTTAAATGGTTTGGTTTGGTATATATTGTGATTGAAGAGATGAAGTTTTGGTGATTTCTTATACTCAGATGCAAATATGTCATGTGTAGATAGATATTGATATGTAGAGTTGTGACATTGTCTTATCTGGTTTTGCAGTACTATTACGAACCAAATACAGGGAGAAAGTTTCGGTCCAGGACCGAGGTACTGTACTACTTGGAACATGGAACCTCTAAAAGAGGAGGCACCAAGAAAGTTGAGAATACTGATTTCCTGTCAGATGTGAGTTTACATTCTTAAAGATTAAACCTTTCACCCTGGTTTCAAACCTGTGATACACATAGAATCTTGTATTTGCAGCATTTTGAAGGCCAGGGAAGCAATAGAGCAAGGAGAAAAGCTAAAGAGCCTCCACCGCCGCCACCACCATTGGACTTTGATTTTAAGAATCCACCAGAGAAGGTAAGCTGGTCTATGGCAAAAGCTGGAGAAGAAGCTTGGATACCTATTATTGGGGACGTCAAGGTTCAAGACTCAGTGAGACGAGATTGGAGCACTGCGTTTACTTTTATCACAAACCGAAACCCAAGTAAACTGTCGTCTTGAAGACAAAGATGACATGGTGGTGATTTTTGGGTTGTTGCATCTGTTGTAAGATAATCAGAGATGTTAGGGTTACTTAATTGGGTGATTCTTGTTTAGTCTTCATTCATCAAATTATGTGTACTATAAATTTTTAATCGTTTTTGGGAAGAATATGATAATGTGATGCAGAACGTGGTCTCCATTCGCCTTTTGATTGATGAAATTGAAGACACTGTCGTAGTAACAAAGCTATTCTTCGTAGACACTTTGATATGGAACTATTTTCTGTTCCAAAGTCATTTACTTTGGGCCTGTTCTTTTGTTGATCGCTGGAATTGAATCAAGCGACAGGAAATTAAAGAAGGGAATGAGGAACGGACAGCAGTTTTTTTACAAAAGTTCAGTCGCTGATTGTACGGAGGAGACGACGTGTTTTGATTTTCTAGTCGCTGAGTTTTTTGGCGACTCCTCCATCATTGCAGCGACACCTCCATTTATTCTTGCGGCATCTCCGTTTCAGTCTTTGTCTGTCGTTTTACTTTATTGGCTATTACAACCATTGTCGTTTCACTCCGGTACGGTAGCTGTTGCAGCGATTGAGAAAAGAACAGGCCATTTGTGTTTAGGAAAAGATCTTTTTCACTATGTGAAGACTGTCGTAATTCAAGAACTAATGCTTGACAAGGCTCAGGTTTTTAAAATCTCATGGAGAAGAATAATATAGTATTGTTATGTATATAACATAACATGATTCAATGTCAACAAGCGTCTGTAGTCCAACGGTTAGGATAATTGCCTTCCAAGCAATAGACCCGGGTTCGACTCCCGGCAGACGCAAATATCTTTTTGCCAAACCTAATACTAGATTTTTGAACCAAACAATCTGTGTGTATTTCAAAGCTAACTAATTTTCCAGTAACTTGGTTTGGTGAGGTTCTAATTCTAAAGCAAAACTGGAATTGCAACGTTGCGTTTTAAATTTGAATTATTTAATAATACTCCTATTTTTAGCCCATTTATTATCTGCAATAAATTATCAAAAAGGCTATTGGAACTCTAATATCACTAATTTAGTAATTCTTGAATTTCTAACCTTCTCTGTATACCAGAGGCTTCCGTTTTAGTCTTGTGTCCCAAGGTTTTGAAAAAGTGAAAAGCAAGGGTTTTTACGTTTTGTTGGCTTTTGACTATCGTTTGCCCTCTCTCTTTGTTAAAATTTACATTATTGCCACTGAGTCTACTCTATCTGCGACGCTCTGTCTTCAAAAAGCAATTTTGGGGAGGAAGAAAAAACCTCTGAGAGTAAAACAGAAAAGAGAAACACACTATTTTCGTGACTCACCAAGCAGAGGAACATTGAGAAAAATAAAAAAGGTCTCTGCTTTTCATTTTCAATGGCTTCGACTCGCATTTATTTGGGAATTTGGATGGTCTAAAGTCTGAGTTTGATTTATTTTGCTTGCAAGGTTTTACTTTTTCTCGGTTCTTCAGCCGTACACGTAACAAATCCCTTTTTCTTGTGTGTTTCTTCGATTTCTAGAATCTGATAAAACCCACAAAAAAGAGGGTTTTTTTTTTCTGGGTTCTTTGAAGAAGCAGAGAGAAGATAAGCTCTTAAGAGTGTTCTTCACAACAAGTGATTTCCTTTTGTTTTCTGCTTCGATTTCCTGTTATAAATACTTGATTTTTTTTACTTGAGAAGACTGTGAATCATATACATTACTCAAAACCTAAAAAGATGATTTTTTTTTTGTCTGGGTTGTTCAAAACGTGAGTTTTAAGTAGCTAAATCGATGGATCCTCTATACTCATGTTTCCTGCGTTTGATTATGGCAGCTTTAAGATGGAGAAGAATCAACAAAAGCAGGAATTTCTAGCTGAGACCTCAGCGATGAACAACAACGACTGTTCTGAACAAGAACAACCACAACAACGATTTGTGTGGCCATGGGTTGGTCTTGTAGCCAACATACCAACGGAGGTTGAACAATCTGGTCGGAGAGTAGGCAAAAGCGGTTCTACGTTACGTGATGAGTTCACTCTGAAAGGGTTTAATCCTACAAGAGTCCAACCCATTTGGAATTTCAAGGGACATTCTGGTTTTGCTTTGGTTGAATTCACTAAAGATTTCGAAGGATTTGAATGCGCCATGAAATTTGAAAGGAGTTTTGAAACAGACCGTCATGGGAAGAGAGATTGGGAAAATGGTAAAAGACTGTTTTTTAGTGTTTTGATTTAAAGTCATTTGATTTCTTGACATTTTGAGTTCACTTTCTTTGAAAAAGGTATTCGCTTGAGAGATAATAAGCTCTATGGATGGGTTGCGAGAGAGGATGATTATAATCGAAGTGATATTGTTGGGAAGAATGTCAAGAAGAAGAGAGATTTGAAAAGTATTGTGCAGATTATGGAAGAAGACGAGAGGAAAATGGTTCATCTAGTTGAGAATATGTCTCAGTCGATTGAGATGAATAAGCAATGTAAACAAGAGCTTGAACAGAAAGTTGATGAGACTTCTCGTTTCCTAGAGAGTTTGGAATTGCATAACGTTCTGTTAAACAAAACCTACCAAGAAGGTAAAAAGAAACACGTAGATAAGCTTTTAAACATAATCTGTTTGTGATTCATGCTGACATGTAATAGTCCTTTTGGTTTGTTTGTGTGTTTTTTTTTGATGAGAAGGGATTGAGAAGATGCAGATGAATATGGAAGAGTTGTATCAACAGGTTCTGGGTGGACATGAAAAGTCTTTGGCAGAACTGGAGGCAAAGAGGGAGAAGCTGGACGAGCGTGCAAGACTGATCGAGCAACGGGCAACCATAAACGAAGAAGAGATGGAAAAATCCAGACTTGAAAGAGAAATGGTGATTATGCTTTCCTTCTAAATTAGGAGTAAAGGATCACAAGGCAATAAAATGTGGTGTCTTTGTTGTTGTTGTAGAATCAAAAGGCTATGTGGGAGCAGAATGAAGCGAATGAGGAAGCTATGAAACTTGCAGAAAAGCACCAGGCAAGTAGTTCTTTAGGTTGTCTGTATATTAATGAGCAAGTAACAACTAAGCTTCCATTTTCAACTGTTGAGTTTCTGAAACATGACAACTTTTGCAGAAAGAGAAGGAGAAGCTTCATAAAAGAATAATGGAAATGGAAGCGAAGCTAAATGAAACGCAAGAGCTGGAGTTGGAGATAGAGAAGCTGAAAGGTACTACCAATGTAATGAAGCATATGGTGGGGAGTGATGGAGATGAAGATATTGTGAAGAAGATGGCCAAAACTCAGATAGAGCTTGATGCTCGAGAAACAGCTCTCCATGACAAAATGATGACTCTGACAGAAAAAGAACGTATGACCAACGATGAGTATCAAGACGCTCGTAAAGAGATGATTCAGGTTCAAAACCTTCTAAACCTATCTGTTCCAAACTCTTTGGCTTGTCCTTTTAACTTGTGGTATTACTTTGATGAGCAGGTATGGAATGCAAATGAAGAATTGATGAAGCAAGAGAAGATTAGAGTGAAGAGAATGGGGCAATTAAACCCTGAACCCTTCTTGCCTGCAGTGATGAAGAAACATAAAGTTACACAATCAAGAGCAGAGATTAAGGCTATGCAGCTGTGTTCAGTGTGGGAAGCAAACATAGGAGATGTGCAATGGACCCCATTTAGAGTCGATGAGTCTGATGGAACAGCAAAGGTCTGGACTCTTAACTTAGGAGTCTAATTTCAAATCTCAAAAGATGGGTTTTTAACAAAAAAAGATCTTTCCTTTTACATATTATCTCAAGATTCCAACGGTTAGGATAATTGCCTTCCAAGCAATAGACCCGGGTTCGACTCCCGGCAGACGCAATTTGTCTTTTTATTAACATCCTTCATAAATTTTAGTTATCTACATCAAAAGAAACGACATCGTTTCATTGTAACCCGCCAAAATCGAATCACCGATTGGAAGGGTATTCTCGTCTAATCATTAAACGTAGTATGTTGCGTGCACGCGCCGAACCAAATCGTGTGGCCACAATTTCTCGGCCCAAACCACAATCTTTGTCTCTCTCCTCTACAAACTCAAGTAACAACGGCGAGACAACTCTGAAGAACCTTAGGAGAATGCTCTCTCTTTTTGTTAATTTACCTGTTTAAATTAGTTTTGCTACTATAACTATTGAACCGAATTGGATTTTGTTTCTTCCATAGTTTTCCTCCAGAAATCGTATCTTGTGTTGCTTGATTTAACTTGGTGGAGTCTTAGATCACAAGAAATGGAGCTGACAATCTTTTTCCAGCTAAGCTAAGTATGTTTTTCTTATAAGTATATTATTAAACAGTCGTAACCAAACCAAAAGCGTCTGTAGTCCAACGGTTAGGATAATTGCCTTCCAAGCAATAGACCCGGGTTCGACTCCCGGCAGACGCAATTTGTCTTTTTATTAACATCCTTCATAAATTTTAGTTATCTACATCAAAAGAAACGACATCGTTTCATTGTAACCCGCCAAAATCGAATCACCGATTGGAAGGGTATTCTCGTCTAATCATTAAACGTAGTATGTTGCGTGCACGCGCCGAACCAAATCGTGTGGCCACAATTTCTCGGCCCAAACCACAATCTTTGTCTCTCTCCTCTTTCAATTTGTTTCCGGCGACTGAAGAAGAAGATATTTGTTGTCCATGGCGGGTACTTGCACTTCAATTAGGCCACGTCTCATTGGCTCTTCTTCAATTGTTGAGCTTTCCAGGTTAATTAATCGAGCTGGAGTTCCTTTCTCTGTACGAATCTCTACCAGAACCAGAGCTCTCCACGGTGGTGGTTTAACCGCACCTACCTCTCGTGAGGAAGGTCCTTCTTGTATCTTCGTTGGACCGATTGATTCTGCTCGCAAAGAAACTCTAGAAGCTCTTTATCGCCAAGTACGCCTAATAAAAATCTGTTTTTTATTCTAAAGTTTGCTTCTTTTGACGATTGAGTATAGTCTTACTGGATTGGTCTCGGTGGATATTGAATTCTGATTTGTGGAACTTTATGTTATAGGCGAAGGATGCGTATTACAATGGCAAGCCTTTGATAGTTGATGACATGTTTGACAGAGTTGAGGTAAGAGAACTGTTAGTATATGTTCTTGTGTATGTAGCAAGATATGATTTTTAATGTTGGATTCTGCTTTATGCAATTGTTTTCATTTCTGTTGTAGCTAAAGCTTCGGTGGTATGGTTCAAAATCTGTTGTCAAGTACCCTCGTTGTAGTCTACTGAGACAGTCAACTTATGCTGATGCAGAGGTACAATGTGGGTGTTCATGTTTCCATTTTATCTCATATAAAACAGATGGACCTAAATTTTTCATTGACCATACTAGAGGATTTGTACTTTTGTTCATCCTTGAGGTTTGGATTTGTTTAGTGATAGCTCAAGGTATAGGAGGCGGCTATAGGGATATAAGATATAGTTTTCTGAGTGTTGATTGTCATAGTAGGAAATGCATCACTGCACATCTGTTTTGTAAATTAGTATGTGATCATTGTTTTGATATTGAAAAAATGTTTTGTCAAGGGTTGATGTTGAGATAAATCCTTGTAGGACAGGATGATGCATCACAAGTTCTCCTGTTAGCTACCATATGGATCTTGATTTTCTTATTTGGTAGCTCGGCATGTGTTTTGCCCACGATGTATGGCCTTGGCCTAGTCTATGGAGGAGATCCGGTCGACTCAGGGCTTGTCTATAGCGGTCAATTGTCATCTTCTGTGCCTCTTTTGTCAAAGTTTAACGGCATCCTCCTCGCCGTGCTAGGACCTGCTTTTGGATATCCAATTGCATCTTCTGCAGGTACCAGAATGCAAACATGATTTTACCTACAATCTGGTAATAGCTATAGCATTTACTTCTACTGAGATAAATAATGCTGTTTGCAGTAAGAGTACTTAAAGGGTTATGGAGAAATGACTTAACGGCTCTAAAAGGAGACTGCCCGAATTGCGGGGAAGAGGTGAAATCTTTACTTGTACTTCTTTTGCAGCAACAAACAAAATGGTTGTTTTTTCAGTTCTCGTCACATTTGAGTTTGTTGAACTTGTGTAGGTTTTCGCATTTGTGAGATCCGATCAATCAAACCGATCAGCTCACAAAGCCGACTGTCACGTTTGTGAGTGCACACTGGAGTTCCGTACCAAAGTAGAGGTAAATATTACTGTTTTTTCCCATGTGTTGCTTCATCCTGACCACTTTTACCGATCTGTAGTTTAAATGTGAACCGGTCACTGCCTTAGATAATCGTCTGTAGCTTTCTAACAACAATGATTGATTGATTGCCTTTCTGCTTCAGAAATCTACATCACGATTGGGTAGAAAATGGGTTTACGGCAGGATATACCTTGTTTCACGGCCAAGGAGAGATCGGCGTTCCAAGTTTACATAATTCTGACAAAAGAAGAAAGATTTTTTGGGGATGGTTTCTACTCAATTGTGTATTGTAAAAAGGATACTAGAAAGCTTTTGTAGCATGCAGAAGATTCGTAAAATTGTTACTATAACGTTTTTGTCTCTTGTAGCCTTATCTTCAGACAGTTTACAAAACAAAAACAAAAAAACAGAGATTCGTTCCAAAGTTCCGAGGTAATGGAGAAGTAGCATTTGCTGCTGAGTAAAAAGAATGTTGCTCAGCGTTTTTCAGAAGTGTGCCAAGCTATAGACAAGAATCCATGCGAGCTGAAGACAGAACATGAACAGATTCTGTTAAACCTTAAAGATACACTGTAAAATACTGTTGAGATGAAAACAAACTTACCAAAAAGAGAGTAAGTGACGCAAAGAGACCTTCTTGGAGTAAAGCTGCGTGGCCTCCGAAATCTTCTTCATCAACCTTGAGAATCATTGCGTAGTAACCGTAAACGATCCCTGAGGATATCGCCAAAAACCTGCAACATCCCATCATTAATTCATTACTTAACCGGATTTTGCCAATGGTCGAGGTTTTATAGCAATGTGATCAAAATGCACATCCCAAAAAATCTCCTTCCCCTATGGATCATGAAGATGAATCAAAGAAAACACTGTAATGTAGTTTGCGTCCGCTCGATGCTTATAAAGAAGACGAAACTAAAAAAACACAAAGAAACAAAGCTGAAACATGTTCTAAACTAAAAGATGGTCCATTATAACGTGAAAACACAAATGTGCAAAGAAACAATTGTGGCCTTAAAGTTATGAAAACTTACAGAATGATCCAAATGCCTCCAACAAGTGGAATAGAGCCCCATAGCAATCCACAGATCAATCCCACGACTTGTCGAATCCAATGCAACACATCTCCCAATTGATCCTGGACATCATCAGTTCATCACCAACAAAATCCAATATATACCCAACAACTCAAATTTGCATGTGCTTAATTGCCTTACTGATTCAGTAAGATCGACTACGACGATTCATTACTTACATCAAAAAATCAAATCTCCATGGAAGTAAAAAAAAAAAAAAAAGTCAAAGACTCAAAGGAGCTTCGAGATTATTGCCGAAGACGAGTGTTTGGTACCTTGTCCCAAGAAGCATCGGGATCGAACAATTTCGCTAATTTCGATGGAGACAAGTGAACATTCTGGTGATTATCTTCTTGTAGCTGATTCAGCTTGGCTGATTTCGATTCTCTCATCCTCGATTTCAAACAAAAAAAAAAACAAAACTTTGGGATAGCGAGAGAATCTGAAACCTTGGAAGAAGAAAACCCCTCTCTCGACTATTGAATTTGGAACTAGTAAGTGCAGAAATAGTGGCTGCCTCGTGAGATTATTATTAAACTGTGTGTCTCGTTCATGTTCTCGATCGAAGAGATTCGGACTCTGATCGAAATATTTTTGTTCTCTTTTTTTTTTTTAAGAAGGAAAATTGAAACCATTTGATCTATTATTATTAATTCTCCTGGATAATAATATTGGGATTAGCTTTAGGATATTTTGGATCTGATGCCTCAAAATATTGCAATTTATTATCTGTACGGTGTTGAATTAAAGTACAAAATTCTCTAACTAAAAACTACGTTTACAATTTCTGATTATGGAATCAAAGTTTGATTAGAAAAATACTCTGGTCCACGAATTCGTTCAGTTTAATGTTATTGTTTTTTTGGTGAAGAGTTTAATGTTAATATTCATATCATTAATAGTGTTTACAATATTATTACTATTTTATATTATTATAAAAAACAATATTAGTAATAGATTAGTACACTAGTGTACATACTTCCCATATAGTTATGATCTATTGGTAAGCTTTTAAATAGAGAAATAAAGTAATTATCCTTTGCAATTTGCATCTATAGTCCTCCATACTTAGATAAACTACAGATCGAACCCATTTCTCCTTCTTTTGTTTTAGTCTCCCTCCGCGTAGAAGAAGCTTCTCCGAGACTTGTCTCTGATTTGATTGAAGAAGACGCTTGATCGAAAATTCTCTTAGATTTCTATCAGGGCTTTAAAGAAGGTGAGATTACATAGAGATCGTGTTCAAAAAAAAAATGGGGAGTCCAAAGAAAAACGAGAACAAAGGCTTCTTCGCCGCCATGACTTCTGGCTTCTCCATGTTCGGTAGTGCCATGTCGAGATCTGTCAACGGGTCAGTTTCTTCTCGTTTCTTACCTATCAGAATTTAACATGAAAGTTCTTGTTTTTGTGTGTATTTAACACTAAAGATGAAAACTTTGCGTCGTGAATCGCTGTGATTGTGTGACACTCTGTATTCTTAATCCAAAAATATTTCATGATATGTTGTGTTATCGAGTCTATGTGTGATGGCTAAACTTATTTCTCTGTTTTGATTCTTCAGGTGTTTCATTTTGTTGAATTTTATATTAGAAACATGGATAATTCTATTATTATTTCTTCACAAGTCAATAAACAGATCAAAGTTTGTCATTTTTTTTCTAGTTTGAATCTTCTAAGTGAAAATTGTGTGTTGTGGTACTGAAGATCCTATTGATTGAGTGTTCGATGCATTTTCGCTTCAGGTTGCAAGGAAATGAAGGAGTTGAGGTTATAAATCCAGAAGGTGGCAAAGAAGATGCAGAAGAGGAAGCTCAGAAAGGAAGGTGGAAGGACGAGGTAACTAATCAATCGCCGATGGTGTCTTTGATACTTCTTCTTAAATTCCTCTATGTTTCTTTTCTAACCCGGAAAAAGTTATGTTTTGTGCTTTATAGGAACGAGATAGTTACTGGAAGATGATGCAGAAATATATAGGTTCGGATATTACGTCAATGGTGACGCTTCCTGTTGTTATATTTGAGCCTATGACTATGCTCCAGAAGATGGCTGAGGTTAGTGTTATATCTACATCTCGTGTGTTTGTAAGTTTTGTTGTTGTGTTTTTTGGCATACTATATAACATTTGCAAATTTCTCACAGATAATGGAGTATTCTCACTTGTTGGATCAAGCAGATGAATGCGAGGATCCATACATGCGTTTAGTATATGCTTGTAAGTATTTACATTAAAAAACTTGTTATTGACTTCCAACTTTGTAGGATGTAAGTTAAGATGTATGTTAATTTTTATTCAGCATCATGGGCTGTATCTGTTTACTTTGCTTTCCAACGAACTTGGAAGCCTTTCAATCCTATTCTTGGTGAGACATATGAGATGGTCAACCACGGTGGGATTTCATTTATTTCTGAGCAGGTGCAGTTATACGTTTCATTGTTATTCGCATAGTGGATAATGACTAATTCGCAATAAGTCATATATTTGTTTCATTTATAATAAGTTACTGTGATATTTCAGGTTAGCCATCATCCCCCAATGAGTGCTGCTCATGCCGAGAACGAGCACTTCATTTACGACATCACATCAAAGTTGAAAACTAAACTGTTGGGTAACTCTGTTGATGTTTACCCTGTTGGAAGGTAATTTTTTTCTTATTTATGATACGGCCTCTCTCTCACTTTGGTACAGGCTTTAGGAAGAAATTGTTTGCTGCATGTACTCTTTCCTTTCTATAGTTCTCTAACTTCTGTCTGCGATGAAATGAAGGAATCCAACCATTCTTCTGTCTTATGTTTTTTAACGAAAGAGATACAAAAGATTGTGGTGTAACACTGTCCTAGTAGCTATTCTCTCTTATATTTTCATCTAAGCTCATGAAGCCGGTCTATTGGCTTGCAGAACGCGTGTAACCCTCAAAAAAGATGGTGTGGTTCTGGATTTGGTGCCGCCTCTCACTAAGATTCACAATTTAATATTTGGACGAACCTGGGTTGATTCACCCGGGGAAATGGTCATGACAAATTTAACCACTGGAGACAAAGTTGTACTTTATTTCCAGCCATGTGGCTGGTTCGGGTAATTGACAAGACATAGCTTAATCTTATTGTGTCGTGATACTCTGTTCATTTTGTCTTGTCCTGTAAGCCCGACATGCTTATTGATTGAAATTTCCTACCTTGATCTCAGTTCTGGCCGCTATGAAGTTGATGGCTACGTTTACAGCGCAGCTGAAGAACCGAAAATCATGATGACAGGAAAATGGAATGAGAAAATGAGCTACCAACCTTGTGATGCCGAAGGGGAACCCCTACCAGGCACAGAGCTGAAAGAGGTATGTAGTTTCTTTTCCGTTTTACATTTTTTACTGAACTTTTCTCATTTCTTTTCCGTAATACTTGCAACATTGGGATATTGACCAACATTGTTTGGCTCTTTAGCGTTTGCTTATGCTTTTCTTTGTTTTTTCTTCTTCAGGTGTGGCATTTGGCTGATGTCCCCAAAAACGACAAATTTCAGTACACTCACTTTGCTCACAAGATAAACAGCTTCGACACAGCGCCTGCTAAGCTCTTGGCTTCAGACTCACGTATCCGTCCTGATAGATATGCCCTTGAGCAGGGTGACCTTTCTAAAGCTGGTACCGAGAAGCACAGGTTCTTCATCTTTTCTTCCTTCTTAGTCACTTGTTTGTCGCAAAGTTTTAAGTCTTTTACTTCCTGTTATTCCCATAGCAATTCTCTCCAGCGTGCAACAGGTACCTGATCCATAATGCTACTCACTTGCAGTGGCTAAGACTGATCATATTCTTCCAACTAAGAAATTTACTTTGAGAATGATTACATGTTATGCTCATGAGGTTCTTCGTACTGTCTTTTAATCTCAGCCTTGAGGAGAGACAAAGGGCCGAAAAGAGGACCCGAGAGACAAAGGGACAAAAGTTCACTCCAAGATGGTTCGATCTAACGGATGAGATCACACCTACTCCATGGGGAGATATTGAAGTATACCAATACAATGGGAAGTACACAGAACACCGAGACACAGCAGAGAGCTCAAGCAGTTCCTCCAATGAAACGGACCTAAAATCCATAGAGTTTAATCCTTGGCAATATGGTAATATATCAACCGAATGAGGTAACTCTTATAGTTTAATATGTTATCTCTGTATACGAATGCTGCTGTGATTCATGGACTCTTGAAAGTGAGTTCCATGTTGTTTTTAACTTTATTCCAGGGTGAAAAATCTGATTATGTAGTTTGAGTGATAAAAACATAAGATTGTGTTTCTGTCTCGTTGTATCTTTGTTCCATTTCGATCAAAAGTAGTTATATTTGTTATGTTATGATCTTTATATAATTATTATTCACTAAGTATTCGTCCTACAACATAAATGTGATTCAATTTCTTTTCTCAATATACATAAATACTAGTACAAGAATATATTTCACTGGTCATAAGAGAATTGATTACAATTTACAACATTAATTGGGGAAATAATTTCTTGTCTCTTCATTTATTTCACTGGTCATATATCTATTTAATTGGAAAAAAAAAAAAAGTGTATTATTGTGAGCCGCCTTATGAAGCATACCAACTTTGAAGTGTTGTGAATCATATCTTCTACGTCAACCATGTCTCCTCAAGTTTCCTCTAACCTTTTTCTTTAGACGTTTCATTGTTCTTTCTACAGATTCGTTACACTAACATTTACCATTTTTTCAATTCAACTGCCACGCTGTAAAATATTTACATGACTTTATTTTAACGAGTAATCACCATCGTCCATCTATAAAAGCTTAGGCTTAGAATATACTAATAAAACCAGAACAAATTTAATAAACGTAAGAAAAGAAGATAATACTATGTGAGAGTAGGAGCAATGACAAGATTCTTGTTAGGTTCATTGATAGCCTCATGCATTTTCAATAAGTCTTAAGTTCCAAGACGTCATGGAACCTTTACGATACGTTTTCGTGACCTACACGAGTTTGGTATATAGACAATTTAATATAATCTTTTTTTTTATATTTATTTCAGAATCTATTTGGCCAAAATGTTAAATCCATTTCAATATTAAAAATATCAGGAAATTTTGGATAACTACAAAAATCCAATTATAATCCTAGTATTGGATTTCCGATCATGCCCGTTTAGATGAGAACCAATAAGAAGAAGAAATTCAAACTATTGTATTTATCTTTAAAATCGTGAAATCATTATTTGAAAATAGACGGGCCAATAGATTTCCATTGATCATGAATTCATGATAAAGCGTCTACTTATTTCAACTTTTATTTCCGAAATACAAAACAATAATTTTTTATTATTTCAAAGTCTGGGTGGTTTCGAAATTTTATCAAACAAACATCACTATTCGACGAAAATAATAATAATATAATTTGTTTATTTACAATTGTAACAAAAACCAAAAATATCTTAAGTAAACCCTGATTATATATATAATTCATGAAATTATAATTTTATAGTATCAGTAGCTAGACAACAACATTCGTGCTATATATATTTCGGTATGAATTCTTTTAAAAATAAACAAATCCTATTGTTCGTAATATAATTTAACATGTAATCAAATTTAAACATTTGTTTGGGTTTTTTTTTTTTTGTTTTCAAAGTGAAAATGGACCAATTAACATTCAAAAACTGGTTGATGCTATTGCTATCTATCTTTAACATTAAAATATACGTTTGCCACTCTCGATAATCATCACTGTCATAGGATGAGGCCCACCTGTTAGGTCCGGGGGCCCACTAGCGAACCAGGCTTTCTTATCTCCGAACTTAACGCCGTTTACACCCTTCCAATATACAACACACACCGAACTCGATGCCGTTAATCCGTCTCCGTTTATCCTCCCCGCGACGTTAAAATTTTGACGGTTTTATTTATTTTCTTATCCTAAAAACACAACTGAAAAAGTGCAAAACAGAGACTCATTTGACGTTTTATTCTGGAAAAATCCCTGCCGTCCGATTGGAGCAAGTGATCAGAAACGTATATTTCTATATCATATGATGAATAGAAAATTAGAGGCAATAATGATGCAAACAAACAAATTAAGCTAAACTTGCAAAAAAATATTAAGCTAAGAATGATATAAATATGAATATAAGCTATAGTCTAAGTTAGATCCACCTGCCACGTGACAGAATGTCGTATATTTTAGCTTACAGGTTATCTCCAGTCTCCACTAACCTATATATATATATTAATTATAATAGTTGAGCTTTTAGATTAATACAACTATGAAACCAAGCTCAACAATTAATCTTTTAAATATTAAAAATATACTTATTATTTTAAATTTAATGAGTAAAGATATATTCTTGGTATAAAATTCAATGTGTAATTACAACATTCCATGTAAAAAGCTTTAGATTTCTTCAAAGATAAAAACTAGGAAAGTAATTAATTTTTTTTAAAATTGTTTACTAAAACTGTATCATTATATTGTTGAAATCTTAGAAGAAGAAGTTGCATATTTTTTTTCATGAATGTGCAAGTAAATACAATAATGTTAATGAGATATACTAGTTTATGTTTTGACATGGAATATTCTGATTGGCTAGATTCAGGAGTCATGTGATGATACATCTTCGCCACGTGGTAAGATCTGAGGGATTACAAGCAATGTAAAAGCGTGGCGAAGAACCTGGTCTAAAGGTGGAGGTGTGTCGACCGATAATAGCCGGTGAAAAGAAAGAGTGTAACCGGTAGGACCGGTGAGAAAAGGTCAATATAGGCTAAAAAGGGTTTAAGCAAAAACGTGGTCGTCTTTCTTAAGGGTTTTTGTTTTTGTGGCGTTTCACAGAGAGAGAGAAATAGAGATTGTTTTTGCTTGTGGTGAGAGAAGATCGCATCGTGTGGGTAGCGTTTCAAACAAGTAAAAAAAAAAAAGATAAAAAAAAGTTTCCGTCACTTTCTCGAGGAAGACGGGGTTTTGGTGTGAGTCCTTCGTTTGCGTTTGTCTTTTCATTTTCCGATCTCGTAATTGTCATGTTATTCGCCGGAAAAGTGAAGATTGAGATTTAAAAGGTAAGAAAATTATAGAGTCTTTCGTTTTTTTGTCTTCTTGGTTCTGTCGTAAAACTTTATAAAACGAAGGAGATTTTGGTTTTTCAAGGGAATTTTGGTCTGAAAATTTCTGGGTAAATCTCAATTTTACGTTTTTTTTGTTGGTACGTGGACCTAAATATTGATTTCTTCCTCTTATGTAATTTGTAAAAAATCCGTCGATTTTTAGTTTTATTACTTTGATTGGATCGATTCGAAAATCCGATCTGAGATTTAAAACCCTTTGGCACACCCGTGATCTGGTGGTCCTTTGATCTTGAGATCGAATTTTTTGGTCCATCAGTTTAATTTTCTTATTAACTTTTTTTAGGGTTTAGGGTTTTCCTGTGCAGAAATATAAGGAGACGACGGTTTGACTCTCGATTTCAGATCTAAAATCGATTAGGGTTTTAGTGTGGTTTAAGCTTTTTCAATGGGCTTTGACCCAAAACCTTCAAAACCCTTCCTTTTTTGCTTCATGCAGTGATTCCCAGAGACAAAACCCTTTTGTTCTTTTTTTATTTATTTTATTTTTGTTTTGATTTCAATGGCTCTTTCTAATATGATTTCCCAATTTATGTGCAGGTTGCGAATTACCTTCACAGGATTTTGTTGATTGGTGTGATTCTAAGCCATTGGTCAACAAGTTTTTTTTCGTGTGGCAATCACATAATCGTGTTATGCATTCTGAGAAATGGTGTCGCATAAGTGTGTAGAAGAAGTTGGATACAAAAGCTACTTGTTACCTGCCAATGCAAGAGCACCCAGATCCGCCCGGGTAATGGACTTTACCACTCCTGCGTTTGTTTTAGTTTTAAGGAGTTCATTTATCAGTTTATATGATTATACTTACCTTTGGTTTCATCTTTTTGGCCAGAAGAGGCGTAGTATCGAGAAGACGATAAGTGAAGATGATAATATGTGTGCAATTGATTTATTGGCCACCGTAGCTGGACACTTGTCATTTGAGAGCGGGAGTTCTATCGACAAACTGATTGAAGATCATCGTGTAGTTACACAAAAGAGTGTAAAGGAGGAATTCCTGGAGGAAGAAAAACCTCTAATGCCAGAAGCTTTATCCGGTGAAAATCCTTATCAGGGATCTTTGAGCACCAGCGGTTTTAGTTCTGTGATAAATGGTAAAGTAGAGAACGAGGCAGATGGTTTTAGTTACTCTGGTGGTAGTGATGCTTGTCAAGTTGGGAGCTTCAGTGAAGATATAAAACCGGATATCGATGGCGATGCATTAGTTCTTGATGCGAGAGCTAATGTTGTAGTTAGTTTAGGTAGTAGTAGTAGAACCGAAGTGCCATCAATTGGGAATTGTGATTCCCATGGCGTTCGGGATGATGTAAATTTGTTTAGTAGAGATGATGATGAAAACTTTTCTGGGTACATTCACCCGCGTGTTAGAAAAAATTCACCTAGGACTGTGCCGCGTATTGGGGACAGAAGAATCAGGAAGATATTGGCTTCTAGACATTGGAAAGGAGGTTCAAGACATGCAGGTAGTAGCCTGCCTAAGGGGTTCTTGTCTGTCTCTTGTCTTAAATACATTTGATGGGTTTTGTTTTGATGACATGCGTTTGGTATTGCAGATACGAAACCATGGAGAAATTATTACTTGCACCATCAGAGGAGCTATCCTATCAAGAAAAGGAAAAACTTTGACCACATATCTGATTCAATTACTGATGACTACCGTTTGCGCACTAAGATGCATAGAGGTAAAGAGACTTTTTTCTTCTAAACTTCTGTCTAGATCTTGTAGCTTTTTGTTGTTGTTTTAATTAGATCTTGTTAATTTAATTTGTAGGCAGCAGAAAAGGTCAAGGTGCATCCTTTGTGGCAAGCAACTCCCATGGTAACAATGGAATCTCATTTGAATTCTTTGTCGGTTTTATTTATTTACAAAAGAGAAGAAGCTAACATGAGAATGTATATTTCAGTGAAACTACGGATCAAGTCGTTCAGGGTGCCTGAGCTTTTCATAGAGATTCCAGAAACTGCTACTGTTGGCTCATTGAAGGTAACATTACACAGCTCTTCCTCTCGCTTCCTATTAAGAAACTAAGTTCTTATGGTCCTTTGGCTTCTGCAGAGAATGGTGATGGAAGCAGTGAGCACTTTATTGAGTGATGGACACCGAGTTGGTCTGATGGTTCATGGGAAGAAAGTCCGTGACGATAACAAAACCCTTCATCAGACTGGGATCTCTCAGGATAACACCCACTTGGACTCTCTTGATTTTAGCCTTGAACCCAGCTCAGATATGCCTCAACTGTTAACTAGGTTCAGACTTCTATCCATTACTCAAATCTGCCACTGCGTTTAGTAACTCAAATCTTTTGTGGCTTAAGTTCTTATTTTGTTTTCCAGTCACCCGTCGGGACATGCTTCTGGGGAGCTGCTACCTGTGTGCCAAGCTGCTAACATGGACAATGTGTTGGAATCTGTCCATCATGACTCAGCACTATTCCCATCTGACTCATTAGGCAAGAATAACGTAACAGGAGATTCTAAAGCTATGATTCCTGTGGCGCTCACTGAATTGGCTTCTCGACCACCTTGTCGTAAACTTAAGAGAAGCGAACAGCAGCAGCAGCAGGCTGCACAACGCAGAATTCGTCGACCTTTCTCAGTTGCTGAAGTAGAAGCACTTGTTCAAGCAGTTGAGAAACTCGGTACTGGAAGGTAAAAAAACACAAATCATTTAGTGTTTGCTTTTTTGTGATTGTGAGTAGAAGAAGATGATGATTGAATTTTGGTGAAATCTGCAGGTGGCGAGATGTTAAGCTTTGCGCTTTCGAGGATGCAGACCACCGCACTTATGTCGATCTCAAGGTTTGCATTTTAATCTGTACTTATAATTTAAAATCGATGGAACCCAAATCGCATGATTAGGTCTGAGAAATCACTGTTTGATTTATATGCAGGATAAATGGAAAACGCTGGTCCACACGGCTAAGATATCTCCACAACAGAGGAGAGGAGAGCCAGTGCCACAGGAACTTTTAAACCGAGTCTTGAACGCTCATGGCTACTGGACACAGCAACAGATGCAGCTGCAGCAACCAGAGACACAGGCTCAAACGACAGAGGCTCTGCTGCTTCTCTAGTTGAATTTGCTGCAGGCTGGAGGTCGTCTCTCCTATGTGTATTACTACTATTGATGATAATGTAAGATTCTGACATAGATGCAAAGATTTGGTATTTTACTTGTTTCTTGGTTTCTTTGTTTTAACTTTTCTCAATGTAAAGTTTTTAACTGGAATAAGGTTTTTCTGACCAGTTTAGGGCTTTAGAGGATCTCTTGTACATTTTTTGTGACATTCTCTTCACATATTTCTTATCTAGACTTTGTAAAATTTCTCGCTCGTATTATTTATTTAATGTGCTACTTGTCTGATTCCACGAGTTTTATCGTGTGATTGAATTCGAATTGTCACTTACCAACGACGCTATCACAAACTGGTCTGATCGCTTGATCGGTGAACCAATTTGAAAATCCAGTTGAGGTTTTAGCAAAAACCAATCTCTTCTCTGAACCGGAAAATAGCAAACCGGTCGGTCAGCCCTCCGAGTGATTTGAACTGTATCATGTTGAAAATAGTTTCTCTCTCTGAACCCTCTTTTTGTCGAATTTCTTCTTCCCCACCAGCGAATCCGGCGAGCCTCTTGTTGATGTTGATTCGAGGTGAGTCTCAATTCCACGCGCCGCCTTTCCTCTCATGAATATGTGCTTTGATACATTTCCTACATAGTCCGATGTTTTCTAGCTAGATCTCCAACGATTTCTGATTGAATTTAGGGTTTAACAAAGATGGTTTTGAGTACATGCTCTTTGACCTCAGTCGCAGGTTTTAGCTAATCAGGGCATGAAACGGATCTGCTCGTTTTCAAGTGTTCAACTTTGTAAGTAAACTAAAAATTACATAACTCTTTATTCTCTTGGCTCTTGCAATGTTTTTGCTTCTTCGAGTGACTTGTTTTGATTTCTATTAGCTCACTGAATGCGAAAAAGGGTTATGAACCTTATTGATTTTGTGAATTGAAACAGATTTTGTTCCCCCATTTGTATATAAATTGATTAAAGTTTGGGATCCTTTATCTTATAACTGTGTTGTTTTAGTTTCTAGAAGTTTCAGAGCTTTAGCATCGCCACGATCTTTGAACTATCCCCTGCAGTCTCTCAAGCGTTCATCAGTTCGGATGGAGAGTAGCAACTTTTCTTCTGGTGTCAGAACCGATACTAGTGTGAAGCCAAGAGGAGCATTGATAGTTCTAGAAGGTCTTGATCGCAGTGGGAAATCAACGCAGTGTGCTAAGTTACTCTCTTTCTTGGAGGGTTTAGGACATCCGACCGAGCTCTGGAGATTTCCCGATAGAGAGACGAGTGTCGGTCAGATGATATCCGCGTATCTCTCTAATAAGTCGCAGTTAGATGATCACACAATTCATCTCCTTTTCAGCGCCAATCGTTGGGAGAAAAGGTTGTTATCTTTCGAGCTATCTAATTGGTTCCTTTCTTAATGTTCTGCTTCTCAGTAAGAAGACTAAGAAATTCTTGACATTTGCAGGTCATTGATGGAGGAAAAGCTTAAAACAGGAACTACGCTGATCGTTGATCGTTATTCATATTCTGGTGTTGCATTCTCATCAGCTAAAGGTCTCAATATCGATTGGTGCAAGGCCCCGGAAATCGGGTTACTGGCTCCAGATTCCGTACTGTACCTTGACATTTCACCTGAAAGAGCTGCTGAGAGAGGTGGATATGGAGATGAAAGGTACGAGCGAGTGGAGTTTCAGAAAAAAGTCGCAGACTTTTATCAAACCCTACGCGATTCTTCATGGAAGGTAAATGGATTAAGACTCTTTATTTGTTCCTCTGTAGAGTTAAATTAGATCTAACACAGAATAAGATAAAAGTAAACCTTGAAATGTTTGTGGTAATACAGATAATCAATGCAGGTGAAGCCATGGAGGAAGTAGAGAAGAAGATTCAAGAAGTGGCATTAGATAAAGTCAAAGAGTGTACTAAAGGAAAGCCTCTGTCACTCCTATGGTCGTCATAAAACGTTTTCGAGTCATAGCACTTGGCCACTTGCAAGTTCAGTGATTTTGAAGGAACTATTGTTGACGATTATACTATTTTGGGCCGTATAAGCCCATTTACAAGCCCAAATCTTTAGTTTATGTCGTCACTCATGACGTCTTAATCCAGTATATTAGTGTATTCTAATTTAGCGTCATTAAGTAAAGGACAAATCATTAAACGATAGTGCTTAAGATTAACTAATTAAACTAAAGTTGAAGAATAATCAGAGTGTAATTAACAATAGTATCACTAGATGAAATCATTATTGATATCATTACGAATAAAAAGCAACAGAGTGACAGACAATGTGAGAGCGTGTAATAAAAACTTAGCCACGCGCTCTCGGCCCTGACATTTCCCAACAGGCCTTACAGTGAAGTTATGTTTGGTCGGTGTATATCACGCGCATGAGAGAAATGCTTACGAGAATCAACTTCTGATTAGTAGAAGATTATGTTCTTCAGAATCAAACACAACATCAAATCCTTATAAAAACAGAAGTACAGAAAAACCAAATCGAATGATAAACATCACATTAACAAATATGTGTTCACACTCCGTGGCATATTAAGAAAAAAGAAATTGATATACGTAATTAAGACATTATCCAAATTGTTAATTAGACATATAAGACATTTGAGAGATTAGGAAATGGTCCCAAACAATTTAATAACACTTTTTCTCGACGTTTACGAGCTCTTCTCCAAACCTTAAGTTTTAATGTTAACTTAAACTTGTTTTCGTCAACGAATCATTTATATAGTATATAAAAAATTACCAATTGAAAATGGTTTTTTAATACTCATTGGATATGTGAGGAAAAAATATTCTAGGATTCTTTCTTAGATGGAGAGAGATATTCAAAGTTTTTGTAGGACAACGAAAATTATAAAATACATACACTTTAATTAAAACCTGAGCACTTGATGTTAAAATCAAAAATATATGGGAGATAAGATGAATTTAGACCTAACAGGTCGCATTCGTCGTGAATATTCCTCTTTCTTTCTCTTTCACCTTTACATTGATGCATTGACTTATTGTATACTCGAAACTCTATACCAATTGATTGATTGTTAATCATATTATAAGAAATAAGAGTACTAATGTCTAATTATTTATATCATTTATATGTCATAACCGTATTAAGGAATCCAATCCCGTCGTCTTTTGAACTTTGACTATTCAAGAAAACATAGACTGAGTCAAAGATATGAAATGATTTTGTTAATGCCGACAAAGAGTAATATGATAAATTAATAATAAGAAACGATTAGGTTTTGGTATCCACGTTCCCTTCACCCAAAATATTTGTCCAATTCCTTGGCCATCAAGAATTCAAGATTTATCTTTATAGTTTGTATAATATAGTATAGTATCATTATAAAAAGACAAATATAAAAAGAATAGTGATTGAAAATAACTTTATGAAAATGGAGCACTGTTCCAATACCATCTAAAGTTTAAGCCGTTTAGAGCATCTCCAACCAACTTCTATTTTTTCCTCTATACTCTATTATAGAGTAAATTTCATTCCAACTCACCTCTATTTTCGCCTGTAAAATAGAGATTTCTATTTTTTTGCTATATATATAGAGTATCTCTATTTTTTCGTCTAACAGAGTTAAAAGTTTTAGAGGAAAAAATAGGGGAATACATTGGAGTAAACCTCACCTCTATTATAGAGTTCCTCTATTTTAGAGGCAAAAATAGAGAAATATATTAGAAATCATCTTAGATGGTTGTTTAGAATTCTAAAGATGTGACCGATATTTAAGTTAGAAAAAGAAAAAAAATGTAAGAAAGCTTTTAAGCATAGTTTCGCTAGGAAAAAAAAAAGAATAAAAGAATTTTTTTTGTCAATTTAATTAAATTTGTAGTATTTGCTGCTTATATAATCGTAGATTCGTATATGATATATATATATATATATATATATATTTTTTTTTGACATCAAAAACCGACAAGTTTTCATAGAAAAATAGAAATCTATGAGATCTTACTTTTTTACCGAATAATCTATCCGAAAATTATTACAACTATGGATAAATCTAATACCAAAAGCGAAAAAAAAAATATAAGTGCTCTGAAAATGGCGAGTTTCTCTGCAAAGCTAGACCACTTAAAAAAATTAACAATCATTGAAATGAGATCGGTATAATCTAAAGCAAATCCGACACTAATAATACCAATCAAAATCATACATTTCATAGTCTAAATAACCAAATTCCGCATGAAGAGGCAATACTAATGGTTTTTAAACCGATATGTAAGAACCTATTTGTTCCCACCAAAACCACATTTGGAACTAGATGCATCTTGCATTTGATATATTTTGTATGGGACATTTTTTTTTTTTAACAAAAGTATGGGACATCTAAACAACGGAATTTTAACACTAACACAATAGTTCATAGTGTATGAATTTTTTTTATTTTTTAAAATTAATCCCAAAGCTGAGTAAAGGTACTTGACTTTTAGTCATGACCAAGCAATGCAAGCAGGTGGAAGATACTATTAGATAAGTAAAAGATAACAACAATCAAACTCCAAAACCCTAGAAGTAGTTGCAGATAGATCCGACACAAATTAACTAACCTTTAAATTATGTACAGTATGTTTTAATAACTTGATCCACTATTTGTGGCTGCTTTAGTGTTTCCTCGAAAGTTCCATTTTTTTTGCTCTGCAAACGAAAAAGAACCATAAAGCTCTCTCTCTCAACTGTGTTCACATGAACTTTCTCACCGCTTTCTTTCTCTCTTCGTTGAAAAAAAACCTCAACCTTTTTTTGTTTTATGATAAAATTTGACAAAAGCTCTCAACTTTTAAACTCTGTTTCATCATCATCATCATCATCACCATGGACGCTCTTCTTCAAGTTTCAGTTGATGGGTTCAGATTTGAGAACGGATCTGGATCTTGCTGCAAACCCAGAAACAATCTCGAATCTGGGAACAATCTCTTCCCCAATTTCCACGAGACTCAGAATCAGTCTTCACCAAACGATTCACCTCCAACGGTGTGTTTGGATAACTCTCCTGTTCTCAAGTACATCAATGACATGTTGATGGACGAAGAAGATTTCGTAGGTGAATCTCGAGACCTAGAAGCTTTACAAGCCGCTGAGAGATCCTTCTACGAGATACTTCAACAACAATCTCCAGAATCTGATCAGAACACGAGCTCTTCCGATCAAAACTCCGGTGACCAAGATTTCTGTTTCCCCAGCACAACAACGAGTTTAACAGATTCATCAGCGTTGGTTTCGAGCGGAGAATCACGGAGAAAGTACCGTTATCGGAATGATGAAGAAGATGATCTTGAGAACAATCGGAGAAACAAACAACCTGCGATATTTGTCTCGGAGATGGAGGAGTTAGCAGTGAAGTTCGAGCATGTGTTGTTGGTATGCAAAACGAACCAAGAAGAAGAAGAAGAAGAAGAAAAAGAATCAGCAATAACGAAACAGAGTCAACCACACAGAGCAGGACGACCAAAAGGTTCATCGAACAAATCCAAGACGCAAAAAACTAATTCCGTTGATCTGCGGAGTCTGTTAACGCAATGTGCACAAGCTGTGGCAAGCTTTGACCAAAGAAGAGCAACAGATAAACTCAAAGAGATAAGATCACACTCTTCTAGCAATGGAGATGGAACACAAAGACTGGCTTTTTACTTTGCAGAGGCGCTCGAGGCACGTATCACCGGAAACATCTCGCCGCCGGTTTCTAATCCGTTTCCTTCTAGCACGACATCCATGGTGGACATCTTGAAGGCGTACAAGCTGTTTGTTCATACTTGTCCCATCTATGTAACGGATTACTTTGCTGCGAACAAATCAATCTATGAGCTTGCTATGAAAGCAACTAAGCTTCACATAGTTGATTTTGGGGTTCTCTATGGCTTTCAATGGCCTTGTTTGTTACGAGCTCTGTCTAAACAACCGGGCGGACCACCGATGCTCCGGGTGACTGGAATCGAGCTGCCACAAGCGGGTTTCCGTCCTTCAGACCGCGTTGAAGAGACTGGTCGAAGACTGAAAAGGTTCTGCGATCAGTTCAATGTTCCGTTTGAGTTCAACTTCATAGCGAAAAAATGGGAAACCATCAGTCTTGATGAACTTATGATCAATCCAGAAGAGACAACGGTGGTCAATTGCATTCATCGGTTACAATACACTCCGGATGAAACTGTGTCACTGGACTCTCCAAGAGACACGGTTCTAAAGCTATTCAGAGATATCAATCCTGACCTCTTTGTGTTTGCAGAGATTAATGGAATGTACAACTCTCCTTTCTTCATGACGAGGTTCCGAGAAGCGCTTTTCCATTTCTCTTCACTCTTTGACATGTTTGACACCACAATACAAGCAGAGGATGAATACAAAAACAGGGCACTGTTGGAGAGAGAGTTGCTTGTGAGAGACGCCATGAGCGTGATTTCCTGCGAAGGCGCTGAGCGTTTTGCGAGGCCTGAAACCTACAAGCAATGGCGAGTTAGGATTTTGAGAGCCGGGTTTAAGCCAGCAACTATAAGCAAACAGATCATGAAGGAAGCTAAGGAAATCGTGAGGAAACGTTACCATAGAGATTTTGTGATCGATAGCGATAACAATTGGATGCTTCAGGGATGGAAAGGAAGAGTCATCTATGCTTTTTCTTGCTGGAAACCTGCTGAGAAGTTCACAAACAATCATGTAAACATCTGAATAATGTTACTTCTCTATTACTTCATTTTTGTTTCCCAATAGTTTTGTAGAATATGTTTGATCCCATGAGTGGAATTGATATCTTTTTTCCTGCAAGTACATATTGTATTCAACCCTTGTTTAAAAGATAAATTGTTTAATCAAAGATCTGAAGATAACACAAGCATTTAACCCCAAAAAGTTCAAAACTTTTGGCTATAATTTATCAAACGGGTTGCGACACCACGTGAATACAGACAGCACAATGAACGATCTACTAGAACATATGAACTGATGTGAACTAATGGCAAATAGGTTGCTGCAGTTAGCTGATTTAACCCCTATTTGGTTTGAGGTTTTGGTGGCCTCAAAACGCTCCAGTCCACCTTCTTGCTCTTGGGTTTCTTGAACGCATTGCCTTTTTTATTGCTCGGTGATGGTTTGTCACTGCTCCTCGGAGACTTGTTAGGACGGTTTTGTTCCTCGGAGACTACCTCAGACTGTTTTCTTTTCAAGTCACCATTCATTTCCCGACTTGGCTCAACCTTCGTACTCTCCGGTTCACTGAAAAAGGATGTATTTTGACTAGTTGAAGTTTACAACTTTAAAGAGAAGCAAAATCAGTCATGAACCAAATAATGTTTGATATAACCTATTGCTAATTGCTATCAATAACGACTTCATTGTCTCAAAATATACAATGGATCTTCAGCATTGTTCTGTTGTATGCACACTCTCTGGGAAATTAATTCGTTGAGAACCTAAAGGAATACAAAAGCGAAGAGTACAGACCTAAAAGACTTCTTTCCTCCATTACTGCTAGAGCTTGAGGGAGAAGCATCTGTTTTTCCACCGTTTATTGCCTCTTCATTCAATTTCTAAGGAGAGGACAGTTTTATTTCAGAAAGCTAAAAGGGAAGAACACCAATCGCAAATTATTTCAAGCCATAGCGTCACAGACACTAACTAACCTCGATAGAGGGATTGAAAGACTGAAATGACATGCGTCCTAACAATGCTCCTGGCTGAGGATCCCAGTCTGTTATGACCACACTGCATCAAAAATCAAATCACACATTAGAAAACACTACCAAACACATAACAAAGGGTAGACAATAGATACACAATGTCTTTAACAAAACATAAGCATCAAGTAAGAAGAAAGATACGGTACCACTTCTTTGCAACAGTGCCTTGGGAAGGAAAACTCCCATTAGGCTCTTCTTCATCAACCTTCTTCTTCTCTACTTTCAAAGCAGACCTTTGCATAAACTATACACAGAGAGCATCAATCATTATTAAAACCCAAAAAAACAGATTATCAACTAAGAGCTACATGATTGCTATAACACAATTCTTCAGTGAAAAATTGCAACTTTATCCCCAAAAACAAAGCTATAACAGGTGCTAAGCTCAGTGTTACCCCAAGGTGAAATCAACCTCAAAGGGATTATCAATTTGTTCAAGAATCAAAATCCAGCAAAATAGAGAAGAAAACTACAATTTCCAAGCTCGAATTTAATTCAATTTCAGTAATTTCCTTGAGTTTCAAATCCAAGGTCATGTCACATGAATAAAGCTACTTCTCCAGAGAAAGAAAAAAAAAAGACAGTACCTTTAGATTTCTGAGAGTGCTACTAATCTCTCTCTTGGCCATTATAGCTTTCCCAAATCACGAGATTTCCGGTACCGGAGAGATGGAACAACTCTTTGAGTATTTTCGTTTTTTAGGTTTAGAAGATTTTCCGATTTGAAGCTCCGTCCCAAATTGACCTACAACAACACTTTTAGGTTTAAGTCTGGTAAAAACCTAACCGATTCAAACCGTACCAAATTGAAAATTTTAAATCACCAAACCAAGATTACATTGGTTTAGTTTTTTTGGGTATATTTATTTGATCCATGTCTGAAGAAGAAACCAGACCAATCAAACAGTAGAACACAAAATCCAATCTGAAAAACAGCAGAACAAAAAAGTCAACGAAGCAACTTCAGGAAATAAAACAATGGATTATCTAGGAATTGATTTGAGCTGCGCAATCGGAACTCTCCGTAACGGTGAGTTTCCGGCGAAAGATTGTCTTCTTCCTCTCATTTCAAAGCTGCTCGGTTACTTCCTCGTCGCTGCTTCAATGACCGTCAAGCTTCCTCAGGTTGGTTAAATTCAATCAATCAATCAATCCCTATGATTTCACAACCCTAATATCTCTAAATTGATTGAAACTGTTGTTGTTGTAGATAATGAAAATCGTGGACAACAAGAGTGTAAAAGGCTTAAGTGTTGTAGCATTTGAGCTTGAAGTGGTTGGTTACACAATCGCACTTGCTTATTGTCTTAACAAAAAGCTTCATTTTTCAGCTTTTGGTGAATTAGCTTTTCTTTTGATCCAAGCTTTAATCTTGGTGGCTTGTATCTATTATTTCTCTCAACCTCTCTCTGTAACAACTTGGGTCAAAGCAATTCTTTACTTTGCTTTAGCACCAACTGTGTTTGCTGGTAAGATTGATCCTTTGCTTTTCGAAGCTCTTTATGCTTCTAAGCATTTGATATTTCTCTCTGCAAGAATCCCTCAGATTTGGAAGAATTTCAGAAACAAAAGCACTGGACAACTTAGTTTCTTGACTTGTCTCATGAACTTTGGTGGAGCTATGGCGAGAGTTTTCACCAGCATTCAAGAGAAGGCTCCCCTTAGCATGCTTATGGGTATTGTTCTTGCAATCTTCACCAATGGAATCATTATGAGTCAGATGCTTTTGTATCGAAGCAAAGGAAAAGAAGATAAGCAAGTGAAAGGTATTAAGATTTCATGATATATTGTAAAAGAGATTTACACGATGTTGCAATCATTTAAATAAAGTAGAAGCTTGTTTCATTACTACTCATAATTCCAAAATCTCAAAAAGTGGTCTCAATCAAAGCTTTCAATTACACTTATTTTTTCCTCTTAAAAGAGTGAATAGTTATGCGGTTTTCATGCTATTTTCGATACTATTAGCTGCAAAATGAGCGAGTGAATGTTTGCTTAAGCAATGGTTTCAATGGCGACCTTTTGCCTGGATCTAATCTCCTCGGCTTTGTCATCAACAGCTTCCCATAGTTCAGGAAGAGCTTCACGTATGTTGTGAATGTGCTCCAATGCAATATCTACTCCTTCCTCTCTGTGTGAGGTCCCAACCTAATAATAGAAAAAGATTTTAAAAAGGTGAGCTTTGAGATTGACTTTTAAACTTATTTGTCTCTGCTTCTTTGACTTACCCATACGGTGTGGAGACCCACACGTTTCCCAGTTTGAATGTTACGGATGCTGTCATCAAAGAACAACTGAAAACACCCAAGATATTTGCAACTTAATAAGCTTCAGTGATGAATTGGTTTAGGTAGGAAAAAAAGAAGAAGCAGTGATATATTCTTACTGTCTTTTTAGGATTGATGTTGGCCATCTTGAAAACCTGTTCGAATGCTCCTTCAGAAGGTTTGCATACAACCGTAGTCTTTGGAAGTTCAATGCTTGGGTCAGGATTTGCCATGTAACTGCTTATGTCAAAGATTTCTCTGGTTTTGGTATCAACAGGAGATTCAGTTTTGGTGATGGAGTTCAGAGTCTCGAAAGATATGATTTTCTCAAAGCAGTTCTCTAGGCCTAGCCTGGCAATAACCTTGGCTGCATGAGCCTTGTCTGCATTCGTGAAAACCTGTGAGCAGATTAAGGAAAGATAGAACATCAGAGAAGAAACTGATTGGAAACCAAATTTAAGAGCTTAGCATCAGGGAGTCAAACACATACAACTTTCCGAATAGGCAAGCTAAGAATAATATTCCTCAGAATTGGGTCAGGTTTCAGTGTTGAGTATGGCAATCTCCCATGAACAAAACTGTAAAACAAAGGAGGAATCTCAAGTTCCACACACCTTACATTTTACAAGACATGTAAAGCAAATATGAAAGACAGGTTAAGTTCAGTACCGATGGAAATCGTCATAATCAAAGTCATAACCCACAGCCTGAAAGAATAAAAGCCAAAACCGAAAGGTATGTGCATTAACAACATTGGAAGACATGGAAGAATGTAAACAGTGTGAAGAAATAAGATACCTTGAGACCAGCCATAGTTGTACCATAGATTTTATAAAGCGAAAGGCACAGTTCTTGGACTTTATCTTCTTCAACACCAAGTTTCTGAACCATATATTCTAAACAGCAACAACAACCAAATGTTAAGCTATAACATGAGCAACCAAACTTCAAGAGAAGAACAACAATAGAATGCGAACAGAGCTTACCTTGAATGTTCTTTTTCACTTCCATAGCCAAACCAGAACTGAGAGGGTAAAGAGTATCATCTATATCTGTTTGATTAAAGTCAAAAAACAATTCCTTTAATCAGAAAAAAACGTTTAAACTTGAGAAACCATTTCTCAATCATCAAATTGCAATAAACTTATGTTAAAATTCAAATCCCAATCCTAAAAAATCTTCCTTTCTCTTACCAAATAAAAGACAATCATATCTAGCTTCAGAAGTTTGCTGAAAGTTTTCCTCATACGACATTATGATCCCAAATTACACCTGGAAACAAAACCTTAAGCAACTGAATCTCAACGTTACCAACACACATTTCACATAAATCTGAAAACTTTAACATCAGATCCCATAGATTATACATCTAACTCATTCACCAACAATATAAACATTTTTATAGGTCAACATAAAACTACACTCTGAATCGAAATCAACCAGGGGAAAATAATGAAAATGCTAAACGTAAAATCGTTACTAAAAGAAATCGATCGAAACATACACGAACTTGCAGAGGAGAATCGAACAAAAGAATAATCAATGAAGAAAGTGAGAACCTTTTTGCAGATCAATGAAACTTCGCGAAAGAGAGAGAGAAATGGAGAAAAAAAAGGAGATGTGAACCAAACGTTTCTATGGCGTCCCTCATGACATGACTCATCGATTGGTTGTCGTTAAATCTGGAGAGAAAGCATTTTACTCCCGTCGACATCTACGATTTCTCCACGTGTCGTTTAGATTTTTCTTGACGGGCTAAGCGAATAATCGAATGACACGTGTGCTTAATGAGCCGACCAAACACACTTTTTCAAAATGTCGTGCGCCTTAATTTATTGGCCATCCATAAATTCGGTTCGAGGAATCTCGCTAAATCTGGCTGAATTGCTGAATCTGGCTAAATATATTTATGTTTTTTTGCGAGATTTCGCTGAATAATTTATAGTTTAAATGGTAACTACTGAATCTGGCTGAATTTTTTTAAAAATCTAATCGACTAAACTTCTAAAATTATTAGCTAGAGAAATGTTTCGCCGAAACCAAACCGAAACTGACAAAAACACCAAATGGATCTTAAACTTCATTACCGAAAGAACCGGAACCAAAATATTTTGGATACCTGTATAAAACCGAAATACAATTATATATCTAAAACATTAGTTAGTTTTATACAGAATAATAAAAAATCCAAATAATCAATAAATACTATTCACTAAAAGTATCTGAAAATTTCCCAAAAAATATTCGAAATGTTATTTGGATAAGAACCAGAACTAAAAAATATTCGAAGTTTTTTTGGTTCCTAATTGGTTCTTGATTCAAAAAAAAACCGAAATGCTCCAAAATACTCGGAACCGAACCAAATTTTAACCAAAATTCTAAAATAACCGTATGTATACTTAACTCGAGAATCGAAATATCCAAAACCAAAAATTACATAATTGAAACCGAACCAAATACTCCAACATCCAAGACTATCCACAAAATAAAATAAAATAAAACAAAACAAAAAATATAAAAAATTATTAGTTCCTAAAAACAAACTTCAAAATACATTATTCAAAAAAACATATCAAAATTTACTAATGAAATGCATCACATATTCGTTTTTTGATTTTCTCTCATATTATTTAATTTGCTTGTTTTCTATTTGTTGAAGGTTTGATTAATTCAATAAATCAAAGAATGAAGTGGGACCACTATGATAAAAGATCAAAAATTCCACAACAATTCCACATATACAAATGATGTAACATGTATTTTTTTCCACATAAATTCCTCAAGAATTCCACAAATACATGTTACCATTTACAGCCTTAGATTATTGCTAATGTACCATTCCAGTCCACATGGACCTGATGCTTCAATCACCAATAGGTAGGTAACTTGCACAAAACTTTCCATCTATTTTTTTCAAACCATCTAAATTAATTAGCAAATACTGATGTATATTTTTGTTAAATTTTTTTCCATTGTTTGTGGTGTATAGCTTAGTTGTATATTTAAAACATTAAAGTAGTGATATTATATGTCAATTTGTTGTTGTTGTTGTTTATAGAGGTACACTATATGTGATTTAGAGGGTACACTATATACATCATATGACTTACGGCTTATGGGGCATAACTTCTAGGTTTCTTACAAAATTTGTATAGTTTAATCAGAAGGAAACCAAAAGTTGTTTAGTCCTCATTTGCCAAGACTTGAATTCTAAATATCACAAACTTTATAAAGGAATGAAGGTTGCAAATATGTTTCACCTCTAAAACCAAAAACAGTATGAAAAATATATGATTCACTTCTTATTCAGATGCTACTTGTGTGTGTATATATAATACACATGTACATCATTACTCTTTTATCAACCGTTACATCAAACAATAAACGATATATCGGTGTATATGTGGATATTTTATCATATTATTAATACATTAATTATATATGTATTCATATCTTCACAAACTAAGTAAACATGTAGATTAAGCTTCAACAGAAGTTGCAATCGAGAACTGTGCAGCGTAACTAATTCTTTTAGATTTCTCGTTGTTGTTGTTGCTGTTGGATTCTAACCATAACTCCGGAAATGCTTCTTTCATGTTGTGAATGCTTTCTAACGCGTAATCACTCCCATCCACTTTTCTTGATTTACCAACCTGAAGTCAATTAAAATGTACTTATGATGATGAGTTTTCAGTTTCACTAATCCCTTTAAGAAATAACTTATCTCAATAATCTATTTTGATAAATAACGATATTTTGTCAAAACAAATTTGCTATATTTTGATGACAATTAATTCGTCAATATCCAAACCGAAGTTGATCTCGATTTAGATATTCGTTTAGTGAAAATTATCATATGAAATGATACTAGTACTACTTTGTTTGGTTCAACAAGTTAACCGGAATTTACCAAGACTGTATGGAGACCCATGACTTTTCCGGTTTGGATGTTCCGGATACTGTCGTCAAAGAACAACTGCAGAAGAAACACGATTAAATTGATTATGAGATAATACTATTGATTAAGAAAATCCATTAAAAAAATGTCTATTTGTATTTCATTATTAGTCATCAAATCTTACGGATTTGTGAGGATTGAGCTGTGCAATATCGAAGGCTTTCTCGAAAGCAATCTCGGTTGGTTTACAGATAACCAGATTTTCGGAAAGATGACCTGTGACGCAAGAAACTTCAGCCTCGTTGGTCTTAGGGTTTAAGGTCTCGAAACTTATGATTCTCTCAAAACAGTCTTCAATGCCGAGTCTCTTTAGAGCTTTCACCACATGAACATCATCTCCATTTGAGAAAACCTTAAAAATAATAATAAAAATAAATACAAAAAGAGACCCAAAATTTTATTAATAGAACATAAGGATATATTACACTGAAATTAAGCTATAAAAAAGATAAGGAAAACAAACCAATTTTCGAAAAGGTAGGCTAAGAAGTAGATTTCTGAGAACCGGGTCCGGTTTAAGGTTTTCATAGGGTAACCTCCCATGAACATAGCTATGGTACTCGTCATTATCGAATTCATAACCTATAGCCTGCATAAATCATCATTTTCATGACAATTTGTAAACCATTGTCGTGTTTGTACTTTAATGAATTATGCAGTCGTCGTCAAATATCATGTGAATTATACAATCGTCTAATATATGTAATTTTTTGCTTTGATCAACAAAATATTTATGAAGGTAAACTACCTTAAGGCCAGCCATTGAAGTTCCATATTTTCTATAGAGAAGTTGGTTTAGTTCAACAACTTTGTCTTCCTCTATTCCAAGCTTTGGGACCATGAATTCTGCGAAAAGACGGTTCATGAATGATGAATCTCCAGGTGTTTTCTCTAATAAACATGTTAAAATAAAAAACTCGAAAACAAAATAACTAACAACAGATTAGTACCCATGATGTTGTTGGCGCATGCTTCTGATAAACCAGAGCTTAAAGGATATAGAGTATCATCCAAATCTTTTGGAAACAAAATAGAGATAGAACAATAAATTTGTTAATTGCTTCTTAAACTTAATTTAAACAAATTAAACAACACTTTATACCAAAGAGGAGACATTCATATCTTGGTGTGGAGTTGGTCACAAATTCCGTTTTTTCTTCCGAATTGCGAATCTGTGAAAAAATAAAAGTGAAATTCAAAAGAAAGAGCATTTGAAAAGAGAATTCTGTTTGTAACAACAATGAAAGATAGAGGAGACAATTACCTTAGTGTTTTTGGGTTTTAAAGAGAGAAATTAAAAGATTTGATGAAGTGAAGCTAACAACGTAGATATGTGTTTATATAAGCAACAAGTTAATGCGCGTGAAAAGCTATGTGAAAACAATGTCAATAATAGCTTTCGACTTTTGTTTCAATAGTACTTACTGTATTATTAATAGTATAGAGTTAATTTTAACACTAACATTTATCTTATAAAAATACTACTTCTCATGATTCCCGTTGATGGGAGATATCATCATCTCCATACACTTTCGAGGTTTTATAGAGTTATATTATTATTAGTGGTTGATTCATTTGGTTAACCGTGGGATCCATTCATAGGTTGTTAAAGATAAATCCATTTTTGGGAGGGTTCCAACGATCCAGATACTGTATATAGATCTTTTACTAGGCTACTAGCACATTACACAAATAAGAGAGGCTAATTAAAATACAATTATAAACTATAAATGCAAACTTAAATAAGAGAGGTTAATTAAAATACAATTATAAATTATAAATACAAACTTACAATATATCAACAATAAACGGTACATGGATTTTTTTTTGAAACATTTATTAATACGTAGATATCATCATATACTACTATACTAGTATAAAACATGTAAAGTTAAGCTTGAACAGAAGTTTCAATCGAGACCTGTGCAGCGTAATCAATTCTTTCAGTTTCTTTGTTGTTGATTTTGGATTCCAACCATAACTCGGGAAATGCCTCTTTCATGTTGTGAATGCTTTCTAACGCGTAATCACTTCCATCTACTTTTTCTGATTTACCAACCTGAAACAAATTTAAATTGATCTTTTTCATTTAACGATTTGGTCAAAAGTACATATCTATGAGTCTTTTGTCCGAAATTAAGTTTGATCTAGGTTTTGATATTGGTCAGTGAAACCATTATACTACAAGAAGATCTAACTTAACTTCATCTGCTTATATACTTTTGGTTCAACATATATAATTAGGTAACAAAAAGCGAGTTGTTAGTTACAAAAAAAATCAGGTTTTAATTCGTGTTAATGTTAATCGGTTCTTACCAAGACTGTATGGAGACCAACGGCTTTCCCGGTTTGGATGTTCCGGATACTGTCGTCGAAGAACAACTAGACAAGCAAGCAACACGAAAACGTTGATTAGAAGATAAAACTATTGATTAAGTCTAATTATGTTGAGTTATTCTTTTCTGAAACTTACGGTTTTGTGAGGATTGAGCTGTGCAATGTTGAAGGCTTTCTCGAAAGCAATCTCGGTTGGTTTACAAATAACCGGATTCTCGGGAAGATGACCTGTGATGCAAGAAACCTCAGCTTCGTTGATCTCAGGGTTTAAGGTCTCAAAACTTATGATTCTTTCAAAACAGTCTTCAATGCCGAGTCTTTTTAGAGCCTTCATCACATGAACTTCATCGCCATTCGAGAAAACCTAAACAATAGAAAGACACCAAAATTTTATTAATATAACATAAATTTATATATAAACTGAAGCTATGCAAAAAAAAAAAAAAAAAAAAGATAAAGCAAATAGTTAGTACCAATTTTCGACAAGGTAGAGTAAGAAGGAGACTTCTTAGAACCGGGTCCGGTTTAAGGTTTTCATAAGGTAATCTACCATGAACATAGCTGTGGTACTCGTCATTATCAAATTCATAACCTATAGCCTGCATAAATGATTTTTTAAATTAAATTTCGATTTAATTATAAACCAATGTCCTATTTGTGTAATGGAAGAAATCAGACTAATTTATTGTGTCTGATCATCATATATTATGAAGGTAATTTTAATTTACCTTAAGACCAGCCATTGAAGTTCCATATTTCTTGTAAAGAATTTGGTTTAGTTCGACGACTCCATCTTCATCTATTCCAAGTTTTTCAACCATGAATTCTGTATAAGGGTAATTTGGTGATTTTAAGAATTTTTTCTCTATATAAAATAGTACTAAATATATTAAGAAGTCACCACAATAAAAATCTTTAAGAAAAGCATAGCATACCTATAATGTTGTTGGTGCATGCATCTGATAAACCAGAGCTTAAAGGATAAAGAGTATCATCCAAATCTATTGGAAACAAACATATATAGAGATAGATCAACAACTTTGTTAATTGTTTCTAATTTTTTCAATAATAAAAACAAATTTTCTCATCAATTATTACCAAAGAGGAGACATTCATATCTTGGTGAAGAGCTGTTCACAAATTCCATTTCTCCAGAAAGTGCAAATCTGGTTGGTTTAGAAGAAGCAATTACCTCAAAAAAAAAGATGAGAGAAAATAATAGACGTGAGAGAAACGAAGAAGATAAAATATTTGATGTATAAGAGAAGAGAATGCAGAGTCTCTTTATATAAGAAACTTAAATGCGTGTGAAAATTAATTCACTAAAAATGAGTATTAATTAATAATATAGACGACAAGTACTTTGCTTAATCGAGTTTATAATGGTTTCGCTGTCAAAAAGACATTTTATGATTATAGAAATACTCTCTCCGTTTCGTTTTACTTGTCGTTTTAGAATTAAAATTTTGTTTCATGATACTTGTCGTTTTAGGATTTTGATGCAAATGTTTGGTGAAAATTCTAGTTTTATCCCTACTGTTTTAATGTTTTGGCCAATGAATTTTTTTATAAAATATATTAATAAAGAGTAAAACAGAAAATTTAATATTTTTCTTAGTTTGTGTGAAAAAACTTTAAACGTAACTAAAACGAAATGGAGGGAGTAGTTCTCGTGATTCCCGTGGATGTGCACATTCAAAAACAAATGAAATAAATTGTACTAATCAATAGGCATTATAAAGTCTACGCGTCAATAATTACACATCGTTCTCTTGGTCGTGTCACGTTTTCCATTTTGATCTAAACTTTAAAAGAAATAATAAAGACTAGTAAGATTGACCAAGACTATCTTTTATTTTTTTCCTTTCCTTTTTTAATAAGACTGATGAACGAACCGTGTGATGTGACAATTAAAAGAAGACCTAAATCTTTTACTATTACTCCTCAAAACAGATACCTCCTCAATACATTAAAGTCCCGAATTTTGTCTTATTTTTTTTTTTTTTTGCTAAGTGGATAAATATCATATAAAATGAAAAGGTTTAATTTTGTTTTTTTTCTTATTTTTTATTTTTTTTATTTTATTTTTATTTTATTTTTATTTTTTTTATTTATTTATTTTATTTTAATATTTTGGTCTTAAATAATGAAACAAATATATTGGAGACGACTTTATAAACACAAAAGGGTGCAAAACATAAAATTTCACCATAACAAATTAATACTACGACATTTCATGAATAAAAAAACTTGAAAATTTGGAATTTATTTATATACAAAAATGTTAAATTATTTGGTTTGACTTTAATTTTTATAAATAAGTTCACTATGTTATATTGTTGACGGTGAATAATCCATCGAACTAATAATCAGTTATTATGTTATTAAAAAATAATTAGTCGAAATAGAGTTCCGACATATTAATATCTACTGTATTTCATTCTTATTTCACCCCTCAATAATTTTGCATTCTCAAAATTTTCATTTTCTATTTTTTTCTTACTTCTCCTCATTTTCTAAAATGAGAAAATTTGCTTACATAGACTGTTTCTTTTCAATAATAGAGACAAGTAAAAATTTCTCGTAGGAAAATAACACTTTTTGAAGCGACTTCTCCTCTTTTATACGAACCTGGGCCAGGTGCGACCGGTCGGTTTCAACGACTAAGACCAGCCGGCATTAATGTCATCATAATTAGCTGAGCCAATTAATAGAACCTTCCTCAATTTTTACAGTTTTGCCCCCACATGACTTGTCAAAGCCCATTAGTTTTTACATAGTAGCCCATTAGACCATTTTATCATAGCCCATAGGCCCATATATAATTACCGAACACAGAAGTAAAAGAGAGGTTCACTTCTCTCTCTATCAGACTATCTCCATGTGAAGTTTATCTGTTTTCCGGTTTCGATTTCGAAACAAATGAGAAGCTGAAAGAATTTTTCTGAATCTTTGTCGTTGTATCCGTTACCTGAATTCAATTCGCCATGGAAGCTGTGCTTCTCTGCTCGAAGGTTGTTCCTCGAGCGACGTCGTTGGAAGAGAATCGAAAGTTTTCGTTCAGGCATTTGAACAAACACCTTAAGTGCAATTCGCTTCGTGCTGATTCCAGAAACACTCCGTTGCTCCGAAGCTTTGAAGCCATTCAGAGTCCGTCTAGCTGGAGATTTTCTCCGTTTCCAGTGAGAAAAGGTTCATGGGTTCCGCCCAGATGCTCGATTTCTAGCTCGACTGTTTCCGATTCCGATAACCCTTTCCTTAGCCATTTTCGAACCTTCTCGTTTGGGTCGGTGGTGAAGAAAGTTCGTGACTTGAAAGTGAAGCCCATGGATGTTGTGAAGTTAACTCTTTTGCTATCGATTTTGACTGTGGCTGCGAAAAAGGTGGTGAATTTGGTCTTGGACCCATTCTTCTGGATGTATTTCAGTTGGACTTGGCTGTTCTGGCCTTGGTTTATCGCTGTGGGACTCGCGGGTTACGGAATTTACTGCTTTCGTAAGCATTGGCTTGGAGAAGCCAATGCCTTTGAGCAGCTTGGTATTGTTACTTCAGTCTTCACATGGCTTACACTTGTGCCTCCTGCTTATTTCAATGGTTATCTTGAAGGCTGGCCTTATGTGTTCTTCTTGGCTTATCATTACTTCTTTTTCTTCAATGTTAGCGTGAGAAAACGCCTCTATGGAGATTACTATGCTCGCACGCATGATCCCAAATGGGATGTGAACACGCCTCTGTGGTCTCGGATTTTGTTTGGTGTTGGCATCATGGTTGGACATTGGCTTGCAGCTTTTGAAGGGCCTGAGCTTCACCGATTACCAGGGGGGTGGGCCAATGTAGGGATATGGATTTTGATTGTGATTACAATGCTTATGCATTATGATTCAACGCTATATCTTGCTAGATATTCCGAAAAGGTTGTTGTTCCAACGGCTGTTGTGCAATTTGGTCCTTATAGATGGGTCAGGCATCCGATATATGCTTCTACGATGCTTCTTTTCGCTGCATATTGCACTGCCTTGCGTGCGCCTTTGAGTCTGTTGTTTCTTTTAGTGGTGTGTTTGGTTTACTACAACAAGAAGGCAAAGCTGGAGGAAGAATTGATGGTGGAGAGTTTCGGACAAAGCTATTCGGATTATGCTGATAAGGTTAGGCACAAGTTCATTCCTTTTGTTTACTAGTGCTTTAGAGGAACCTGTGTTGTTGTGTCTAATTATCTGGTATCTATCAGTCAAACAATGTATGAATGAAGATGAGTTAAATTGTCCCATTTTTATTGGAATGTTAGGCTTGTGAAAAGGATATGTTTTTTATGCTATTCCTGGTTCTCTAATTTCTATTTCAAGATATTTCATATCAGTATTAACTATTAATATTAGTTTTAGAAGTTAACACTTTGGGTTAGCATGAATCTGAAAATTGATTGGATGCTATGAAAACCAAACTTCACATCATCTTGATTGCTTGTGGCTGTAGCTTATTAGTGTAAAGTTATTTCCTAACACTTATTTGATTTGCGTACTTTATAGTATTAGTGCCTTATCTTTTGTCCTTTGATGACTATCCATCTTTGCTGTTGCATAATTAACCGTGATTTGCTGCATTCGTTTTCTTTTTTCTTGATCCATCTAATTGGGTACATGTGACCCTAATTTTCTAAATCTCCTGATCTTAACTGATTCCCTGACTTAAAGTATATGAACACCTCCAGTTAAAAACTAAAGCGGCTTGCTTTCTGAGTGTTTATAGCCTTTACACGTAAGAAACCGCACACGGAACAATCTTAATCATGATTAGTTTAAATAAAGTGACATCTCTAATCTAATAATTTTCCTAATCCCACTTGCTCCATACTAATCAATCATGTTTAGTTTAATAAAATTCTTCTATTCAGATAAAACTTTCTTTTATCGTCCTTGCATTTGCAACCCATTATCAAACTCCACATGGAAATGTTTCTTTAATTGACTTCTACATGGTACTTTGGAGAAAAAAAGGTTTTGAGGTTTGTGTATAAAACACTTGAAATCTTGAGATATGTCATATTGAAAACTCTTTAGCTTTGGCTTCTGTTCCTGACACTTGGATAGTGAAGTGGGCTTGTGTTATATTGATGCGATCTCTCTCTTTATTTAAAAGTCTATTAGAGAGATCTTGATGCTACTTCTGTCCCTTTCCAAGTGATTTTACATCGACCAACTAGCTTTCTTTATGTGAGTGTATATATTCATTCATGTACCTATCTCTCTCAATTACTTCTCACCAAAATCATCTTGCTGATTCATTTACTGTCTGAATTCTCTTGATTTCCCCTTTACTTTTTCATTTGTTGATTAAAACCATGGGAGTTCCCAAATTTAGAGCTCGAAACCGGTAAGGATCTTTCTCCACGGTTGAAATAGCTGGGTTCTTGATGAGCAGGGAAAAGGTCTAGCCTTTGGTGGATGTTACCAGCCAGTAGTCGCAGATGCAGCACCATTAAGATTCACAAGAGATGTGGTTCCCTTTGTTTTTGCCTCTCGATCCGAAGAAAAGGGTTCCTTTCGAGTGGGAATCTTGATGATGCTGCATCAGCAAATACATGGCTACTCTTATCACTTTTTTTTTTCCCATTCTCTAGTGAAGAAAGTAAAGATGTCTTGGAGATCTTACAAAGGACTCAATAACAGAAGGTAAAGTCTCTTTTCTTGTTTCTGTCTCATGGCAATTTCTTGATCATGCACATGTTGTGAAATATCTTTAAGTTTATGGTGTTTCTATTTTTGCTTTTGTTATTGGCAAAAACCATTCACATGTGGAAGGATCCCACATATGCTTTAAAAACCCAAACAAGATTGTAACAACTGTATTTAAAATAAATAGACTACTATGATAAGTTTCTTAGGTGAATGTGAAATAGTGAGAACTCAGAAGTGAGAAGTCTCTTGTAGTTACGGTTTGTGAGAACTCACATGGTCACATGTGAAAATGGTCCATAAGTGTTTGTTGGTCAATTCTTTGCCATTGGTCCCAAGGTTTATTGCGTGTATTAATTATATAGTTTCTTTGACCCGATAAGGAAAATAAAAACATTTTTTCCACATGGATCATATGAATTCTTGCGACACATTTTCCTTGTTAGAAAATATCTTTGTTAGGCGAGAAATTAAGGGATTTTGATCTAATGTGTCATACACTATAACAAAACTTATAGAAATTGCCACAAAACATTTGTTTTTTTAAATGTGCTATAATGGTGGATAAGACTTTGAACCGGTGGAAGCCTCTTTGGCCCATTGGTTGACCAAGGGTTGATTAATGCTTCTACACCAAAAAGTCTGGGGTTCGAGTCCTAGGTATTGCGATTTATTAACAAATTTGCAGATTAATGGAGGCAAGTGTGCAAGAGATCTCCAGCGATGTACAATTATAGCCGTTCGCCAGGATTCTACGCAGAGAAGGAAGTGTAGCCAGGTCGTGGATCATTGAAGGTATTCATCAAGATTACGAAGAAGGAAGTGTAGTCTGTCGTGAATCTAGTAAGGGTCGGAATGAATTGTCAGTTGTAGAATCGTCTATGTAACAGTTCTCATAATTTGCAATTAATAATAAATCTAGACGACAAAAAAAAAAAAGACTTTGAACCGAAAATTTTTGGTAGATAAAAAATGTTGTCCACCTTTGAAACAACAGATTGGAGAGATATTTGGTGGACAAAAAATCTTGTCCACCTTTGAGATATTTGGTGGACAAAAAATCTTGTCCACCTTTGAAACAACAGATTTTTGGTGGACAAGAATTCGAAACGACATACAAAAATTTGGGTAGACAAGAAATGTTGTCCACCATTATGACACATTTGGAAAGATTTATATTTTGTAACATTTTTGCTAAGTTTTTAAACATTAAGTGGCACATTAGTTAGATTTCTCTAATGTATAATTGCAAATAATAAATATTATTGAAAGTTTGTTTGAGAAAAATATATTAAATTTTCAAAGTTTGCATAAATTGGTGGGTCTCTTGTGCAATGGAATATTGTGAAAGTAAATTCAAATTTTACTTGCTACTTGTTTTACATTTGAATTGTTAGTGACTTTTCTTTGGCTAATCGTACACTAATGGTCCCAACTCCTGATAATATATTTTAATCCGGCATTTGTAAGCTTTTTAACAAGCAAACAACGATGACAGAGAAAAATAAGTAGTGACGTCGATGACAAATAGTTTAATAAGTTTCTGTGCTTGATATTTTTTTTATATGAAAATCTAGCCCGATAAACCATAATCTCTCGATTATATGATATGCCATGTTACTTCTGAAAATGAAAAAATGTATAATATGTTTGAGTTTATGTCAAATATTAGTTACCCATTCATCAACAATTTGCAACAAGACATGTAATCACCAGAATCACCAGACAAATTTAAATCTAGTCTAGTAATATATATGCAGATTAGTGACAAACAAAACAGATTGACAAATCGCTAATTAATAATTAGTTGCGCAATTACAAATTTCAAAAAAAAAAATCAAAAAAAGTTATGTGTCTAGGCTCGTACATACCCTCAGGTCACAAATCAGAGTATTTTATATAGTTTTTTTTCAAGTGTCACTCGAAATAGCAGCATCTAGGTTTTGTCTGAAAATCATTGTCAGTTGAGCTGTTGATACTTGGTCACCGTTCATAAAATTTGTATTTGGACTACGAAAAAAATTATTTGAATGATTGATTTATCATTAACTATATTTTAAGTTTAAAAATGTAATTCCAAACTTTATTTTTTTTTTTTTTTGGGACCATAGTATTCGCATTAAAAGAAATGAATCTATAAAAATCAAAGTTTGGCGTTCATGATTGTTCTGTAGAAGTTTTATTCAGTTTTATGATGTTCCATTTATCAATTATTTAACTATTCTATTATCATCTAAACATACATGTCATCGCCTATTTATCTAACTCGAAAACTATCGACGTTATTATAATACTAATTATATTCTAAATTTGATATAGTACTGAATAAAACAACAATATATAACTTTACCGACTTTCAAAAGACATTATTTCCACGATTTGTCTTTAAAGCTTTGACCTATTTCATTCCAAACTCTCTAGTATCTCTTAGTTCCGTCTTCAATTCAAACATCAAACAAACACACACATATTCTACATTGATGTAGCTAGTAAATATATATATATATATACAGAGAGTTAGAGAGTTGGATCAAAAGCACTGAGAACATCCACTCTTGATTCATGGATGATGAAAAGTTGTGGAAAGTTTCCAAGAAAGATTCCATCTTCGAAACGACTCATTTCTCTTCAAAACCTGTTTTCACACGAAGCTTCTCAACAAAAACTTCTTCTTCTTCTTCTTCTTCTTCTTCAAAACCCGTTTTCATACGAAGTTTCTCAACTAAACCCACTTCTTCTTCAAAACCCGTTTTCATACGAAGTTTCTCAACTAAACCCACTTCGTATTCTTCATCAGAGCCCATCTTTAGACGAAGTTTCTCTGCAAAGCCTGCTCCTTCGAAATCTTTGTTTCTGTCTAGAAGCAGTTCCACGAAATGCCAAGCTGATACATCTTCTGCTTCCAAGTGTTCCATCTCTCGGAGCTTGTCACAGAAAGGAGCTTCGGTGACCCGAAAGTGTCGTAATATGGCCAAGGAGCACAAGTCTCGGTTTTACATCATGAAACGCTGCGTTTTGATGCTTGTTTGTTGGCACAAACATGCCTGAGATTCTTTATAGATGTGAAGAAAGAAGATTAGGTTTTTTTTGTTAATTCCAATCAACGAAGATTAGGTTATTTAATTACAGATTTTATCTTCTTTTCATTTTCTTACCCATCCGTTGATTTTTTTTCTTTTCTGTTTTAATGATATACTCCTTCCACTTTAAATTAAATGTATTTTGTTTTTATTTTATTTTAAAAAGTGTTATTTATTCCATATTTTGAAAACAATCTTCACGAAAATCAAAATTTACTACTGTTGATAAAATCTACTATTAAATAAAAAAGAAAAAAAACTGTAAACGTCTATTTGGAAAACAGATAAGAGATAATAAAGTTTTATTTTATTTTATTTGTGCCAAAAAAAATCGAAAACACATTTAATTTGATATGAAAGAGAATTTTGTTGAATCACATTTTTATCGATTCATGATCTCATGATGTAATGTAAATATACGAAGTGTCATGGACTAGTTTTGTCCAACTATATTTTCACACTCTTTATTTCTAAGTATAATTATATTTTGATTAAAATTGTTGGATACTACTTGTATTGAAGTTAGAGAGATTCCCTCTGAAACATTGGGAAATTAAAAGACATAAACAAAACTGTACGAGTGTTCCAGTTCCACCTTTCGCATTTATATATGTCGGTCCATATCACAAAGTAAATAACAGTACTATCCTTATTCCTTAGCTATGCAAATTATTGGAAAATAAAAACAAAACTATCGGCAAATTAATTCGCATGTTGGGCTTGAAGGACGAATTTAATCTGTTATGAACCCCTTAAGAAGAAATCGTATCGGAAAGTAAATCTAAGAAATATTTACTCACATGTTATAAAAATTTAGAATATTACTAGTATATCATATATTTTTTGAAAATTAGTTTAGTATTTTTGTGTAATTACAATTAACATTTTTTTTAACTGAGATTTTTTTATTCTTTTTTAATTAAGAAATGATTAATAAAAAATTAGTTTAATCCATGTCCGTAAGAGAAAAAAAATTAAAACTACGTCATTAACTTTATCTCTGTGATTATAGAGGGCAACTGTCATGTGATGGGAGGAACAACATCCATGTCGATAGGAAGATGTAACGGAGATATTTTGTGTAGAAAAATGGAGACGAAGACGAACGAGAGAGAATGAGATGAAGAAACTAATATAAAGAGAAAAAATAGAAAGGAAGACGAAATGTTATGTAACTTAATTGTTTAGCTGCAAATTTACATGTCACGGCTGAGTTATAATGCTTCACGGAAGAAGAAAGGTTACATAAATTTACATATTTCTGCTGAGTTATAATGTTTCACGGTTGACTTATCACAAAAACCAACTTCACAAGCTTGTCGTGCGTTAGTTCCGCATCTATCTGCACAACTCTACACCCTCTATCGTCGGTGTTAAATATATATTTGTGTTTCTTTACCCAATTACCAGAAACAACAATTACCGGAACCAGATCAATCATATATCGGGAGAAGGATGAACAAAAATGAAGAAGAATGAGGAAAACGATGACGAATTGGATGTTCAAAATTTAAGTTCTGGATATCTCTGTTGATGTGAAGAACACGGTGAAGAACAAGATGAAGAACAAGACGAGTAGAAAAAAGACGTTTCGTATTCCTTTGATGATGATGACATAGAATGATGACATGGAATGTTGCATGCAACGTCATTTTTTAATTGATGAAGTAGCAAGTAAGCTACAAACGAACATGTAAATCAGCCTAATTAAACCAGCCATCAAACAAAACTTTAAGTCAGTCGCAATATGAATACTATTACAGTAATTGAAAAATGAAAAAAGGGCTGTCAAATTCAGCCGTACGTTTAATGTCGTAACTCAACTGAAAATCTTCAACTCAGCCATTAGGCCCAGTTTTTCATTAATTAAGCTCATTACGGCTGATATATGATACTTGAACATAAATCAGCCGTAATGACATCCGATAAATAAGCCGTCTTTATAACTCAGTCAGCGAGAAAAAGTTAATTCAACCATGTCGAATCAATAACTCAGCCATATTTTTGACAAATCAACCATCGGGTAAAAACTCAGCCGTAACTTACGGCTGAGTTATGCTCGAAAGTCAGCCATTTTCTCATAACTCAGACAGGTTTCATTAAGTCAGCTGTAACTCCAGGCGGAGTTATATTCGTAAATCAGTCGTTTGCTCATAACTCAGCCATTTTCCTTAAATCAGCCGCAACATACCGTAACTCAGCCGTCATTGCTATTGTATCGCTTTACGGCTGAGTTCATTAATACGTCAGAAATTTCTGACGTGGCGACGCGTTTTTCTGATGTGGAATTAAAAAGTAATGGCATTTTTGTAATTACATTTTTTTCTATAACGTGTAACAAAGACACGCTTAGTATGAAAAATATATCCAAAATATGATAGTAATAAAAAAAATCTGTATGTAACCTAAATCTAATGGAGTCGAATCTAATTTTTATAGCACATAGATTAATTTACGTAGCTTATGTGGCTTGGTGCCTCATCACATTCACATATCGTATACATAAATGTTTATATTCTTTTTCACAACGGTTTACGTACATTGAATTGTTAAATTCTGCAAAATTAATAAAAACGAAGAATATGAACAAGGAGATTTGAAAGAAAAAGAAAAAAAACTAATGATTGAAACTAAGTATATCACTTAAAATCAATCCCAAATCATAACAACGGAGAGCAAAGCAACGCCAAGGAAGACAGCAATAAACTTGTAGATTGGCTTGTCGAAGTAACATTCCTCACGAGGCTTATACCCTTTCGAGATGAGATGGTTAACCGCAACGTACACGAAAACTCCACAAGCGAGGCCCATAGAGATCGCATAGGTCCAGTCACCACCGGCTCCTTGGCTAGTGGCATTGATGCCAATGCCAATCCCCACACCTATGGGACTCGATATCCCAAAGGCGAAGGAGTAGACGACAGTGAGAAAGAATGGACGCTTAGGGATTAGCTTGAGGAGAGCTATTCCCATTGCTACGGCCGCGAAGACCTTGTGCAACGATATTGTCCATAGGTTTCTCCAAGCGTCGCTTTTAGTTTCTGACCAAAATATTCATTACAAAACGTTACTAAAGAATAATGTTTGGATATATGCATCATGAATTGGCTCCAACTTTACATTAATTTTTGCATTTCTAACAACTAGCTAGATTTTTCTACTAGATTATAACTAGTATTTTTGTCATCTACAACTCACACACGAACACTACCGGATTTGAACTGAGTTATAACTTGACAAGGAAACTATTACACATCGAATTCATGGTAATATTGCATAAGAGAGATTTAAATTATCAATAAGTGCTTTTAATTTCCATAGTTCAATAATCATGGACCAAACTAAACCTAATGCATGGAATGAGTAGATTACGTACCAAAAGTCACATGAAATATGAATGATGAACTACATCTAAAACAATTCCATCTAGATTAACTACATGATAAGCTACATGGTTATTTAGCAAAGAAGCAATTAGGGTTTATCATTGATAGTTTACCTGAGAGACCAATGGCGATTCCCTCAAAGATGGAGTGAAAACAAAGTGCAAAAATCAGCAACGCTGTGTCTCCATATCCACTCGTTCGTATAAGCGCTTGACTCACATCCACACCACTCTTTATCTCACGACGCCCTTCCTCTTTCACTGCCGCTTCATCATCCACCCTCGACTCTCCGACGACGCTAGCTCCGCCGTGATTTTTATTACTTCCAACCGCTACAAACGCAACAGCCACATCTGCGAGCATTGTAAGGCAATATCCAGCGGCTGCTAACATGAAGGCGTAAGGATACTCTTTGTGTTTTAATCCCCTGAATGTCTCGTTAGCGTCGCTGAGGAAATGGATTAGAGCGGTGGCTAGGAATATACCGCCGGAGAATTGAGTTCCGAGGAGGAGAAACGACTCGTTCCATCGGTAAAAGTAAGGTGAAATTCCGGCTAAGAATGTGCTAAAGAAGAGTATTATTATACAGTAGATCTTCACAAGCACCAAGCTTTTCGATCGGAGATTTACGACGGTGGCCGGAGGTGGCTGGTTGGTCTCCTCTTCGTCGCCGTCGTCTATGCCGCCGTGAGCTAGGATCAAGGAGAAACAGAGGAAGAGAATAGAGAGGAGGAAGAGAGTTGACTTTAGGGTTTTGGAAGACAAAGCCATTTTAGTTATTCTTTGTTTTGTTTTAGTTATTGTTTGTTTACACTTCATGAACATTATTAGTGTATGATTATATATGTTGGTGTTTGTAGTACAGTGTTGACTTTATCGTTAGAGATTTGCTGTGACAAGTACAACGGTAAAGTAATTCGGAAGTTGTACTACAGAAAGTACATACAATGTAAATAAGTTAAATAACTAAATCGCCGGCGACCAAAGAGCTGGTTCTTTGTGAAACGCCCTGTACCGGATACAGTTATCCCATATGATTAGAGTCAGAACGTTGACAAAATAATAATATGAAAATGATACTTTGATTCTTTTTTCTAAGAAATTTTATTTTCTGTCTAGTGAAGAATTATAGAGATTACATCCATAATTTTTCAGACCGGAATATTTGTTGATGATACCAAAAATTAAAACGAAGACGAACAAAAGTTTTTTTTTTCTTTCCAAAATTGAATTTTTTCTGAGAAATAGAAACTTTCTTAAAACGTTACGGAAAAAATATACTGTAAACTTCCTAAACGAGTTTACGTTTCAAATTTCTGCAGAATATTATAATACCAAATCAAAATTCTTTCCGTAATAATTAAATTTGCCTTTAATACCAATATATATAATGGATGTTTCAATTTCGATTCATATGGCTATGAAATAGGCAGAGTGAATATATTGTGTATCTCTCTCTGTATCAGCATATATTGGAAAAATAATAAATATAGAGACCGTGCCGGTCCTGTGAGCTTTGATTATCTATCGTATTAGAAAATGTTGTAAACATTCAAATAATCCGGTGGTGATGGAGGGCATGACGAATCTGAGCATATTGACAGCTATATCCATATATACCTTTATAATACACACATTGATTAAGTCGACTCGTTACCTCTTTTGAATTTATATGTTATTGACAGAATTATCCATGTACATATATAATTAAATATGAATGTCGGATACTATTCAAGTAAGGAGTCAACAACTTTGTTAGTTCTCCATTCCATCATATATATGAATAAGCAATTTTGAGATTGGTGTTGTATACTCTTGATGCTGATGAAAAATAACCTTTTTAATTGAAGAGGTAGTAATTAAATAAACTTTGTATCATTAGACCAAATGAATGCAAAACATTCACTGATATATTCTTATACCTAGGGCTAAGAAAGATTCAAATACAGAGTAGTTTAACACATAAACATAATAAACACATTAATTACTTCTTATTTTGGGTAGATTGATTTTAACTGTTTCAGAGCCAAGAACAAAGTAGCTGATTTAAGAAACACACCAATCAATCTATAGATGGTATGAATATCTTAGAAACAAACAAGACAATAAACTTTTTTCATATCCTGAAATTCGACAGATGCGATGTTCCATCAAGACCTTTCTTAAAGTATCCTTCTGAGTATTCTCTTAAAGTTGTATCTCTGTATTTTGGAGGGTTTTCTTCAGACACAAGCTCTTTCATTGGTCCATAAACTGTTGAATTCTCACGTATACTTGAGCTGAAAAAGCTCGCTACTGAAATCCTTGGTCCTCGTGTATTCGCAAGCACCCTATGCTCCACACTTATAAACTTATCGTTGGTTATCAGCTGCAAAATCAAACCCAAAATATATAAGCAAAAGACCTATGATTTTCAAGGTATCTGTTTTTTTTTTCAGGTTGTTACTTTACCTGCAAGAAATCTCCGATGTTGACTACCAGAGCTCCAGGAAGAGGAGAGACATCAACCCAAGAGTCTTGATGAAGAATTTGAAGACCACCAATGTTGTCTTGAAGAAGAACCGTGAGGAAAGAGTTGTCTGAATGTTTACTTATCCCTAAAGTTAGGTCAGGTTGTGGACAAGGTGGGTAATAATGACAGATCATAAGCAAACTCTTCAAGCAATCCATGCTCTTAAGGATCTCAGATTTCAAACCTAGTGCTTCTGAGAGAAGCTCAAAGAGAAAATCACCTAAACTCAACACATGCTTTGAGTATTCAATCATAGCATCCCTGAGTCAAATCAATACTTTTAGAAATTAATAACTCTCTGTTTAAGAAAAACAAAGTCTTCACTCTTCACTATTCAATCACTTCTTGATTGTTTCCGATTAAAGAAATGAACAAAAAAGGTTAGCTTGTTTCCGGTTACCTGCAAGTCTCTGGGAGCTCCTCAGGAGTTGGTGGATCAGGAGCCATGTAACAAGAGATAGAATCTCTCCAAGTAAGAGACGGCGAAGAACTATATAGATCGAAATTACTACTGTAGGCAAATTTGTTCTTGGTGAAATCAAGCGAGTAGTATGATTTCTTGACCTCAGGATCTTCTTCCTCGTGAAACCTACGAACCCCATCTTTAATCTCTTCAAGAACGTTTAAAGGAACACCATGATTGATCACCTGGAAGAACCCCCAATTCTCCACCGCATATTTGACTTTCTCTACGACTTCTTCACGTGACTCTTCGTCCACGTAAACGCTTGCAAAGTCGATGGTAGGGATCTCTAGGTCTGAAACAGAGGGTTTCTTGTCTGGTAAGGTATCTTGAGGGACGTGGAAGATACGAGGGATTTCGGTGATCTTAGCATTGATGAGCCCTTTTACACCTTCTTTTGTCTCGTCGAATGCTTTTCGCTCGGTATAACGATCGAATTCGATAGAGTTTTTGGCCATTTTACTGTTTCTTACTTCCTTCTAAGGAACAGCAAAATGAAGATAAAAAGGACGACTGAGAATAGACGGTAGTAGTAGTTGTGGATTCTGACCGGAATTAATGTTGTCTATTTCTCTCTTTCACATTGACTTTAATGAGTTGTCGTGATTGAATTTTTCTTCGCCACTTTTGTTATTAATGACTGATTAGTTTTAATTACGTATATAGCCCTGGATTCTACTTTACTTACCGTAATTTGAGTGCTGAAATTGAGGAGAGAGTTATGAGTGTTTTTATACTATACATAAACCAAAAGATGTAGAAAGAGTTTATATTGGATTTAATTTGACTAGTAATTTTATCTCTATTTATTATGTAGAGGAAAGTTTTCTATGATGAGATCCAAATGTTAATTATTAATTTTTTTTCTTTCCAGATTCAGATGATTGAAAAATCTAACCTCTTCATATCTCGTTAAACCTTTTGCAAGAAACCGATATATCTAGGTTTGATTGTAATAATCAAAATTCTCAAATTCCTGTAAATAGATAAGAGTATATCTTCATAGCTATAGTGATATCAGTTACAACATAAATCACTTGATAACATTTTACAAGTGATACATACACACACACACACAGTATTCTTCTTATTTTTGGTACATTGGTTTAATTATTGCAGAGTCAGAAACAAACAGTATAATTGATTCAAATAAACTCATTAAGAAAAATCTGGCGTTTTTTTTCATTTTTTTTTTTCATATCCTAATATTCGAGAGATGCGACGTTCCATCGAGACCTTTCTCAAAAAATATTTTTGAATACTCTTTTATGGTTATGTCTCTGTATTTTGGAGGGTTTTCTTCAGACACAAGCTCTTTCATCGGTCCGTAAACTCTGGAATTTGGACGCATACTTGAGCTGAAAAAGCTAGCTACTGAAATCCTTGGTCCTTGTCTATTTGCAAGCACTCTATGCTCCACACTTACAAACTTATCGTTCGTTATCAGCTGCATCAAATCAAACCCCCAAAATTATATAAACAAAAGACATTTAAGTTTAGTATTTGGTTCTTAAGATTGTTACTTTACCTGCAAGAAATCTCCAATGTTGACGACGAGAGCTCCATGGAGATGAGAGACATCGACCCAAGAGTCTTGATGAAGAATTTGAAGACCACCAATGTTGTCTTGGAGAAGAAGCGTGAGGAAGGAGTTATCTGAGTGTTTAGTTATCCCTAAAGTTAGGTCAGGTTGTGGGCAAGGTGGGTAATAATGGCAGATCATAAGCAAAGTCTTCAGGCAATCCATGCTCTTAAGGGTCTCTGATTTCAAACCTAGTGCTTCTGAAAGAAGCTCAAATAGTAAACCACCTAAACTCAACACATGCTTCGAGTATTCAAACATAGCATCCCTGAGTCAATAAACAATTTAGAAATCAATTAAACCACCTAAATTGTTAACTAATCTCACTTCTAAGTTTTTAAGAAGAAGTTAAGAGTGTTCCCGTTACCTGCAAGTCTCAGGGATCTCCTCAGGAGCTGGAGGATCTGGAGCTATGTAACAAGAGAAAGAATCTCTCCAATTAACAGACGGCGAAGAACCGTATAGATCGAAGTTACTGTTATACACAAATTTTTTATTGGCGTCATCACGCGAGAAGTATAATTTCTTGACCTCAGGATCTTCCTCATGAAACCTACGAACTGCATCTTTAATCTCTTCAAGAACGTTTAAAGGAATACCATGATTGATCACCTGGAAGAATCCCCAATTCTCCACCGCATATTTGACTTTCTCTACGACGGCTTCACGTGACGCTGTGTCCACGTGGACGCTTGCAAAATCGATGATAGGGATCTCTAGGTCTGAAACACAGACAGAGGGTTTCTTGTCGGTTAAGATATCCTGAGGGTGGTGGAAGATACGTGGGACTTGAGTGATTTTAGCGTCCACGAGGCCTTTTACACCTTGTTTTGTCTCGTCGAAAGCTTTACGCTCGATGTAAGGATCGAATTCGATGGAGTTTTTGGTCATCTTTGTTTATTTGCTCTAACTCTCTTCCCAAGGTTTCTGCTATATAAGAAGAAACAGCAATATGAAGATAAAAAAAAAAAGGAAAGATAGAGAATGAACGGACGGAGTTTGGTTTTTGGTGTGTGGGACCGATTTATGTTTGTCTGTTTTTGTGGAATTTCTGAATGTAACTAATGAATGATTACATGAATGTGGTCTCTCTCACACACACACACACACTCACTCAGTGACTTGTCGTGCTTGAATTTCCTTCTCCGCTTTTCTTTTAGTAAGGACTAATTACTTCAATTACTGTGTATATAGCCCATCTTTTAATTATCGATATTTGAGTTCTGAAATTGAGGATAGAATTCTGAGTGTTTTTCGACTTCTAACATCTAAAAAAAAGATTAGAAGACTATATTATTATTAGTTCAATATTTGGACTAGACAGTTTTGACCTGGTCATTCATTTCCAACCATAAATGTAACGGTACCGTCAAGGTATACGAATAAGAAAACTTGCAATTGAATTTGAATTCAAATTTGGCAACTTCACCATCAATTCTCACGACTTTCTTCTTTTCTTTTTGTATTCTGTGCATCTCTTAGCATCCGAGGAAAAAAGGTTAAAGGAGGGTGGGCACACATTCTTTTACTTTCTCGGATTTTCTCGGAAACCAAAGAAGCCAAATTCTCGGGAAAAGTTTCCAAGACGAAAGATGAAGAACACTTCTTTACGAACATTAGACATTTTGATGTAACATAATCGAATTGATAATAACAGAAAACGAAGCACCAATCGTTTTCTTCTGAATTTTATATTTACATTGTTGAATGAACAAACCAAAAAATACTATATATAGTTCTCAATCAATGAAGAACCGAAGAAGAAGAATCTCTGTTACTTCTGTTTCTCCTGAAGTATCTTCTCATCACTGAATTCGACCTATCCAAAACCCTAGATTCTACTTCAATGTTCAAATCCAGATTATCAGAAGAAGATGAAAGTGCAGCAGATGAAGAAGAGCTACGATTTGGTCTCACTCTCCTCATTAACGACACCATTCCACGAACCATCCTTCTCAATCTACCGCCGGTGCCAGTACCGGAGCCACCACCGTTGCTATCCGATTCGAGTGTACCGTGTGACCTAACCCATGAGATCCGTCTAGGACCGTCCTGGCTATTACCAATCCCACCACCGTCCATTTCTGTTAACACCACAGGTAAAACTCTCTCTCCGTCTCTCATTGCGGCGTTAAACCTCCCGACAGCGAATCCACCACCGGGGAGTCTCCAAATTGTCATCCCCACGGCGTTATCCTCCTCGTTGTTGTTGCTTCGTCGATTAGGCTCTGAAGGTAGCTCGAATCTGCACACGGGGCAAGAGTTTCGAATCGATAGCCAAGGCACAATGCAATCGTCGTGGAAGAGGTGTTTACACGGCATCTCACGTGCATCCGTCTCCGCCTCGAAAATCTCCGTGCAAACAGCGCAATTAGCCTCCGAGCCTATGTGACAATCCGAAATTTCGACTCTAGGCAAAGACTCAATCGCCGATTTCGACGCCGGAGGGTTTCCAGATCTACCGATTCCGGTAGCCGACGCTTCGATCTGGCTTAGCTGTTCCAGTAACCGCTCAAATCCAGATCCCATCAAGATCTCAGATACAGAATCCGGAAGCGGTCTAAGACCCGATCCGGATCCGTCATCGTAATAAAACTCAAAAGCGCGTCGATCTCTAGCCGCATCTCCTTCTTCTCCATCTTCTCTCTCGCCGGCGCCTCCTTGGAGTACGATGACCGGATTAAACGACGGACGACGACCGGATCTCCGGCGTCTAATCACGGATCTACGGTTGTTATTAATCGATCTTACTTCAGTAGAAGCCGGAATCGCTAATTCGGTAGCGGCGGAGGAAGAATCGTTAATCTCTTCGATAAAACCGCCGTCGCAGTGAGGACAAGCGACACCGCCGACGGTGGCTGTGCCTTGATCAGCCCAAACGCTGACGAAACGCGTACAGCTATAACACCAATACGAAGCCGTGATCGGCGTTGTTGTAGACGTCGTCGTCGGCGTTGACGGCATCTTTAAAACCTTCTTATTCGGTGAGAGGAACTGAGAAGAAGAAGAAGAAGAATCGCTGACCAGAGTTAATGACAGAGAGGTTAGAGATGAGAAAATGAAAACGTGGTTTTTAAAGCGATTCTTAGGAGCGGAATTAACGGCGTCGGATTAGACGGTAAATAGACACGTGGTGAGTGTTTGACTGGGTAGATGATACCGGAAGTTATTAACGGTCGTTAAGTAATAGAGAAGGAGCGTTTTGACCAAACGTGGAAAGTGTAAAACGCCGAGTAGAAAATTCAAAAGGAGCGCCGTGTCTGCTGTTTGTGGGATCCATAAGGGACCTATTTGATCTCCGTTTTTTCTGGGAAAAGACACTAAACGACATCGTTTCGACCTGTGTGAATCATGCCAGAAACAAAAGTGTGCTAACTGCAAAATAATTATTTCACTTTTTAATTATTTTTAATTTTGTTTTTATTTAATTTTTTTTTTGTTAATGAATTACATTAAATAATTTATATCATATTTTATTATGTTGAGCAATGAGGTGGAGGATGGAGAGTCTTTAGAAAATTAGATTTTATACACGTTGATGGCTCAATATGTTTTATTTGCCAACCGATGGCTCAATAAATTATAGGTAAATTGATAAAATACATTACATAAACCAACTACTCCCTTTATGAAGAAACTCAATTTCCCTTTGTGTAATTGTGTATTAACAACTTAATTTATATAGGGTGCCAACTTGATAAAAATTACATATAGAATAATATAACCAACTCGTGTCTATATATAAGGGATGTATTAACTTTCTTAATCAATTGACCATAATATTAAAAGTTAAAACAAACGAAAAGAAAAGTTCCTCAACTATTTTTCTCTCTTTTTTGTTTGCAAGTTGCAACCAATTGAAAAATAGATAGACAAATAGCAATGATAGCAACTGATTACCATCTTAAAGACTATATACACAAATACATAATGATAATATCAACTTAGCTGAAAACTGATTGCTACTAATTGCTAGGCCTAGGCACAACAATAATAAAAAAAATAATGATAATGAGGAAAAAAAAAATAGGCACAACAATAATAGAGTAAAACATGTAAATTTTTGATAACATATATATTTTTTTTCTTCATGGATACTGAATCAAATCCAACAACTTCAATTAGTTTGTCCTCCTCTCCCTTGATGGGTAAGATTATGCAAGGAGAAAAAAATACAGAGACACAAAATGTTGCACAAGTGAAAATCAAAGAGCTTTTGAAAACAAGGATCTAAAATTCCTCTGAAACCAACAATGGCAGCTCTGAATCTATACCAGAACTGAAAAAATGCCAGCTTGAATCATGGAATGCTGCAAAATAATCCTCTGATACCGTCTCAATAGCAAACTCGCTTGTGACTCTTTGTGCAGCTATGATTCGTTTGGTTGCACAGATCACTTCTGGGTCAAACGAAACTTGCTCCTCATACATCTGAAAGCTGTTCCCAAACAATGCGATTCTAGACAATCGATCCATTCTCCAATTTGCTTCCAATAGGTTGCCGTATAAATTGGCCTCACAGTGTGGCATAAAGAAAAGAGTAGGCCTTAAAGCTTCTCGACGAGCTTGCTCATTCACAGATAGAACAGTGCATCCCAAAGATTCTAAGAAACAAGATTCAGTTGCAGAGAGAACTGGGTCAAACACTTCAATGTTATCACCAACCCAATCAAACTCTCTCTTCATCAAGATTGCAATGCTCAGCTGAAGCCTCGGAGATTCATAAGACTCAATGCTGCCTATACCATACATCACCATCTGCAACTTTGTTTCATTGCCTAACACGAGTCGAATCTGGTCTGAAACCTCAGGAGACTTAAGCTGCTCTAAGAATGCTGCGTAAAACTGCGAGCTTTCGATTTTCTTCAAAGAGATTTCCATCTTCTGCTTTAGTCTTGCTTGTCTCTCCGGATCAATTTCAAGATCATCAGATTTCCATGGTTGCTCTTCTTCTTCTGCTGGACCTTTAGGTTTCGGTTTTTTCCTTCTTCCTTGTCTTCCTTTACTAGGTAAGACCACTATCCACTCACCATCACTGCTTGAGTTTTTAACCGTTTCTTCCATTGAAGCTTCGACAAGAAAGTGGTTCTGCTGATCTAATTACTCATTGACACCACTCCACAGTCCCCCAAAATTAGGGTTCCTACTCAATGCAATGATTCCATTGGTTCCGAGAACCTAAACATCACAATAAAGTTCGATTCCTAAACCTAATTATCAATCTCTTTGCTTGATTCTGATCTATCTACTCTGAGATTGAGAAAAAGCTTTGACAAGTACCAAAACAAACTTACGATTAGAGACGAAACCACAGGAGGAAGATCGAAGAAGCTTGCTTGCAATACAGAGGAAGGAGATAACGCTTGGAATCTGCGGAGACCGAGTGGACTCAGTGAGACATTTGTGATTGAGTTTGGTGCTGCCGAGTCGCGCGGCGATATAATGAAACAGATGATTTGTACGCGAATATTTGGAAAACAGGTATTGGGCTAGGAGAAAATGGAATGGGCCTAGATACGGCCCAATACAGGCAACTGAATTCTTGTTTCATGTATACAACCTTATCCTTATGGATCAAAAATCGGTCATATGGTTCTCATCATTCACTCGTGTCATGGGTTTGGCTTGAATCCAATGGTATATATATTTTTTGTTTACTATTCTTGATTTGAATAGCTGGAGTTTCCAAAAAACTAATGTTAAGACTTAAGAGCAAAGACATATATTTTTGCCATCCGAAGTGCTTAGTGGTAAACTATGATTTCATTATGGGATTAGTTGAATCCTCATTCTCCAACACTATCATAAATTTTTCAACTACTGATGAGTTGAGTTTTTATTAAGAGTATTTTTGTATTTACATTAACTTTTGAAATTTGAATAAAATAATAAAAAAAACTTTTGAATATTTTTTATTGTGAATAATTATTTTCCATCACCTCAAAACAAATGAAACTAAAACTCTAATAGTAACCAATACATGTTTGATAAATAATAAATTTCATAAAACATATGCAGAGTAGAGTTAGGAGATGCTTTATGAGCCCAAACCCACCAGTTTTGAACTCGTTTGTTGGCCCACTTATTCACGTTTACTATTTGAAATTAATTACAAATACACCCTCGAGCATCGCGTACTTGGCCACACACGAACCATCTGGCTAAACCGTCGTGCCTAATTGCCTATTGTCTAGAAACATGCACTAATGACGTGGCTTGAGATAAGTTGTTTGACTATACATGTGTCAGTTAGATAGAGCGAGTAGACTTGTTGCGGGTAAAAGATATTTTAAAAGATTAGCTCATTAGTCCACGTTGGCGGATATTTGCAGTTTTTCAAAACTAGGCTCTACGAATTTTCCGGTAACCTTCTCCGATCCCTGATCCGATATTTTCCACATGTTGTTGAGCTTCAAAGGATTTGAATCCGTTAAGAAATTTGTGAAAACGAAGAGAGTGTGAAAAATGGGGAAGGAAGTTATGATGAGCGATTACGGTGACGACGACGGCGGCGATGAAGATAGGGTTCCGGAATGGGAAATTGGATTACCCAACGGAGATGATTTGACTCCTTTATCTCAATCTCTAGTCCCGTCGATTCTCGCGTTTGCTTTTAGCATAATCCCAGAACGGAGCCGTACGATTCACGACGTCAATCGCTCGTCGCAAACCACGCTCTCTTCGTTGCGCAGCAGTGCCAATGCTTCGTCTGTGATGGAGGAGTTCGTGGATCGAGTTGGATCCAGTAGTCCAGGATCCGATCCGAAGAAACAGAAGAAATCAGGTGGTGGTGAAGCGGCGGTGGCGGAGGAAGGAGATTCCGGGACTGAAGATGCGTCTGGGAGGACATCGAAACGGCCGCGTTTAGTGTGGACACCGCAGCTACACAAGAGATTCGTTGACGTTGTGGCTCATTTAGGGATTAAAAACGCAGTGCCGAAGACGATTATGCAGCTGATGAACGTTGAAGGACTTACTCGTGAGAACGTCGCGTCTCATTTGCAGAAATACAGGCTTTACCTTAAACGGATTCAAGGATTGACGACGGAAGAAGATCCGTATTCGTCGGATCAGCTCTTCTCTTCAACGCCGGTTCCTCCACAGTGCTTTCAAGACGACGGCGGAGGAAGTAACGGAAAATTGGGGATTCCGGTTCCAGGATATGGGAACCAGATGAGTATGCAAGGACATTATCATCAGTATCGTAACCATAGCAATGAATCAAACCAATATATGATGCAGCGGAATAAGTTTGGAACGATGGTGACCTCTCCTTCTGTTGGTGGTGGTGACGTGAATGACAAGTAAATGGATCTTAAAGGTCTATAATTTGTGAGCTTGTTTTAATTTTGTTTCTCTTTAAGTACAATCAGAATTTTATTCTATTTGAGGACTGTTTATAATAAACATTGGGCTATTCAGATTCTTATTCTTTGATGTTTGTTCCTGTTACTAGCGAAGTGTTACTATTTTCTCGGTAAGCTGCTAGTGAATTGGTAAATCCTAGTTTCCATTGTTATATGTTACTTATTTGATTCTTGTTACAGGTTCTTGGCGTCGTTGTGACTTTTAATTTCCCATGTTTTCCACACAAGTCTTCATTGCCTTTGTATAGAAAATGACTCGAGAAAAATCACGCGGAAGCTCTGTATTATTGGAGAATGAAGCCTTTCTATGAATGAATTAGTTTCCATACTGTCTCCATTCTTATGAGGTAAAGCCAATGTTCAATAAAGTGCTAGGCGCTAAGTGGGCGTTGACCCAGTGCCTAAAACGCCTAATAGGGGTCTAGGCGATTTTTAGGCAGTTTAGACATTTATAATATAAAACATTATAAGTATGATATTATATATAAGATATCTAAAAAACTAAAAATATGAAAATCATTCACAAAAATTAGATCAATCATTTATTTATATTTATATTAAACAATATATGAATATTTATAACTATATCTATATAAATAAATTTAATTAAAAATTAAAAAAATACATTAAACAAGTTCTATGTAATTATAGGCGGTTAAGACGGTCATCTAGGCGTCGCATGATCTAGGCGTCGCCTGAGAGCCAGTGGCGGATCCAAAATATATTTTTATAGGGGGCATTCGATATTTATAAAATATAAATAGATTTTATATATATATATAATAAAAATATATATAGTTTTTGCTTTATTAATTGTGATATTATATAATTCATAACACTACATAAGAAAAATAGAACGAATACAATATTTATATTAAAAATAATTTTAAGTTTAAAAAAACAAAGAGTAATATTTAAAAGGTAGAGATTTTGAATTAACATATTTAGTTTGATTTAAAATTTTAAAAAACGAAGAGTAATATTTAAAAAGTTAGAGAATTTGAAGTAACATATTTAGTTTGATTTTAAAATTTACTGAGATTTTTAATTTATTCTTTTATAGAAATCTCAAATATTTAGAAAACAATCCATAAAATATCACATAGAAATCAATTACTATAATTATGAACCAACAAAGTTATGGGAAGAGAACAAATTTTTTAAGAGAAATTGTTAAAAATTCCTCTTTTTCAATACCCCTTTTCAAAAATGCCCCATTTGAGAGTCCATTTTTAAGTTTGCCCTCTTTTAATTTTTAGTGACCATTTTACCCTTATTTGAAACAAAATTAGCTCCACAAAATACAAAAAATTTTTTGGCGGGAAAAGTGATCCCGTAATTTTCCCGCCAAAACACTTGTAAAAACCTTTAAAATACCTTGTAAAATTTTCCCGTAAAAATTTTTCTCGCCAAAATTTTTTTTTTGTGGGAAAAGTGATTCCGCAATTTTTTGGCGGGAAAAATTTACAAGGTATTTTAAAGGTTTTACGGAGTATTTACAAGTGTTTTGTAAGGTCTTACAATGTATTTTAAAAGGTTTTACAAGGTATTTATAAGGTTTTATAAGGTATTTATAACTTGTAAAACCTTATAAAAAACTTGTAAAACCTTATAACTTGTAAAACTTTATAAAATAGCTTGTAAAATCTTATAATATCTTATAAATACTTTATAAATTAGTTGTAAAACCTTGTAAAATACATTGTAAAACTTTATAAATATCCTATAAAAAACTTTTAAAATACCTTGTAAATTTTTCCCGCCAAAAAATTTCCCGCCAAAAATTGAACGCCAAAAAAATTGCGGAATCACTTTTCACGCAAAAAAATTTTTTGGCGGGAAAAAATTTTACAAGGTATTTTAAAGGTTTTACAAGTGTTTTGGCGGGAAAAATTGCGGGATCACTTTTTCCGCCAAAAAATATTTTGTATTTTGTGGACCTAATTTTGTTATATTTCCTTATATATTTGTGATATCTTTTATTAAAAGAAGGGTAATTTAGTCATTTTGTACATAAAAAGGGATATTTTTAAAAATGGACAGCCAAAGAGGGCATTTTTGAAAAGGGGAAAAAATTTTTTATGGGTGGCAAGTAAATTATTTTCTTAAAACTCTTAAAAGATTTCAAAAAATTAGGGGTGGCAACTGCCCACATATAAGCCTATATAGATCCGCCCCATTGAGAGCATAGCGCCTAATCGGGGTTTAGGCGACCGTCTAAACCGCTTTTTAGAACACTAGGTAAAGCCTTCTTTGCTCATCGCTTGTAGTCTTCTTAAATTCAAGACAGCGTCACATGTTTGTTCGGTTTTGTTAATTGTTTCTTTCTTTGGATACTCAAGTATAGCATCAGGCCCTCGTGTTTCCTCATTTTGATAAATATCTCTTTCATTTATCATTTCTTATATTGAAATAGTTTTTCTATTGGAACTCTTTCTCTTTCTTAAGAAAAATATCTTTGAAGTGTTGGAGGATTACACACCAAGAAACTCCCAACCATAAGGAAGAAAGTGACATTTCAACCATAAGCTCGTGTTTCTTTGCCCACAATGAGTTATTAGTTTTAGGCTTTTAGCCATATAGAATTCCTTTGATAAATAATAATCTGTTAAGATCTTATAATCTGCGATATAGATGAGAATCCATAGTAGAATATTTGTGTGACCAATGTGGAGTCTCCATTAGAAGATCACCTTTTCACAATCTTTTTTTTGTTCATTCAAAAGATGTTTCTCTAACATTATCTTCATATTACTTTTATGTGGGTCACTCGTGTCTCCTCTACCCTTCCTAAACTTACAACAACTGACTCAAACTGTCCCTGAAACTTCCAATGACAGTTTTTGATGGGACTTAGTTGAGCTGTTTGGTTTGGTGACAGTGAAATATTATTGAAGTAACCTTAATGAAGGTTTCAAGTGGTTGAAACGTGGCCTCAGCAACTGTAATGGAGAAGCCCAAGCTCTTCATCGCTTATCCTGTGAAAAATGATTTTGTCTCCAAATCCAGAAACTCTTTTATTTAGATACAACTACAAAAACATTACACTTTAAATAGAAAACATCTCCTTTTATGCCAATTGATTCATGATACTAAACGAATCTCTTCTGATACAGTTTTGACTTCAAACAGGGATTACATGAAATTCTTCATTTTCAAGGAATTGACAAAGTTGTCTAATGAGCTGCATGAAGAACCCCCACTTCTAACAGAGGCTTCAAGCTTCTCTTTCAAGTTGATAGCTCTCTTCCTCATTTCTGCTCCTTCTTCATCCACAATCAATCTCTCTACAGCTCTCTCCACAGTTCCTTTATCCAGTGCTCCCTCCAACTGAACCCCAATTCTCCAAACTCTCTCTAAGTACCGTGCATTGACTTTCTGATCCCCGGTAAAAGGCCTACAGATCATCGGAACTCCTTCACCGATGCTCTCTAGCGTCGAGTTCCATCCGCAGTGACTCCAAAACCCTCCTACTGCAGGATGTCTGAGAACGTCCATCTGTGGTGCCCATTTCACAATGTAACCTCTTTCTGAAACCAACCTACTGAATTCCTCCGTTAAGGACTCTGTCCATTCCGAGCCGGGAATAGAACCTGGTCGGATCACCCATAGGAAAGGTTGGTTGCTATTACTTAAACCCCAAGCCATCTCCAACATGTCTTTGGTTTCCATCAGAGCCAAGCTTCCCAAACTTATGTAAATCACAGAGCCTAATTTTTGCTTGTTCAACCACTCAATGCAACTTCTGTCCTCTTCTAGTAAACTAGAAGGCGCTGAAGCTGCGATGTGAAGTGGGCCTATAGGATACACTGGAACTTGTAGTTCTCGTTGCAACCATGCCAAAGACGAGTTCTCTAGACAGCTCGTTGAGTTGATGATAACAGCGGAAGCTGTTCGAATGTTGACAGTCTCACTGTAAACATTGAGTATACTCTCTATTGGCCCAAATGCTGAAGTTGGTAGGTCCTTGTACCTTAGCGGATGCAACCCTGGAAAAACCTTGTCTGACACTTTGGGATCTGCAAAGCCAACAACAACATTTGGATTGGTTTATCTAGATGGGCTTTTCGGAGCTAAAAAATCATGAGTACCTTTCATGTCGAGCAAGAACGACTCTGCATCGACTCTAGACAAAACAGAGCGACAGACAAAAGCAGTAGCACTTGTCGTGCTGAAGAGGACACTAGGAAGTTGAAACTCCTTAACTGCTGCTTGGGAGAAGTACATGTACTCATCGTAGACAACACAAGCAATATCATTACCTTGCTCCTGCAATAGTTGACCTATACATTGCTTGAAGCCTGCCTCGCAAATTTGATTGAGCTTGAACAGAAACTTGAATGGTCCGAGGTTTTTGAGATCAGACTCAGTTAAGCTGCCTGGGATGGTGAGGAAATGAAAATCAGAGAAGTCCTTGGATGAGCTAACTCGATTATACTGTGTGAGAACAACAGTGATGGAGAAACCCTTGGAGTAAAGCGCCTTCCCGAGTTGCATAATCGGAGTTACATGACCTTGAGCTGGAACTGGAACCAAAACTATCCTTCTCTTCACTCGTAGTTCTTCCATTGTTTACCTCTCTTGTTCTCTCTGTTTTCTTTGTCAATGTGTGAATGGAAAAATCTCAAAGACACGTAAGGAAGCTTAAATGCTTGAACCAGATGTAATTAATATGAAATATAGACACGTGAGATATATGTTAACTTGTTTCATCGGTCTCATCGACATGTTATTTTTATCCCTAAGTGGAAAATTCTGAGGTTTTTTTTTTTTTTTTTTTTGAGGTTAGGGAAAGATCTCAACATTGTAGAAGGACAAAACCACAAGAAAAAGCACGTGGAGTTGATAAAAGAGACAAAGAAAACCCAAGTTACAAGGAAGTGACAAGTTTGGTGACCTGCACCATTTAAGGCTATCTTTTGTCATTTTCTCTATTAAGTTTGTTGTCTTGTTTTGGACCATTTTCTAATTAAGTCTTTCACTATCATTTATTTACTTATTTTCCCTCTTGCAAAATAGTACTACAGTGTTATTTTAATTAAAGGTTAGCGTAGAATTTCATGTCTGAACATAACAATTAGCACTCTCAATTAAACTATGTCTACACATAGAAATCTTACACCTTAGAATTTCATGTCTGAACATAACATCTAATTACTGTAGCTGCCGCGTTGCCGCAATTCGGATTCAAATTTTGAAGTGTGGATGTATTATAACGCGACAAAAGACAATAGGATTTTGTATTTTTCTAGTTTTACTAGACCAAATGTTATTCTAAGGATTATTATATGGCCATTTGATTATTAAAACCATTTGATCAAACAGCTGTTGCCTAGAAACCTTCTCACCCTCTTCTTCTTCTTCACTCAGACCGTTGCCAAACAAGATCATTACTTTTGTGGATCTCCTTCCCGTGCTTCATATTCACAATCACAAGTGTGTGGTAGTTGAATTTGGATACAACACATGAGTTTGACATCTATTTAAAAGCATCAAGAGCTTTCTCATTCTGAAAATTATGTACAAGGACTTATACAGTAGAATTCTAGGACACAACCTCTGGCTTGTGACGATCCAAACAGAAACTAAACTGGTACGATTGAAGTAACTTAAAACGGTTCAAGTAAAAATAGTTGAGCTGTTTGGTATGGTGACAAAGTGAAAATAATTGAATTAACTTAAAGGGTTCAAGTGATTGACACTTGGTCTAACTCTAATGGAGAAGCCCAAGAATCTTTTTTTTTTTTTGAGTAACTCTTATCCTGTTTGAGAGTAACTCAAAACAAAGCTTTTGTATTCAGTAGATTAGCTTGTAATTTTCTTTATGGAATGAAATCTTCACATTAAAACCACACAAAAAAAAAAAAAAAACAATGCTTCAATCTCCAAATGCATAAACTCTTTTTTTTTTTTTTTTTTTTTTTTTTGACAACAATGTAGATATTCTTATTTAATTTATAGAGACAACTTCCAAATATTACAGTAAAAATAGAACTCATGTTTTGTTATATCATTTGATGCACTTTGACCTTTGAATAGGGACTATCTCCTCCTCTTCATCATCTTCACAAGGAATTGACAAAGTCGTCTAATGAGCTGCATGAGGAACCTCCAATTCTGACAGAGGCTTCAAGCTTCTCTTTCAAGTCGATGGCTCTCTTCCTCATTTCTGCTCCTTCTTCATCCACAAGCAACCTCTCTAGAGCTCTCTCCACAGTTCCTTTATCCAGCTCTCCCTCCAACTGAACCCCAATTCTCCAAACTCTCTCTAAGTACCTTGCATTGACTTTCTGATCCCCGGTAAAAGGCCTACAAATCATCGGAACTCCTTCCCCGATGCTCTCTAGGGTCGAGTTCCATCCACAGTGACTCCAAAACCCTCCTACCGCAGGATGTCTGAGAACTTCCATCTGTGGTGCCCATTTCACAGTATAACCCCTTTCTGCAACCAACTTGCTGAATTGCTCTGGTAAGGACTCTGTCCATTCTGAGCCAGGAACAGAACCCGGTCGGATCACCCATAAGAAAGGTTGGTTGCTGTTACTCAATCCCCAAGCCATCTCAAACATTTCTTTCGTTTGCGTTAGAGCCAAGCTACCCAAGCTTATGTAAATTACTGAGCTTGATTTCTGCTTGTTCAACCACTCAATGCAACTTCTGTCCTCTTCTAGTAAACTAGAAGGCGCTGAAGCTGTAATGTGAAGTGGGCCTATAGGAAACACTGGAACTTGTAGTTGTTGTTGCAACCATGCCAAAGATGAGCTCTCTAGACAGCTTGCTGAATTGATGATAACAGCAGAAGCTGTTCGAGTGTTCACAGTCTCACTGTAAACCTTGAGCGTACTCCCTAATGGCCCAAATGCTGAAGTTGGTAGGTCCTTGTACCTTAGAGGATGCAACCCTGGAAATACTTTGTCTTGCGTTTCAGGATCTGAAAAGAGAACATCGATCATTTGGATTAGTTTATCTAAATGGGCTTTTCGGAGGTAAGAAGCTAAAAAATCATGAGTACCTTTCATGTCGATCAAGAATGACTCCGCGTCGACTCTAGACAAAACAGAGCGACAGACAAAAGCAGTAGCACTTGTCGTGCTAAAGACGACACTGGGAAGTTGAAACTCCTGAACTGCAGCATGAGAGAAGTACATGTACTCATCGTAGACAACACAAGCAATATCATCATTACATTGTTCACGCAATAGTTGACCTATACACTGCTTGAAGCTTGCCTCACAGATTTGATTGAGCTTGAGCACAAAATTTTGTGGTCCTAGGTTTTTGAGATCCGACTCAGTTAAGCTGCCTGGGATGGTGAGGAAATGAAAATCAGAGAAGTATTTGGAAGAGCTAACTCGATTATACTGTGTCAGAACAACAGTGATGGAGAAACCCTTTGAGTGAAGAGCTTTCCCGAGTTGCATCATCGGAGTTACATGACCTTGTGCTGGAACTGGTACTAACACTATCCTTGTCTTCTTCACTCTATTTTCCTCCATTGTTTATGTCTCTTGTTCTCTCTCTCTCTCTCTCTCTCTCTCTTTTTTGTCGACATTATATTTTTTTTATCCCTAAGTGGAAAAAAATTATGAGGTTGGGGAAAGCTGTGTGGCAGCAGCAAAAGAACAAACACATGGAGTTACAAAAACAGACAAAAAACCCGAAAAAGATTAGCTTCCGGAAATGACAAATGGCGTCGTGACTTGCATAGCATTTTAAAGGCTTCCTTTTGTCATTTTCTAATCATGCCTATCTCATTCTCATCCTTTCCTTTTTTTTTTTTTTTTTTTTTGGCTTTCTTTCTATTTTTAGATAATAGTTTTCTTCATTTGCATAGCGTTGATCATCTCCTAGCTGCGTCATCAACAAGCTTCAAATTGTGTACAAGGCTTAATATAATAGAAATCCATGACAACGTCGTAACAATCTAAACAGAAACCAAACTGGCCTGACTGGAGTCAGTTTGCTTGGTTTGGTGACAAGTGACAACTGTAACGGAGTTGGAGTTGTCCAAGCTCTTTATCTCTTATTCTGTTTGAGAGTAACTCAAAAAAATGATTCTGTCTCCAAATGTAGAAACGCCTTTATTTAGAGATAAACTGCCAAAAATTACACTTAAAATAGAATACATGTCCATTTATGCCATTTGCTGTACAATGCTAAATGAATCTTTTCTGATACAATTTTGACTTTGAACAGGGGACTACATGGAATTCTTCATTTTCAAGGAATTGACGAAGTCGTCTAATGAGCTGCTTGAGGAACCTCCACTTCTGACAGAGGCTTCAAGCTTCTCTTTCAAATCGATGGCTCTCTTTCTCATATCTGCCCCTTCCTCATCCACAGTCAACCTCTTCACAGAGCTCTCCACAGTTCCTTTATCCAGCTCTCCCTCCAATAGAACCCCAATTCTCCAAACACTCTCTAAGTACCTCGCATTAACTCTCTGATCGCCAGTAAAAGGCCTACAGATCATCGGAACTCCTTCCCCGATGCTCTCTAGCGTTGAGTTCCATCCACAGTGACTCCAAAACCCTCCTACTGCAGGATGTCTGAGAACTTCCATCTGTGGTGCCCATTTCACAATATAACCTCTTTCTAAAACCAACTTGCTGAATTCCACTGGTAAGGACTCTGTCCATTCTGAGCCAGGAACAGAACCCGGTCGGATCACCCATAAGAAAGGTTGGTTGCTGTTACTCAATCCCCAAGCCATCTCCAACATTTCTTTCGTTTGCGTTAGAGCCAAGCTACCCAAGCTTATGTAAATTACTGAGCTTGATTTCTGCTTGTTCAACCACTCAACGCAACTCCTGTCTTCTTCTAGTAAACTAGAAGGCGCTGAAGCTGCAATGTGAAGTGGGCCTATAGGATACACCAGAACTTGTAGCTCTCGTTGCAACCGTGCCAAAGACGAGCTCTCTAGACAACTCGCTGAGTTGATGATAACAGCGGATGCTGTTTGAATGTTTACAGCGTTATTGTATAGCTTGATAATACTCTCTAAAGGCCCAAATGCTGATGTTGGCAAGTCTTTGTACCTTAGAGGATCCATTCCTGGGAAAACTTTGTCTTGCGTTTCAGGATCTGCAAAGAGAATAGCACATTGGATAGGTTTATCTAAATGGACTTTTGAAAATAGGTAATAAGCTAGAATCTTGAGTACCTTTCATGTCGATCAAGAACGCCGCTGCGTTGACTTTAGACAAAACAGAGCGACAGACTAAGGCAGTAGCACTTGTAGTGCTAAAGACGGCACTAGGAAGTTGGAACTCCATAGCTGCAGGTTGGGAGAAGTACATGTACTCATCGTAGACAACACAAGCAATATCATCATCACCTTGTTCATGCAGTAGTTGACTTAAACATTGCTTGAAGCTTGCCTCGCAGACTTGATTGAGCTTGAGCAGAAACGGTAGTGCTCCGAGGTTTTTGAAATCAGACTCGGTTAAGCTGCCTGGGATGGTGAGAAAATGAAAATCAGAGAAGTCTTTGGAAGAGCTAACTCGATTATACTGTGTTTGAACAACAGTGATTGAGAAGCCTTTCAAGTGAAGAGCTTTCCCGAGTTGCATCATCGGAGTTACGTGACCTTGTGCTGGAACTGGAACCAACACGACCATTCTCCTCTTCACTTGCTTCTCCTCCATTTTTTTTTTCTCTCTCTCGATGTAGGAATGGAAGAAGCTCAAAGTGATGGGGATGCTTTCACCAGATCTGATCTGACCTTGATCTTTGGTTTCAAATATTTTATTTTTATTTCTCAATAGAATAATCAGATTTGATGATCATCATGCATAACACATGTCTCAAAAGTGAGTGGAGAATCGTCTGATGGATTCACTGCCTTCAATGTAATGAGCAACCTCGTGAACCAACCTTACTCAGTATATAAATTGATAACAAACTCAAAATTGTAGTCTGTACCATTCTGAAAATTGTAACAGTGAAGACCAAGTCTACCACAGAAGACAATGTCATAAAAAGTCCTCCAATTTTCAGGCTTTAAGTTCACACCAGAACCATCGGAATCTAAACCAGAATGAATCTTAGTATCAAACAGTTTCTACCCAGCTGCTGCCTAGAAACCTTCTAAACCTCTTCTTCTTTATCATCTTCTTCATTCTTATAACATTTTCCCAACTACCAACATCGGCATATAAACTTGTCAGAAGCAAACCATTCCCTGAGTTCTCAGGTTCGAGCTCTGCTAAGCGCTTTGCTGCAATCCTTGCAAGCTCCATGTTCCCGTGATTCCTACACGCACCTAACAAAGCACCCCACACAAACAAATCCGGCTCCATTCGCATAGTCTTCATCATTTCATAGGCCTCAACAAGCTTCCCTGCTCGTCCGAGAAGATCCACCATACAAGCATAATGCTCCAATCTCGGCTCGATTCTGTACTTGGTTTGCATCAAATGGAACAAATTTTGTCCAAGATCAGTTAACCCGGCATGGCTGCAGGCTGTGAGGATGGCTGTGAATGTTAAGTGATCGAGTTTCTCTCCTGTGGCTTCCATCTGATCAAATAGCTCAACTGCTTTGTCTGAGAGCCCGTGATTTGCGTAACAGAAGATCATCGAGTTGAAAGTAACTGTTGTCTTCTTTGGCGTCTTGCGAAACAAGATCATTGCTTCTGATATGAATCCACATTTCCCATACATATCAAGCAAAGCACTTCTAACAAAACCGTGATCTTCTAGTCCAGTGACTACAGAGTAACCGTGTATCTCCTTCCCGTGCTTCATATTTGCAAGTGTCGTACAAGCAGGCAAAAGAGTTGTGATTGTAGCTGAGTTTGGATACAACCCATGAGTTAACATCTGTTTAAAAGCATCAAAAGCTTTCTCATTCTGAAAATTATGTACAAGGCCTGATATAATAGAAGTCCAAGACACAACGTCGGGCATGTAACCATCCAAACACATCAACTCAAGAATCTCAGATACTTTTTCTTCATTTCCCATATGCGAGAACCCTGAAATTAGAGCATTCCAAGTGATAATATCAGGTTTTATTCCCAGTAGTTTCATATCTTTCACCAAGTTCAATGCTTCATCTGCTTGGCTATTGTTAGCATAACCAGAGATCATAGCATTGAACACGACCAAATCTTGTTCACCCAAATCATCGAACACCTTCCTCGCATTCACTACCTCCCCGAACTTCGAGTACATATCAATAAGCGAGCTAACTATAAAAGCATCAGACTCAAACGAACACTTCAGCACAAGACAATGTATCATCTTCCCAAATTCTCGATCAAGCAGATTGCGACTGGCTTTAAGAAGACTAGGAACAATGAAAACATCAAGTTTTAAACCTTCTTTATTCATTTCCCTGAAGATATCCAAAGACTCCTGGTAATACCCATATCGAGCACAAGCCCCAATCATGACAACCCATCCACTAATATCTCTCTTGGGCATTTCATCGAACACCTTCCTCGCATCTAAAACTTTCCCACATTCAACATAAAAAGATACAAGCTTAGCAGCAATTCTCGTCAAGCGAGCAATCCCAGATGTCACTAAATGAGCATGAAGCACTATTCCTCCACAAAGCAGTCGATCTCGACTGTTGGCTTCGATGAGTTCAACATAAGAACCGATTGACAATAACCGAACAGAACAAGGAATGGTGGCAAATTTATTCATGGGTAAGAATCAAAGCTTCAAAACTTATCAAAAACCGCATTACTGATGATAGATTGAAGTATTAAAGCTCCCATTTTTATCGGACAGAGAACGAAGAAGTAAGAACAGAGTTAACGATTATACCAGATTAAACGGTACAAACCGGAACGGTTAATAGATAACCGGAAATTGGAGGTGAAATTAAACAAAAACCGGATTCGATTGTCCAAAAAGGAGGAATGCAATCCAATGAGACAGAGCAAATTATGTATGCAACATCTTCGATTCTGTCTCCAACACCACAAAGTTTCTTCCTTTCTCATCATCTTCCTCCAATTTCATTCCTTTATCGGATTAATTTTCTGGGATTTCCTGTAACAAGAAGTTGCTGCTATGGCGGAGACATTGGTCTCGCTTCGTTTTATAAACGACGGAGTGGTATACAAAGACGGAGAAATCGAATTGTCGTAACCAGAGCTAGAGCCTCTCCTTACGAGATTCTTGGTGTGTCTCCATCAGCTACTCCTCAAGATATAAAGAGAGCTTATCGTAAACTTGCTCTGAAATATCACCCAGATGTCAATAAAGAGGTACTTTTTATGGTTTCTATTTCATTGAAATTTACGGAATTGGAGCTATGTTATGGTTGATTATAGGTTTGTATGTATATTCAAATTCATGGAATTGGAACTATGTATGAATGCTTTAATGATTACATGTTTGTCTTTATATACAAATTCATGGAATTGAGACTTTGTATGTTGCTTTCATGTGTATCTTTGTAGAACTACTTGAAGTTAGCTGATGGACTTAGTTTACTTAGTCTCTATCCCTGTGGAAGAAAGTTTAATTCATGATTCATCCCCTGGCTGTTTTTGGTGTATAGGCAAATGCGCAAGAGAAGTTTTTGAAAATAAAGCATGCATACACTACTCTGATCAACTCTGACTCACGGCGTAAGTACGGTTCAGATAGTCGCGCGTCTGGTTATTCGACGGGTCAAACAAGTCGAAAAGGCAATAGTCAAGTCGAGGAAGATTTCTATGGACTTGGTAAAACTCTAAACCCCTGAAAGGACCATATACTCTTTCCTGCTGTGTAAATTGGAAACTTTTTCCTTGAAGCTTAATGCAAAACTATGGCTTCAAAACATATTGCAATTTCAGGAAAAGAAATATTGTTTGAACGCGATGTGGATGTATTCACAAAGAGTTTCGAACACTAATGCTAGATAGGATTGTAAAAATGTTCATGGTGTTTAGAAACTTAATGTGAATGCTAGGCACCATTTGATGCCCATTAGTGGCTGTGGTTGGAAGGGTGGTGGGGTATTCTCTCTTATGTGTTGTGTTCTTTTGGGGGACTTAGGTTGATTGAGGTCAGTGTGATCTTATGCACAGCACACTTTATTGCAGGTGAATTCGTGAGGGATGTTCAAATAACAATCGGTAGAGGCAACCTGTGAAATCTATTTTCTTTCTGTTGTTAGATTTGTTTTTTGCACGTCTAGATATTCTATGCACAGTAAATTGTAGTTAATTATTCATTTAGTGGCTCACTTTCTGTGGTATTGACAGGGGATTTCTTCAAAGACCTTCAAGAAGAGTATAAGAATTGGGAAGCTAGTGCGTCCTCACAAGGAAAACCGAAAAGTCTATGGGAAGAACTAGCGGTAAGCCCAATAATATCAAACCACTGATAACTCGGAGTCCTTGTTGCGTGTCAAATATGAATTTAAATTTGAATTCCGTGGCTATCAAAGCTTGGATCTTCCCTCTATTGAAGGGTTTTAGTCTGCTGGTTTCTTCAATACACCTTGTAATGGTAATGTCTTACTGAGATTGTTTTGGCTGGAAACTTGGTTCTTTTTCCACGAAGATTTTGGTTCTGATGAATATAGACTAAAACCAATCTAGGCTCCTTTTGATTGTCATGTTTCTTTCTCTTTTCTCTCAGGAAATTGGGGAAGAATTTGTAGAGTTTCTTGAGAAAGAACTTAACATTAGCGACGAAGACAATGAAGGATCAAGCAAAAACGGAGAAAGATATGATTTTGAAGAAAGCTCATCAACAGAGAAATCGTCGTCAGGGAAGAATAATAATAATAGCACGAAGAACAGTATAGAAGACAATATTGATGAGATCGAAGCAACTCTTGCTCAATTGAAGAAAGATCTTGGCTTGCAATAATTCCATGAGTTATATTAAAATCTTTTTCTTATGAAAGATTTATTGGTGAGAAAGTATATTTCTTAGAATATTATTTCATGAAAGCAATTATGGTTAATTGGTTATAAAGATAAATTCAAAAAAGAATATTATGAATGAGTACTTTGTGTTACCGGGCAATAACGACGATTCGTTTCAGAATATAGTCCTCTGCAAGATTAAAAAGAAAGAGAATCCCACAAGAAGATGGATGATGATGACCATCATGCTCAAGCTTCTCCTTCAACTTGTCATCATCGACGTGAATCTTTGTATTCGGAGCAGAAGCCGGTCAAAGAAGTTTGTTCTGTTTCAGAAAAAGAGAGAAACATAGAGCAGTGCGTGGAAGGAAGCATGCATGTTTCATCAAGTAGATTCATTCTCTTTGATGGAGAAGAATGAAAAAGTTGAAGGCCTGGAGGGACATAAACATGTTATGGGTAGCTTCTCAATCAAGGAATGGTTGGAACATATTCGCATGAACACCAAGGATCAACAACCACCAGTACTCGTTTCTGCTCGCATGAATGATCCTCATGTTCGTCTGACGATAATGAAGAGGATGAAGAAGAGTATAAAGAAGTTTATGGGTTTTTGAAATTACTCGGAGGAGATGTCCCTAATAAATAATGGTGACGGATTATATAATCAACTTCGTCTCTCTGTTCAAGTTCTCTTCTTCTTTTTTTTTGCTCAAGTGTCATAGTTAAATTTTTCATTAATAAATAATAGCATAGTTAAAAAACAAGAGTCTCTTGATGGTTATATTTTTTTTTGCATCAAAGATTTATATTTTATTTTGTATATTTAATCAGCAATGGATGTTCGATCAGTCAACTTGAGGCTTACTTAACCATATATTCTTATTGGGGGAACAAAGAGAGAGGAAGAAATCCATTTCAAACATATAGAGAAAAAATCGGGTCAACAAAGTAGAATTTGCATTGTTCAAGAGCTGTGAAAACACAGAGAAGCGGAAAAAGAGAGATTAATAGTGTCTAGAATTCTCTCTTTCATGTTATTAGAACAGGTTTAAGCTGAAGCACTCACGGTAGTTTCCATAAGAACGCTTAGCCTACTCGCTTCTACAACTCACATCAGTAGATCACCTGAGATTTCAAAACAGATCATGAGAGAATGGTAAGTGTTACGGATTCAAACTGAGATTCTTGTTACAAGAGTCTAGTCAAACACACTTAGTTAATCTGACTGAAGTGGAAAAATTCACGTAAGGACATCAAGCATTACCATATATACAGAACCAAAATGGCTCAAGCAACACATGCAGACAAATCAAACATTACACATTGAGATTTAGGATAAATGCTAGTCAAAACATTTCATTTCATACGACATCTTTTGTATAGGCTATTGGAGAAAACCAGAAATGAAATCATGAGTTACGATTAATGAGAATTACAATAAAATGCTAAGGCATCTGAATGAAGTAGGTGACTTGATAAGATTCAATTGATAGATGCGGAGAAATCACATAACAGATTTTAATTCAGCTTCCAAATCGTAATCTAACATCGAAAAATCTGAAATCGGATACTAGTGTGGAGACCTAATGTGATTCAATTAACAACAGAAGCAGAGAAATTACATACATTTTCTAAATTCAACACCCAAATCGTGAGCTAACATTGAAAAACTCAAAATCAGATAAAAATGATATGATCGAAAGAGAAAGACATTACCGCCTGTGTTGTTGGACAAACTTGGAGTTCTTGGCGTCTTCCTCTGCAAATCAGTCAATACATTTACATTTAGTTAGGGTTTCACAACCAGCGATCCAACAATCAAAACTGAGACACAATACGTCAATAAATCCGATCTGATTCTACACAGATACGAATCAATTAAGGATTAGCTCTTTCATTTCCGATGAAGATCGGTCAGATCTGAAGATATTTACCGGTGAGTCCAGCCGTGAGCTTGGTGATGAGGACGCCGGTGACGGCGAATCCAGTGAGAAACGGCCAACAACGTTTCCATTCTCTCTTGAAGAATACTGGCCATGGATCGAACAACCTCATCTCTCTCTCTTTTTGTGCTCTTTGGTCTTCTCTCTAGACTTTGGTATCTTGGTAAGTCGGAGACTGCTTCGCGTAGACAAGATCAAAGTGATAACAAAAGACTGATTGATAGGTAATAGTTACTGGATCCGAATTTGTTCTGGATTTTAAAAAATTTATATAATGGGCTTTCTTAAACCCAATTAGGCCCAAAATAAGCTTTCCAGTTAATTTGTAAAGGCCACTATGACCGTTGCGTTTCAACCACTCTGGAATTGTTTTTTCTCATGTTGACCCACTTCTCTTCATAACGTTTTACCTCGGTGCTGCTCTTTGAATCAGCTTCAAGCTTGATCTGTCTATAATTTTCTTGGTTCGAAGCTAGTATTCTGAATGGAAATTGTCAAAGCTTGTTTCATTAGAGAAAACATGGAAAAATGGACCGATTCAAGTTAGTGACCACTACAAAGTCAAATCCGTGTGTATGTCTCTCTCTCTCTGAACATTCTTAATGTATTAGCTATAGAGTGATAACTATATAACAGCTGAGATCAATTGAAATGGTCTTTCAAAAACCAAGTTGTCTATTGTCTGACCAAGAAATTTACATATGTTTCTTTGGATAATGTAGCTATTCAAGTTCTTGATTGTGAAAATGTTGGAGATTATTTTCCTAGTCTTCTTGTTTTTTTTTTCCAATAGAAAACATTTACTCATTTTTTTCAGCCATTTCCCATTTTTTTATATTTGCACGCTAAAGACCTCTTCTCATGAAGCCAGAGCTTTTATTTGCCTTCCATGTCCGTTTATGATTATTTATGCATGCGCTGTTGTTAAATCTCTCAAAACTTGGGAATTCTAGTGTTTTAATATATCTTAAGAAGTGAACAATTATGGAGAGTCCTTGTCCGGTTTTGGTGGCGGTATTAGGAACCTTGGCAATTATTCATCTTGTTCAAGCTCAGGGTCAACAAGGTATTCACAGTTGTTATATGAAAATGCGCCTCTTGAAATGGTACTTTTGTTTGCAGATACTAGAATTTCTCAGAAACGGTCCTTCTTTTCTCTTTGTGTTAGCAGGCTTCATCAGTTTGGACTGCGGGCTACCCGCGAATGAACTATCTCCTTATGATGAGCCGTGGACCGGTTTACGGTTCTTATCTGACGAAAAGTTCATCCAAAGCGGAAAAGCTGGCCGAATCCAACCAAATACTGAAGGATACCTGAAGCCATACGAGACGCTGAGATATTTTCCAGATGGAATTCGGAATTGCTACAATATAAACGTTGAGAAGGGAATGACACATTTGATCAGGGCTTACTTTATCTATGGAAATTATGATGGTCTTGACATTAAAACCAAAGTTTGATCTCTATCTTGGACCTAATCCATGGACCACGATAGATTTGCAAACACAAGTGAATGGTACAAGGGCTGAGATCTTGCACATTCCAATATCAAACTCATTGCAGGTTTGTCTTGTTAAGACCGGGACGACTAATCCGCTAATAACCACCTTGGAGATACGGCCTATGGGAAATGACACTTACATTACTAAGTCTGGTTCTCTGAATCTTTTCTTTCGGGTATACCTTAGCAAATCAGACGGTTACCTAAGGTAATTTCATTTCAACTGAAACTGTTCTCTTCTTTCTGCTCTGTTTTTATACTCTGTTTCTTATTGCTCTGTTCTCCTCTGTATTTGGCTATGTCAAAAAAACGACTCTTCCACACATGTGTAAGACAAGACAGAATGAAATGAAAAATGTCATACATAAGGTTTTATATAATCAATCTCTTTAAGCGCATGGAAAAAGATGATATTTTCCATCTTATTTACTCATTCCACTCCTAAAACAACGTTGTTTCTATCACAAGGTACCGAAATGATGTCTATGATCGTGTATGGACTTCGTTTTCAAGGAATGAATGGACCCACATTTCCACCACTCTGGAAGTGAGCAATTCAAACAAATATTTTCCACCAAAAGAAGCACTCAAAACTGCTGCAACACCTACTAATTCCAGTGCACCATTGACGATGGAATGGAGTTCGAGTAATGTCAATAACCAATATTACTTTTATGCACATTTTGCTGAGATCCAAGAGTTGCAGACCAACGATACAAGGGAATTTGACATGGTTTGGAATGGACAAGTCATCTCCGGTCCTATAATTCCTCCAAAATTCAATATATATACTATCTTTAGCTTGTCACCAAGTACTTGTGAAGGAGGAAAATGCAGTTTTCAGCTGAGAAGAACCAACAGATCAACTCTTCCACCTTTTCTTAACGCTTTTGAGGTCTACACAGTTATCCAGTTTCCGCAGATCGAAACAAATGAAACCGACGGTATGTTATGCATATAAGGTCTATACTTTGTTGTATGTTTAAAAAGATAGATCATATCCACAATAAGAGTAGTCAAGTTATCTATGTATTAAGCATCATTAAAAAAAAACTGTTATGTCAGTGGTTCCCGTCCGAGACATCAAAACCACCTATGAAATTAGTAGAAATAGCTGGCAAGGAGATCCATGTGTCCCTCGGCAGTTTATGTGGGACGGATTAAACTGCAGTAACACTGATACGTCTACACCAAGAATCACTTATTTGTAAGTCATAAGATCACTAGTACACACGCTCTTCAAGATCTGTTAATAGTAGTTGTGATCTATGATCATTTACAATGTTACACTTTGAATGTGTTTTTGGACATGTCGCCAGAAACTTGTCTTCAAGTGGTCTAACTGGATCCATAGCTGCTGCCATTCAAAATCTCACGCAACTAGAAAAGCTGTAAGTATGTATAGTGTTGATATAGGAGGCACTAAATTGTTTTATGGATGGGGATAAATTAAGAGTTTTTTTTAATAAAAAAAATCATTCTGGAATAGGGACTTGTCCAATAATAATTTGACTGGAGAGGTGCCAGAATTTCTAGGCAACATAAAATCTTTGGTGTTCATGTAAGTTTCTCTTTACATATTTTGCTAATGCTTTTCAAGTTCCACCTCATTCAGTTTCCTGTATTTATGTATGTATGTCTGAAGTATGCTCTGTTTTTTTAAAAAAAAATAGAAACATAAGCTGGAACAATCTTAATGGTTCAATTCCTCAGGCTCTTCGAAGGAAAGAACTGGAATTATTGTGAGAAACTTTTCACACAGATTTTGAACTTTTCTCAGTTATTTTCCAGAGAACCATTTGTGTATTTGATGTCTTTGTCCTCTTGTAGTCCTCAAGGGAACCCTAGGCTTTGTCTCTCTGGTTCATGCCTACCATCCAAACGCAAATTATTTCCAGTGGCAATTGTCGCATCAGTTGCTTCGGTGGCCAGTATTATCATTGCTGTCTTGGTTCTTATTTTTGTTTTCAGAAAGAAAAAGCCGTCAACTGTGGGAGGTAACTTGCAAGAGAAGTCTTACCAAATCAAGGAACTATAAAAAGCTAATGAATAGTTATGGTCATATTCCCTTATGTTTCTTCTTATCTACAGCTCTACAACAGCCACCTAGTATATCGCCATCGGTGAATGTTACATATCCTAATTCACCTGAAACATCAATCCAAACGAATAAGAGGAGGTTTACTTATTCAGAGGTCACTGATATGACAAAAAACTTCCAAAGAGTTGTTGGGGAAGGAGGATTCGGTATTGTCTATCACGGTACTCTGAATGGAAATGCACAAGTAGCTGTTAAAGTACTCTCTCAATCATCAACTCAAGGCTACAAGCAATTCAAGGCAGAAGTATGCTTAAAATTTGTAAGTTTGTGATCATCCTAAGCATCATAGTAGCTTAACGATTTCGTATGTGTTTGTTCTATGGATTAGGTTGATCTTCTTATGAGAGTTCACCATACAAATTTGGTTAGCCTGGTTGGATATTGTGGCGAAGGAGATCACTTGGCTCTCATCTACGAGTTTGTGCCCAATGGAAACTTAAGACAACATCTGTCAGGTAAACTTGCAGATAAGGTTTTCTAGTGATTTCACATGTATCAATAGCTCATGAAACATATACTTTTAGGAAAGGGAACTAACGATCTAAATATACAGGAACACGAGGCATATCCAACATCAGCTGGGGTATTCGACTACGAATAGCTGTGGAGGCTGCATTAGGTTTGTAGTACTAAGTGTAAACCATAGAACCAGATTAACTCTTTCTTACATTGTCCGAGTTTCCAGAAAATGGGTTTATGATAGAGGAATCCATTGAACAGGGTTGGAATATTTACATTCTGGATGCATACCACCAATGATTCACAGGGATGTCAAAACTACAAACATATTGTTGGACGAGCATTATAAGGCCAAACTCGCTGATTTTGGTCTCTCAAGGTCTTTCCCTGTTGGAGGTGAATCTCATGTTTCGACGGTGATTGCTGGTACCCCTGGTTACCTTGATCCCGAGTAAGTATTGTTAGTTAACATCACAATGTGCTGAAAAAAGCTTTATATTCTTTTCAATGGTTGAAGAATTACATATAAATAATGTTCATTGCCTTGCAGATATTACCGTACAAGTCGGTTAACTGAGAAGAGCGATGTGTACAGCTTTGGTATTGTGCTATTGGAGATGATTACAAACGAAGCCGTGATTGACCAAGCCCGTGCAAAGACTCACATAACACAATGGGTTGGGTTTGAGCTAAATAGTGGAGATATTAGTAGTATCATGGATCCAAACCTTCATGGAGATTACGACTCTCGGTCTGCATGGAGAGCTCTTGAACTAGCAATGTCATGTGCAAATCTGTTATAATTCTTACATCTAACCTCATTGAGGTTAGTTCACTCTTTCTTTATGTCTCTCTCTTTATCACACTATGTTCTTGTTCTTGCTTAGAGAGGAACACAAGAAACGTTTTTGCTTTAATCTTCTACATTGTATTTTAATTGGATCACATCTTACAAAGCACACATACACATACATATAGTAGATTTCTTCCACTCACCATACTCACTCTCTTAGACTCTAAACTTAGTCACTATTTGATCTTACTTCTAGACTTTAGACTTAAGCATACAAGCAACCTTACACAACCTTACCTTAGCTACTAACAATCCCAACAGCTCTCAACTACTCTAGCTTAACTACTTTAGCTAGAATAAGATACATAAGTTAATTCTACGAATGGGCCACAAAGAAACATACTTCACCACTTTGGGCCTATACTAACTTCATCAGCCCAATAAGACAAAACACAAAAACCCACTTCTCTTGTTGACTCTGTCTTTCTTCTCCTTTGTCGTTGACCTCTCTGTCACGACATCTTCTTCTTCTTCACTTGCTTCTTCTTTGCTTTTGCAAGTTCAATCAAGGATACAATTCCAACACTCCCTCTTGGATCCTTGATTGAAATCCCCAATTCCAATTTAGGGATTTGAATCCCTTTGCTTCTTCTTCTTCTCTGGAATCGCCTCTTCCCTGTGCGAGTCCCTTTCACGATCTTTGGCACAGCTCACTGGTAAGCTTGCCTCCTTCATCTCCCTCTTGCTTTGAATCTCCGCGCATCGAGCTTCTTCTTCTCGATTCTTTGTGCGTGAAGTTCTTCATCTCCCTCTGTCTTCTTTGACCCCTTGATCAATTTCTCTTCCTTGCAGGGACACTTCAACTCTAGGGTTTTCCATGTCTCCTCAAGTCATCTTCTACGTGAGCTCTCCTCACGTTCTCATTTAATTTCTTCTCCGTGACCACTCGTCACGTCTCTTGCTCGGCTGACATTGCAACCGGCTTCAGCTCCCACTGTGGTGAGCTTTTTCTTTGCTTGGTGTCTTCCTTTGATCACCAGCCTCTTCACTCTGTTTTTGATTCTCTGAACCATCACCTTTGGCTTTAGCTTTAGGACATTTTTCTCTGACTTGACCCACCACCTCGGCTTTCACTACCGTAGTATGGTTGGCTTCTCCTCAAGTCATCACCTTAGCTTTAGCCTTGGTCGTTTGGTTCCTCAAATCTCCACCTTAGTCTTCTTAACCTTAGCTTGATTGGTTTCTTGAATCATCAACCTCGGTATTCTCCGACTTGGTTTGTTTGATCCTTCACCACCACTTTGGTTATTCTAACCTTGGCTTCTCCTTCTCTTGTTTCAGCTTAAGAACCACATGGATTCTGAAACTTCAACAAGCATCTTCAAGCTTCACCAATACAATGTCGAACAAGGATTGAATTCATCACCTTTCACAACACCGTCTCCACACCGTTGTCTTCATTGCTTCTTCCAGAAGATCTCCACGTCTACTTGGATGCACCTGAAGCCCTCCTTCTCTAAGGTACGGTGTGAAATAGTTAGTGTAGGTTGGTGGTGCCCTTGTCACCACATCTCTTTCCTTCTCTTCTTCTCCGACATAGTCTCGGCTTTGCTCTTCCTTTTTTTTTTTCAGCCTTACACCTCTCTTTTTGTGCAGGCTCTTCTCTTCTTTTGTCTTGAGCTCAGGTCCGCTCAAGGTAGCTCCCTCTTGCCTTGAGCACATGTCCGCTCAAGGTTTACACCACCTCCATAGACTCCATTTCAGTGGCAGCGAGGTCTTCATCTTTGGGAGGTTATCCAACTCCTCCTCTTCTTTTCATCTTCTCACGGCTTCTTTTTTTGCCGTCTCTCCTACAACAGCTTCTCGGGCTGCATCATCTCTTCATCTTTGCCGTCTTCTTCTTACGGCCAGCTTTCTTCTTTGTTGATGGTTGTCTCCATCTTCCTCACATCTTCTTCTTTGGACAGGCTCCAAGATCAAGTAAGCTCTGATACCATGTTATAATTCTTACATCTAACCTCATTGAGGTTAGTTCACTCTTTCTTTATGTCTCTCTCTTTATCACACTATGTTCTTGTTCTTGCTTAGAGAGGAACACAAGAAACGTTTTTGCTTTAATCTTCTACATTGTATTTTAATTGGATCACATCTTACAAAGCACACATACACATACATATAGTAGATTTCTTCTACTCACCATACTCACTCTCTTAGACTCTAAACTTAGTCACTATTTGACCTTACTTCTAGACTTTAGACTTAAGCATACAAGCAACCTTACACAACCTTACCTTAGCTACTAACAATCCCAACAACTCTCAACTACTCTAGCTTAAGTACTTTAACTAGAATAAGATACATAAGTTAATTCTACGAATGGGCCACAAAGAAACATACTTCACCACTTTGGGCCTATACTAACTTCATCAGCCCCCAATAAGACAAAACACAAAAACCCACTTCTCTTGTTGACTCTGTCTTTCTTCTCCTTTGTCGTTGACCTCTCTGTCACGACATCTTCTTCTTCTTCACTTGCTTCTTCTTTGCTTTTGCAAGTTCAATCAAGGATACAATTCCAACAAAATCCTTCTTCCACAAGACGACCAAGTATGTCCCAGGTTGTTATCGAACTGAAAGAGTGTCTTGTGTCTGAAAACTCGAGGAGAAATATGAGTAGAGGCATGGAGTCTCAGAGTTCCGCTGAAGTGAACATGATCTTTGACATTGGGATGTTTCCTATGGCGAGATAGTTTGAGCTTGTGTAAGTAACATGTGAAGAATATCATATTCCTCTGTTTCTTTGGTTTAATATTGAATGTGTGTTAACTCTTGGAGTGCCATGTCGGGAATGTTTATAGTGTGATTACTCTTAAAGATATAGAAATATGTCACTATTTTCACAACCTCATCTCTGTTTTTCTTATCTTTGGTCTTCTCGGAGGATTTCAGCCCATTATCTATAACGAATTTGGATCCATTTATCTATAACGAATTTGGAATTTGCTTCTTCATTTTGGATATAGCAACGTTGATAACTGTGGGTCAAAATGTGTTTTAATGTAAGAGATTTATCCGATACATTTGGAGTCAATGACCACGTCAAATCTCTTGCTCCCTCTATCTATCTATCTCTCTATGTCTGAACATTTTAATGCGTTAGAGAGTGGTAATTATAAAAGCTGTGATTTTGACAGATTCTCTCGAAAACACAAGTTGCCTATTTTCTGACCAAGAAAGAAACTACGTCTTGTTGGGGTAATGTCCCTAATTAAGTTTAAAGATGTGGAGTTGCAATAGAAAACACATTTACTCATTCGTTTCATTGATCTCCTTGTTTTTAATTTATCTATTTCCAGACTCAGTACATCTTGCCATGTCGCCAGAGACTTGGCTTGACTTCCTTATCCCCTCGGGTTTATCTAATTTATACGCTGTGTCTCTCTCAAACTCGGTCACTCGTAATGTTTTGATATCTAAGCAATTATGGAGAGTCCTCGTCCGCTTTTGCTGCTCCTATCAGGAGTTTTTGCCATTATTTGTATTGTTCAAGCTCAGGATCACCAAGGTATCTACATCTACTACTCCATATTCTTTAATGCTTCGAGTCTCAATCATGCTTTTTGATTCTCACTCTTTTTTGTAAATTTAATTTTATTTTCCTTTCTCTTGCCAGGGTTCATCAGTTTGGATTGCGGGTTACCCTTGAGTGAAATGTCTCCTTATATTGAGCCATCAACCGGACTACAGTTCTCGTCTGATGCAAAGTTCATCCAAACTGGTAAAATTGAGGCGAGTCTGGAGAGTGCTTACCTGACGCCGTACATGAGTCTGAGATATTTTCCGGATGGGATACGGAACTGCTATAGTCTGAGTGTTGACATGCATAGGAAACATTTGATCAGGGCTATGTTTGTTTATGGAAATTACGATGGTCTCAACTCTAATCCGAAATTTGATCTGCATCTAGGCCCTAATCCGTGGGCAACAATAAATTTGCAAGCGTCTGTGAATGGTACAGTGCAGGAGATCATTCACACCCCAACATCAAACTCATTGCAGATTTGTCTTGTTAAGACAGGGACAACTACACCGATGATCTCAGCCTTGGAGTTACGGCCGTTGGGAAATAATTCTTACCCCACACAGTCAGGTTCCCTAAATCTTCTCTTTCGGATGTATGTCAACAAGACAGATGACTTTCTACGGTAAGTCAATGCCAACTTTCTTTTTTTGTTTGCTCCGCTATATGGAAAAACTTTGAGTTCTTGGCTAATACAATATTTGTTTCACATAGGTACCCGGATGATGTATATGATCGCAGATGGTTTGATTTTTTCTTGAAGAGTTGGACCGAGATTTCCACGACCCTCACAGTGAGCAATGATAACGATTATGATCCACCAAAAAGGGCACTTGCAACAGCTGCTACGCCTTCCAATGCCAGCGCGCCATTGACACTCAGTTGGACACCGGATAATCCTGGTGACGAATATTACTTGTACAGCCACTTCGCTGAGATACAAGATTTACAGACCAATGATACCAGGGAATTTGAATTGTTCTGGAATGGAGCTGTTATTAGCAAACCTTTCATTCCTTCAAAGTTAGCGGTAGATACTCACCTGGATATTTCTCCAAGGACTTGCAAAGGAGGGAAATGCATTTACCAGCTAATTAAAACCGCAAGATCAACTCTTCCTCCTCTACTTAACGCGCTTGAAGTCTATACAGTAATCCAATTTCCACAATCGGAAACAAATGAAAATGATGGTATGTTACTTACATTGTAGATACGTCCTGTTCGTTTTTAAATACTATAGAAAGTCAATTTCACCTGTTATTCCTCACATCATTGAACTTTACATCAGTGGTTGCTGTAAAGAATATCGAAGCTTCCTATAAATTGAGTAGAATCAGGTGGCAAGGAGATCCTTGCGTCCCTCAACAGTATGCGTGGGATGGTTTGAACTGTAGCAACACAGATATTTCTACACCTCCAAGAATAACGTCCTTGTAAGTTGAAGATGACTTACACGTACATACATGTTCAAAATATGCTACTTATCATGTTTTGAATCACCAGAAACTTGTCTTCAAGCGGGTTAACTGGAACCATAGCGGCTGCTATTCAAACCTTACACAGCTAGAAAAACTGTAAGTATGTCCACTGTCAGATATTGGTTTTGTCGATCAGAGTAAAACAAACGGCCTTTTACTTTATCTTGGCAATAAACTTTAGGGACTTATCAAATAACAAATTGACTGGAGTGGTGCCCGAATTTCTAGCCCAGATGAAATCTTTGTTGATCATGTAAGTTTCTCAGCATATTATCTATAACCTTTTCAATTCCACTCTGGGTCATGTGACTTTATTCATGAAGATGGCTCTTCTGTAATAGAAACTTAAGCGGGAACGATCTTAATGGTCCGCTTCCGCAAGGTCTTCAAAGAAAAGGACTAGAGTTACTGTAAGAAACTTACCACATAGTTTTTATATTCCCCAATTAATATCCACAGACCTTTTGTGAGTTAATATTTTCAAAAACACTCTTCTTCTTGCAGAGTTCAAGGAAACCCAAGGCTTTGCGTCTCTAGCTCCTGCACCGAAAATTCGAAGAAGAAATTTCATGTCGTAATTGTTGCATCAGTTGCTTCTGTGGCCATAATCATTGCTGTGTTGGTTCTTATTTTTGTTCTCAATAAGAAAAAGCCGCCGGCCGTGAAAGGTAATTTGCAGGAGATCTCTCATCAAATCAAGGAACTAAAAAAATTAGATGAATAGTTTTCTATCATCCCCTTCTTCTTTTCTTCTCTACAGCTCCACAACCTTCACTGAGTACGCCAATGGTGAATGAAACATATGCTAATTCACCTGAACCATCAATCGGGACAAAAAAGAGAAGGTTTACTTATTCAGAGGTTATGAAAATGACGAATAATTTCCAAAGAGTTGTAGGGGAAGGAGGATTTGGTGCCGTGTGTCATGGTACTCTAAATGGTTCGAAACAGGTAGCTGTTAAAGTTCTCTCTCAATCATCAAGTCAAGGCTATAAGCATTTTAAGGCAGAGGCATGCATAATCTTCTTTTAAAATTATGATCATCTTAAGCATCACAACCTTATGTTATCTCTTGTTTTTATTTCTCATGAATGATTAGGTCGATCTTCTTCTAAGAGTTCACCATACAAATTTGGTGAGCCTCGTTGGGTATTGCGATGAAGGAGATCACTTGGCTCTTATCTACGAGTTTATGCCCAATGGAGACTTAAGAGAACATCTATCCGGTAAACTTGAATTTCTTCTACCTAGGCTATGTTTATAACTTCTAAGGTGATCTAAAGGATCATATATATACAGGAAATCGCAGTGGGTCCTTTATCAACTGGGGCAATCGACTACGAATAGCTCTAGAGGCTGCACTTGGTTCGTACTAAGCTTATCCAATAAAAGTATAGCTTAGAATGACTTTTCTTCTGGTGGATTAACAAATAATTACTCCTTTGAATAGGATTGGAATATTTACATTCTGGATGCACACCACCAATTATACATAGAGATATAAAAACTACAAACATATTGTTGGACGGACAGTTAAAGGCCAAGCTTGCCGATTTCGGTCTTTCGAGATCTTTCCCTGTTGGGGGTGAAACACATATATCAACTGTGGTTGCTGGTACTCCCGGATACCTTGATCCTGAGTAAGTATCATTAGTGACCATTACAATGTACTGAAAGTGAGTTGTCATTTCGCACTTTATATATTGGTCAGAGAGTATAACCATGTACTTTGCCATGCAGATATTACCAGACAACTCGACTGGGTGAGAAGAGCGATGTGTACAGCTTCGGAATTGTGTTATTGGAGATGATCACAAACCAACCTGTGATTGACCAATCCCGTGCAAAGTCTCATATATCACAATGGGTTGCGTTTGAGCTTAACCGAGGAGATATTACTAAGATCATGGATCCAAACCTGCACGGGGATTACGATTCTCGTTCTGTATGGAGAGTTCTTGAACTGGCAATGTCGTGTGCGAATCCTTCTTCTGTGAACCGACCAAACATGTCCCAAGTTGCTAATGAACTGAAAGAATGTCTTGTGTCTGAAAAATCGAGGACGGACTCTCAGAGTTTTCTTCAAGTGAGCATGAGCTTTGACACAGAGTTGTTTCCGAGGGCAAGATAGTTTGTGCTGCAAGTAACACACAACCATGCTAATTAGTTGGGGGCTATTGGTCTAGACACGTCCATGTAAAATATGTAACACGAATCAGTCATTTTTGCTTTGATCATCGAAATGTGAAGATTATATTCTCCGGTACTTATTGATGTTATCATTCTTTGTATGAATGGATTGGATGCTTATAATCATTGGCCGTAAAAGATAATACCTCTTTGTGGTTCCATCATTAGCAAACAAATGATTTTGGTTAAGTATTTGTAAAATAGTTGGAAAAGAGTATTGATTTAAAATTTAGTACAGTCTGATAGACATTTCTCACTCAATCTGCGTCCCTGAACATTGCTTGTTTGGAAGTAAGATAGGATGTACTAATTCACCAAACCAAATCAAGTTCTCTAGAGAAGTAAAGAACCAGTAGAATGTGGGCTGTGAATCTTGAGATTTCTTATTCACTTAATCACTTGTCTCTACTCTTAAACATAATTATTAGGGCATTATTAGGCTAATCACTTTAGCTAAACTTACAAGAGTCACAAATTAGTGAAATGGATCTGAATTCGTTCTAGATAATGGGCCGAGAAAACCCAAGTCTAATCCTTGTGTTATTTTCCCGCGACTGCGTTTACAACACTCCAATCGTTTGATCGCGTTCTCAAATCAGTGCAAATCGCCGCCGATGAAGAGGTCTCATCGTCATCGCCGTCCTTCTCACGACGGGAAGTTTCGCTGTTGTATATGGCCGATATATCGCCGGAGATTCCTCACAACAGTCATTGGGCCGGTTGACGCCGGCTGAAAGAGATGGGACTCAAAATGCCCGACCGGAAGGTAATTTCTCAGTTAAAGATATGACTGAAAATCCTGTAAAAACTGCAACTTTAGTTATATGGGCTATGATTTTAGATATCTGATAATGGCGTCTTTGTCTGGAATTTGCTTGGTCATGTTGACCCACTTCTCTTTTTAGATATAGTCAGCGTTGATAATTGTGAGTCCTCTGCTTTGTGATTCGAAGCTGTTCTTGTCGATGAAGACGTCAAAATATGTTTTAGTTAGTGATAAATTATCCGATATGATTCAATCCAAGTCAATGACCACTAGAAAGTCAAATCTCTTGCTGTGAACATTTTTTTAATGCGTTAAAGAGTGGTGACTGTAAAACCTTTGATTGACAGATTCTCTTGAAAACCAAGAAACTGTAGAAGATGTATTCTTGGGACATTTACTTATTCGTTTCATTGACCCTTTTTGTAAAGAATTCAAGACTCAGGACATCTTGCCATGTTGCCAGAGGCTTGGATTGTTTCTTGGGTTTATCTATTTATACGCTTTGTTTCTCTCAAACTCGGGCATTGGTAATGTTTTGATATCTAAAAGCTATTATGGATAGTCCTTGTCGGCTTTTGCTGCTGCTATTAGGAGCTTTTGCCGTTATTGGTTGTGTTCGAGCGCAGGATCAACAAGGTATCTACGTCTTAATGGTTTTTATGTATATACATCTACTACTCCTTAATGATTCGATTCTTAGTCATGTTTGTACCTGAGATGCTTTTGATTTTTCACTCTCTTACCAGAGTTTATCAGTTTGGATTGTGGGTTACCCGTGAGTGAACCGTCTTCTTATGTTGAGTCAGTAACCGGACTACGGTTCTCGTCTGATGCTGAATTCATCCAGACTGGTAAAAGTGGTAAAATCCAGGCGAATATGGAGAATGACTACTTGAAGCCGTACACGAGGCTGAGATATTTTCCAGATGAGAGAAGGAACTGCTATAGTCTGAGTGTTGACAAGAATAGGAAATATTTGATCAGGGCTGGGTTCATTTATGGGAATTACGATGGTCTTAATTCTAACCCGATATTTGAACTGCATCTAGGCCCTAATCTGTGGGCAACTATAGATTTGCAAAAGTTTGTGAATGGTACAATGGAGGAGATCCTTCACACTCCAACATCAAACTCGTTAAAGGTTTGTCTAGTTAAGACAGGGACAACTACACCCTTGATCTCAGCCTTGGAATTACGGCCATTGGGAAATAATTCTTATCGCACAGAGGGTTCTCTGAATCTTCTCGTTCGGATGTATCTCAACAAGACAGATGGCTTTCTTCGGTAAGTGTTTTTTTTTTTTTGGGGCAAATCAGTGGTGGCTTCTATATTCATATACCCTTTATTTTTAAAATTCCTATACTTATTCAAGGCTAATACAACCTTTGTTCCACATAGGTACCCGGATGATGTTTATGATCGCAGATGGCGTAATTTCTTTTTGGTGGGTTGGACCCAAATTTCCACCACTCTCGAAGTGAGCAATGATAACGATTATCAACCACCAAAAAAGGCTCTTGCAGCGGCTGCCACGCCTTCTAATGCCAGTACGCCATTGACAATCAGTTGGACACCGGATAATCCTGGTGACCAATATTACTTGTACAGCCACTTCTCTGAGATACAAGATTTACAGACCAATGATACCAGGGAATTTGACTTATTATGGGATGGAGCTGTTGTTACTGAAGCTTTCATCCCTGCAAAGTTAGGGGTAGATACTATCTATAATCCTTCTCCAGTGACTTGCAAAGGAGGAAAATGCAGTTACCAGCTAATAAAAACCTCAAGATCAACGCTTCCTTCTCTACTTAACGCTCTTGAAATCTACACAGTTATCCGATTTCCACAGTCGGAAACAAATGAAAGTGATGGTATGTTACTTATCTTCACTGTTGTGCAGATAAGGTCTCTTTTTCTTTTTTTTTTTGAAGTATAGAAAATCAACTTCACCTGTTAATCCTCACATCATTGAACTTTACATCAGTGGTTGCTGTTAAAAATATCGAAGCAGCCTATAAATTGAGTAGAATCAGGTGGCAAGGAGATCCTTGCGTCCCTCAACAGTATGCGTGGGATGGTTTGAACTGTAGCAACACAGATATTTCTAAACCTCCAAGAGTAACATCCTTGTAAGTCGTAAGATCACACACACGCACATGCACACTTATCTTCAAAATATGTTAACTATCATGCTTTGAATAACCAGAAATTTGTCTTCAAGCGGGTTAACTGGAACCATAGCAGCTGCGATTCAAAACCTTACACAGCTAGAAAAACTGTAAGTATCTCCATTGTTAATAATGGTTTTGTTGATGGAAGTAAACCTAATGACCTCTACTTTATTTTGGGAATAAACTTTTAGGGACTTGTCAAATAACACTTTAACTGGAGTGGTGCCCGAATTTCTAGCCCAGATGAAATCGTTGGTAATCATGTAAGTTTCTCAGCATATATTCTTTTAATTTCAGTTCCCCTTTGGGTCATGTGTATGGATGCATGAAGCTTGCTCTTCTTTAATAGAAACTTAAGCGGCAACAATCTTAGTGGTCCCCTTCCTCAAGGTCTTCAAAGAGAGGGACTAGATTTACTGTAAGAAACTTCTCACATAGTTTTTAATATTCCGCAGTTATTATCCACAGCCTTGTTGTGATTTGATGTTTCTTAACAACACTCTTCTTCTTGCAGAGTTCAAGGAAACCCAAGGCTTTGTCTCTCTGGTTCCTGCACAGAAAAAAACTCGAAGAAGAAATTTCCGGTGGTGATTGTTGCATCAGTTGCTTCTGTAGCCATAATCGTTGCTGTGTTGGTTCTTATTTTTGTTCTCAATAAGAGAAAGCCATCGACTGTGGAAGGTAATTTGCAGGAGATCTCTCATCAAATCAAGAAACTACAAAAATTCGATGAATAGTTTTTCTTACATCCCCTATTTTTTTTTTTTTTTTCTTCTCTATAGCTCTACAACCTCCACTGAGTACGCCAATGGTTCATGATAATTCACCTGAACCATCAATCAAGACAAAAAAGAGAAGGTTTACTTATTCAGAGGTTATGAAAATGACGAATAATTTCCAAAGAGTTGTAGGGGAAGGAGGATTCGGTGTTGTGTGCCACGGTACTCTAAATGGTTCTGAACAGGTGGCTGTTAAAGTACTCTCTAAATCATCAAGTCAAGGCTATAAACATTTTAAGGCTGAGGTACGTCTGATCCTTCTAAAAAAATCATGATCATCTTAAGCATCACAACCTTACGCTATCTCTTGCTTTTATTTTCCCATGGATGATTAGGTCGATCTTCTTCTACGAGTTCACCATACAAATTTGGTGAGCCTCGTTGGATATTGCGATGAAAGAGATCACTTGGCTCTCATCTATGAGTTTGTGCCCAAGGGAGACTTAAAACAACATCTATCTGGTAAACTTGAATTTCTTCATGATTCGAAAATCTAGCTAGACTATGTTTATAACTTCTAAGGTGATCTAAAGGATCCTATATACAGGAAAACGCGGTGGGTCCTATATCAACTGGGGCAGTCGACTACGAATAGCTCTGGAGGCTGCACTAGGTTCGTATTAAGCTTAGCCAATGTAAGCAGCTTAAAATGACTTTCCTTCTGGTGGATTAACAAATAATCACTCCTTTGAATAGGATTGGAATATTTACATTCTGGATGCACACCACCAATTGTACATAGAGATATAAAAACTACAAACATATTGTTGGACGACCAGTTAAAGGCCAAGCTTGCCGATTTCGGGCTTTCGAGATCTTTCCCTGTTGGAGGTGAATCACATATTTCAACTGTGGTTGCTGGTACTCCTGGATACCTGGATCCTGAGTAAGTGTCGTTAGTGACCATTACAATGTGCTGAAAGTGAGTTGTCATTTCGCACTTTATATATTGGTCAGAGAGTATAACCATGTACTTTGCCGTGCAGATATTACCAGACAACTCGACTGGGTGAGAAGAGCGATGTGTACAGCTTCGGAATTGTGTTATTGGAGATGATCACAAACCAACCTGTGATTGACCAATCCCGTGCAAAGTCTCACATAACACAATGGGTTGGGTTCGAGCTTAACCAAGGAGATATTACGAAGATCATGGATCCAAACCTGCACGGGGATTACGATTCTCGTTCTGTATGGAGAGTTCTTGAACTGGCAATGTCGTGTGCGAATCCTTCTTCAGTGAACCGACCAAACATGTCCCAAGTTGCTAATGAGCTGAAAGAATGTCTTGTGTCTGAAAAATCGAGGGGAAATATGAATATGGACTCTCAGAGTTCTCTTGATGTGAGCATGAGCTTTGACACGGAGTTGTTTCCGAGGGCAAGATAATCTGTGTTGCTAGTAACACAACCATGCTAACTAGTTGGGCAAATGGGCTAGACACGTCCATGTAAAATATGTAACACGAATCAGTCATTTTTACTTTGATCATCGACATGTGTCAAAATCGCGTGATTGTTTACCAAGAAACTACTGTTGCACTAAATGTAACAATGTCCAAAATCAAATTCTTTAGAAAACTAAAGAAACAGAATACGGATTGTGATTTCTCAACATTCACTTATCTGTCCTCTGAAATGATTAGGCTCAACATTCACTTAGACTTGGACTTTGTCAAATATAATTGATATGACAGTTCATTGCTTAACGTGCTTCTGGTCTGCTCTATATTTTCCATGATTGAGTTCATGATAGTGATGTTTGGACTTTGCTGTCCTCTTATTCCTCTTATTCTTCCGCTTGTTGAATAGAAAAATGCATTTACTCAGTTCTTTTGACTTGACAAAGTCTTTCTTTTAGCTTATACATTTTAATTTCTTCCTAGCCAAATGGTTTTCTTGATTTTTCCTTGGAAGGTTGGTTAGAGAAAATGAAGAATTCTCTCGGCCTTTTGTTGCTGCTAGTCGCCATCATTCATATTGTTTGAGCTCAAGACCAACAAGGTATCAGAAAATCTTTTTTTTTTTTCCTCCTTAAACAAACATTTTGGTTCTCAAAAGTGCATTGTTTCTAATGGATAATCTTCACAATGTCTGTTAGCAGGATTCATCAGTTTGGATTGCGGGCTACCCGCGAATGAACAGTCTCCTTATGAAGAGAGTTTCACTGGACTGCGGTTCTCTTCAGATGAAAAGTTCGTACGTAGTGGAAAAAACGGTCGAATCCGAGAAAATCCTGAGGGATACGCGGAGCCATACGAGACCCTGAGATATTTTCCTGATGGAATAAGGAACTGCTACAATCTAAACGTTGAAAAGGGCAGGACACATTTGATTGTGGCTAGGTTTGTATATGGAAATTATGATGGTTTTGACCTTAAGCCAAAGTTTGATCTGTATCTTGGACCTAATCTATGGGCCACGGTGGATTTGCAAACAGAAGTTAATGGTACAGCGGAAGCGATCTTACACATCCCAACATCAAACTCGTTGCAGATTTGTCTTATTAAGACTGGGGAAACTATACCGCTAATATCGGCATTGGAATTACGGCCAATGGGAAATGGTTCTTATATCACTAAGTCTGGTTCCTTGAATCTTTTATCCCGAAGATATCTTAGCAAGTCAGGATCTGATCTACGGTAATTCAACTTCAACTGATCAATGTTTCTTCTCTGCTCTGTTTCCAACACAACGGTTGCTTTCATTGACACTTAAAAAAGGTTTTAAGGCAATCAATATGACCATTTTACTATCTGAAAAATGATATTGTTCATATTATTTACGTATTTTACTACTAACACAACATTGTTCTCACCCTCAGGTACATGAAAGATGTCTATGATCGCACATGGGTATCGTATGGAGCCAGTTTTCAGACGGGCTGGACACAAATTTACACCGCTCTTGAAGTGAACAATTCCAACAATTATGCTCCACCAAAAGATGCGCTAAAAAATGCTGCCATACCGACTAATGCCAGTGCGCCATTGACGATTGAATGGCCTTCAGGAAGTCCCAGGGACCAATATTACTTGTACGCACACTTTGCTGAGATCCAAGACTTGCAGGCAGAAACTTGACATAACTACTGTCCAAAGTGTGACCCCGAAAACTTGTCAACAAGGGGAATGTAGTTTGCAGCTAACAAGAACCAACAGATCAACTCTTCCGCCTCTACTTAATGCTTTGGAAATCTATGCAGTCATCCAATTTCCACAATCCGAAACAAATGACATTGACGGTATGTTTATGCTTAGTTTGGAAACAAAACATAAGCATGATAGAGTACTCGTGACATTTTTCATGTATTAATTTCTAACATCATCAAACCTTTTATGTCAGTGATTGCTATAAAAAACATTGAGGCCGACTATGGATCGAGTAGAATCAACTGGCAAGGCGATCCATGTGTCCCTCAACATTTTATCTGGGATGGTTTAAATTGCAGCAACACGGATATCTCCACACCACCAAGAATCACTTCTTTGTAAGTCATAACTTCACTAGTCACGCACACTAACTCTTCAAGATCTGTTAGTAGTCATGATAATTAACAACTTTGAATGTGGTTTTGAAAATTTTACCAGAAACTTGTCTTCAAGTGGTTTAACTGGAAACATAGCAGCTGCCATTCAAAACCTTACGCAACTAGAAAAACTGTAAGTATGTCCATTGTTGATTAGATGTCTATATATGCGAAGAAATCAGATGTAATATCATTAACATTCTCTCTTTCTAACATTAGGGACTTGTCGAATAATAGCTTGACTGGAGGAGTGCCGGAGTTTCTAGGCAAAATGAAATCGTTGCTGGTCATGTAAGTTTCTCTCAACATACTTTTTAACGTTTTTCAGATTCCACCTAAGATCATGGTCGTTTTTAACAGAAATTTAAGTGGGAACAATCTTAGTGGTTCAATACCTCAAGCTCTTCAAAAGAAAGGACTAGAACTATTGTAAGAAACTTTCTACATAGTTTTTTGAAATTTCTCAGTTGTTTATCTACAACCATTTTGAGCATTTGATGTCTTGAACAACCCTTGTCTTTTTTTAGTGTTGAAGGAAACCCAAGGCTCTGTCCCTCTGATTCATGTAGGAAACCACCTAAGAAAAAAGTTCTTGTGCCAATTGTTGCAGCAGTTGCTTCTGCAGCCATTGTCATTGCTTTATTGATTCTTTTTCTTGTACTCAGAAAGAGAAAGTCAACTATTGTAGAAGGTACTTGCAAGAGAGACATCAAATAAGAAAACTTTATCAAATCTTGTAAATGTCATTATTCCATTATTGCATTAAAAGAAGAGACACAAAGAAAAATCGATATGATAGCATCCTTATTCTGATGTACAGGTATAAACCAGCCACCGAGGACGTCAATGGAGGAAGTTACATTTGCTAATAAGAACAGGAGAAGGTTCACATATTCAGAGGTCCTCCAAATGACAAATAACTTCCAAAGAGTTTTAGGTAAAGGAGGGTTCGGTATGGTGTATCACGGTACTGTAAATGGTCATGAACAAGTGGCCGTTAAGGTACTCTCTCAATCTTCAACTCAAGGCTATAAGGAGTTCAAAGCAGAGGTATTCATAGTTTTGTAATCTTCTCAATTAAACTATGATGTGTTTTTAGCATCACTAGAGGTTGATGAGTTTTGCTCTTATCTTAGGTTGATCTTCTTCTGAGAGTTCACCATACAAATTTGGTGAGCCTCGTTGGGTATTGCTATGAAGGAGATCACTTGGCTCTCATCTATGAGTTTCTTCCCAATGGAGACTTAAAACAACATTTGTCAGGTATTTTAAATTTCTAGTGATTTCACGTGTAGCACTAGTTCAAGTAACTCATAAAACTTGAATGAATCTATCTAATATACAGGAAAGGGAGGCAAATCTATCATAAACTGGAGTATTCGACTACGAATAGCTTTGGAAGCAGCACTAGGTTTGTACTACGTTAAAAACTGTAGGATCAGATATCGATTTAATTGGGTTTTATGATAAATCATTTGATAAAGATGACTTCATTGCATAGGATTGGAGTATTTACATATTGGATGCAAACCGCCGATGGTTCATAGAGATGTCAAAACTGCCAACATATTGCTGGACGAGAATCTCAAGGCCAAACTTGCTGATTTTGGGCTCTCAAGATCTTTTCAAGGTGAATGCGAATCTCAAGATGCAACCGCAATTGCTGGTACTCCTGGATACCTTGATCCCGAGTAAGTATTATTAGTTTTCATATACACACACGTAAACACTTGTTCTGGAACTTTCTATTCCTTCTTCAATGGTTAAAATCTTAAAGAGTATATATTATGTTGTTGTCTTGCAGATATTACCGTACAAATAGGTTGGCTGAGAAGAGTGATGTCTACAGTTTCGGGATCGTGTTATTGGAGATGATCACAAACCAACCTGTGATTAATCAAACCACTGAAAATTCTCTGATAACACAATGGGTTGGCTTTCAGATCAACCGAGGTGATATTCTTGAGATTATGGATCCAAACCTTCGCAAGGATTATGACATCAATTCTGCTTGGAGAGCTCTTGAACTGGCAATGTCATGCGCAAATCCTTCTTCCTCGAAACGACCATCCATGTCTCAGGTTATTCACGAGCTAAAAGAGTGTATTGTGTGTGAAAACACAGGGATAAGTCAGAATCGAAGCTTGGAATCTCAAGAAATGAACGTTAGCTTGGACGCTTCGGTGGTTCCCATGGCAAGATAGTTATGAATGTTGTCTACTTGTGGTACTAATAAGGAATCAATACTTAACTAGTTACATATTAAACAAAAATTTGTAAACTAGTTAAAGTATTGATTGAAGTGTGTAATTGTGTATGGTCTTATAGATAAACTGGGAGTCGACAAATTTCATTCTGCTTTCATTGATTATTGACAAATCCAGATCATATTTTCTGCTCTTCTGGTTTCTACATATGTGTCTTGAGTACCACGAAAAGGTCATTTTGCTTTGACCATCAAAATTTCAAAGATCATTTTTCTCTGTAATTTTGGTTTCTCCATAGAGATGCAAAGGAATCTGCAAATTAGGCATTAATGACTCTTTTTGTCTGTAATTGTTTTCTTTCATGTTGATCCACTTGCCCATTTCTAATTTTTTTTTTTTTTCCTGCCTATGAAACAGAACCAGGTCTCTCAATCCTAGTCAACGACCATTAGAAAGTCAACTATTAATCATTGGCCGTACAAAACCCTATCTTCACTATTTGTGAATGTCGATTATTGAACGCGAGTGTAGTAGCACTTCAACCGCCGCATCGCGTTCCCAAAACAAATGCTATCGACGGTGATGAGTTCTCACCGCCGGGAACTGCTGAAGTCGAAACGCTCTTCTCTTTCCCTCGACGGCAGGTTTCCCCACCGTAGATGGTCGTTTTGTCACCGGAAATTTCCCTCGGGCTCGCTCGCTGCCGACTGGGTCATCAAAACAGGTTTTTGTTTGAAAAATCCGAAATTTATACGAGTACTCATTTCACTAAAAGTTGCAACTTTTTTTACTCATTATGGTTTCTGATTACGGAGCTCTGAATGATAATACGTAGTTGGAGGGTTGTCTTCACCAATCAAAATGTCAACGACCATTGACTGTTTCTCAAAGTTTCTTCGTGCTGTCATGGTGCTGCGTCTGGTCGTTATTAATGCCAATATATATTTGTTGCGTGATTGATACATTCTTTGGAAATTATACTAAAAGCAAGTTGCAAATTTTCTGACCTGATGTACACAATTTTCATGATAGTGATGTTGGAACATTATCTTCCTTTTATTCTTCTTCTTCTCATGGTGAAGTTGCATTAGAATTTAGAAAACACCTTTTGTTCATCATCCATCTTGTTTAAGCTCAAGGGCTAATTGTTATAAACCTTGTTTAGTCGGCATATGTAGATCATGGTGTCTCTAATTCTGAATATGGTTGTGGTTTCTAACTTTTATTCATATGATTGAAACAAACTCAGGTCTTCTACATATATAATAAGTCAACGACCATAAGAATGTCAACTCTTTCCGAACATTTCTTCATGCATCATTGTGGTGACTGTGAGTCTGGTGGCTATTAAATCCTATATTCTTTTTGTGTGATTGACATTTTCTTTTGAAGTAAATTGCATAGTGTCTGACCAAGAAACTATACTGATGTTCAATACCAGAAATGACAAGTTCACAATGATGATGTTGGAACATTGTTATCCTCTTATCCTTGTTCCTCTTCCCATGGTGAAGTTGCATTAGAAAATACATTTTACTCTTCTTCTTTGATCATTGACTTGAAAAAGTATTTGCTTTTAATTTGCTTATATATTCTCCTGTTATCTTCCAGAGCTTGGGCAACGATTTTCTTGATTTGTCCTTGGTGGGTAAGAGAATATGGAGAGGTCTCTTGCGCTTTTGTTGCCGCTAATCATAACTTTGGCTATCATTCATATTGTTCAAGCTCAGAGCCAACAAGGTATTCACATTTTATTCTTCTTCTCCATCTTACTACTATTTGGTTCTTGATCGTAATTGTATTGGCATTTTTAAAGTGTCAATTTTTTCCATTTCTGTTTTACAGGGTTCATCAGTTTGGATTGCGGGCTGCCCGCAAATGAACTGTCTCCTTATAAAGATTTAAACACTGGAATACAGTACTCCTCGGACGCAACATTCATCCAGAGTGGAAATACTGGTAAAGTCCAGGCAAATATGGTGGATAGATTCCTGAAGCCATACTCAACGCTGAGATATTTTCCAGATGGAATACGGAACTGCTACAATCTAAACGTCGAGAAGGGAAGAAATCATCTGATCAGAGCTTGGTTTATGTATGGAAATTATGATGGCCGTGACAATAGCCCGAGGTTTGACCTGTATCTTGGACCTAATCCATGGGCCACGATCGATTTGCATAAACTAGAGAATGGTACACGGGAAGAGATCATTCACATACCAACATCAAACAAGTTGCAGATTTGTCTTGTTAAGACTGGGGAAACTACACCAATGATTTCAGCCTTGGAAATACGGCCCATGGGAAATGATTCTTATATAACCGAGTCTGGTTCTCTGAAACTCTTCTTTCGGATATATCTTACCGAATCGAAGAATTACATAAGGTAACTTCAACTTAACGTTATCTCTTGTTTTTGCTCTGTTTTTTTGGGTCTGAGTTCTTCAAGAAGGGGACTATTGCAGACACTAAGTAAAAGTGTTAGACAAGACAAAAACAATGAAAAAGAGCAATCTGATAACATTTACAATGGTCCAAGAGGACAAAAATAATATTATCCATTCTTGTTTATTGATTTCTCTGTTAAAACGTTATTTATCTCACCGTCAGGTACCCGAACGATGTCTATGATCGCCAATGGATTGCGTTCTTTTGGAGGGAATGGACCCAAATATCAACCACTAGCGATGTGGGAACTTCCAACAGTTATGAACTACCAAAAGCCGCACTTCCAAGTGCAGCCATACCTACTAATGCTAGTGTGCCATTGGCGATTGAGTGGACTCCACCAAATCCTAATACCCAATATTACTTGTATAGACACTTTGCTGAGATCCAAGACCTGCAGAAAAATGAAACCAGGGAATTCAACATGCTATGGAATGGAGATGTTATGTCGTCTGACCCTGTGATTCCTAATAAGTTAGAAATAAGTACTTTCTACAGCAAGTCTCCAAGGACTTGCGGTGAAGGGGGCTGTAATTTTCAGCTGAAAAGAACCAATAGATCAACTCTTCCACCTCTACTTAACGCTCTTGAAGTCTTCACAGTTATCCAGTTTCCGCAGTCTGAAACAAATGAAACTGACGGTATATATGTTTCAGTGTTTTTCAACCTTATGCAAATAAGGTCTAATTCTTTTAATGTTTCTTTCTAACATCTTGAAATTATTTATGTCAGTGGCTGCTATCAGAAACATTGAAGCCACCTATGGATTAAGTAGAATCAACTGGCAAGGTGATCCATGCGTCCCTCAACAGTTTAGGTGGGACGCTTTAAACTGCAGCAACACGGATCCCTCCACACCACCAAGAATCACTTCTTTGTAAGTCATAACTTCACTATTCACGCACACACACTGTTCAAGATATGTTAGTAGTCATGATCATTAACAACTTTGAATGTGGTTTTGAAAATTTCACCAGAAACTTGTCTTCGAGTGGTTTAACAGGAAACATAGCAGCTGCAATTCAAAACCTTACGCAACTAGAGAAACTGTAAGTATGTCTATTGTTAATTGTAAGCAAGAAATTGTTCTATATATGCGAAGAAATTAGATGTAATATCATATAATATTCTCTCTTTCTAATATTAGGGACTTGTCGAATAACAACTTGACCGGAGAGGTGCCGGAGTTTCTAGGCAACATAAAATCATTGTTGTTCATGCAAGTATCTCTCAAGCATATTTTTCTAATGCTTTTCAATTTCTACCTCGAATTCATTGCTCTTTTTCTTTTTCTGTAAACGATATTCATTGCTCTTTTTATACAGAAACTTAAGCGGGAACGATCTTAATGGTACAATTCCTCAATCCCTACAAAGGAAAGGTGGACTCCAGCTATTGTAAGAAACTAATTCCCACATATACTTTGAACTTTTCTCTGTTATTATCAACAACCCTTTTGTGCCTCTGATGTCTTGAAACAACACTTGTCTTCTTATAGCCGTCATGGAAACCCAAGGCTTTTTCCCTCTGAATCACCAACAATACCAACAGGCAAGAGCTTTCCAGTTGTAATTGTTGCATCAGTTGCTTCTGCTGCCATCCTCATTGTTGTGCTGGTTCTTGTACTTGTTCTCCGAAAGAAAAAGCCGTCGACTAATCAAGGTATTTTTGCAAGAGAGACATATCAAACTAGAATAGTGATGAATCTAATGGATATGGTTTTTGATAATCCCTAATTTCTGATGTAACAGTTGTTCACCCGCCTCCAAGTAGGCCAACCATGAATGTTCCTTATGCTAACTCACCTGAGCCCTCAATCGAGATGAAAAGGAGAAGGTTTACTTATTCAGAGGTTATGAAAATGACGAATAATTTCCAAAGAGTTGTAGGGGAAGGAGGATTTGGCGTTGTCTGTCACGGTACTGTAAATAGTTCTGAACAGGTAGCTGTTAAACTACTCTCACAATCATCAACTCAAGGCTATAAAGAGTTCAAGGCAGAGGTATTTGTAGTACAATCTTTCCATCTAGTATCTGTTTTTAACATCACAAAGCTAATGCATGGATTCCTTGTTTTTCGTTGCATGTTTGCCTCAGGTTGATCTTCTTCTAAGAGTCCACCATACAAATTTGGTAAGCCTTGTCGGATATTGTGATGAAGGAGACCACTTGGCCCTCATCTACGAGTTTGTACCCAATGGAGACTTAAGACAACATTTGTCAGGTAAAACTTTGTTTAACATTTTCTAATGGTTTCATTAATTATGTATCATGAACTCATGAAAAATCGTTGTTCTTCCCAAAAATATGAAAGGATCTAATGATCTAATATATAGGAAAAGGAGGTAAACCCATCGTCAATTGGGCTACGCGGCTAAGAATATCTGCGGAGGCAGCACTAGGTTGGTACCAAGTTACACCGTACGTTGAACTAGAATTCATTCGATTGTTCTTACAATAATTAGTTAATACGGATGAATCCATTGGATAGGTTTGGAGTACTTACACATTGGATGCACACCACCAATAGTTCATAGAGATGTCAAAACTACAAACATATTGTTGGACGAGCAGTTCAAGGCCAAACTTGCTGATTTTGGGCTCTCGAGGTCTTTCCCAGTTGGAGGGGAAACTCATGTTTCGACAGTGGTTGCTGGTACTCCTGGTTACCTTGATCCAGAGTAAGTATCAACAGAAACTTTTCTCTTCCTTCTTCAATCATTAAAGAGTATACCATGTTCTTGCCTTGCAGATATTACCAAACAAGCCGGTTGGGTGAGAAAAGTGATGTGTACAGTTTTGGAATTGTGTTATTGGAAATGATCACAAACCAACCAGTGATTGATCGAAACCGCAGAAAGTCTCATATAACACAATGGGTTGGGTCTGAGCTTAACGGAGGAGACATTACTAAGATCATGGATCCAAAGCTTAACGGGGATTATGATTCCCGCTCTGCGTGGAGAGCTCTTGAGCTAGCAATGTCCTGCGCGGATCCTACTTCAGCAAGACGACCAACCATGTCTCATGTTGTTATAGAACTAAAAGAGTGTCTCGTGTCTGAAAACTCAAGGAGAAATATGAGTCGAGGCATGGATCCTCTAAGTTCCCCTGAAGTAAGCATGGTCTTTGATAGTGGGATGATTCCCAGAGCAAGATAGTTTGTGTTGCAAGTAACACAACCATAGTGAAATTACTCAACGTTATTGTGGCCTTGCCATGTCGTGTCCTCTGTTTGTATTTTGAGTGCCAGTATTGTGGTTATAAAAACCTTTTATGTAAAAATTAATATAATTACTGTATTGGTTGAAGTGTTTTGTGGTCTAATAAGCTGAATTCATGTTGAAACAAAAAAACTGTCTACCAATCTTCTGAATGAAAGTCAGAGAGGTTGTCTTCACCAATCAAAAGTCAACGACTATTGGCTGTTTCAAGGAGTTCCTTTGTGCGTCATGGTGTTGAGTCTTGGTGGCTATTAACTCCAGTATCTTTGTTGCGTGATTGATAGTCTTTGGAAGTTATACTAAAGCAAGTTGCAAATTTTCTGACCAGGAAACTAAAACTAGACTGATGTACACAATTTCATGATAGTGATGTTGGAACATTATCTTCCTTTTATTCTTCTTCCTCCAATGGCGAAGTTGCATTAGAAAACACCTTTTGGTTATCATCCATCTTGTTTAAGCTCAAGGGCTAATTGTGATAAACCTTGTTTATTTCATGCTGACCTAATTTGCTTGATAATATTTAGTCAGCATATATAGATCATTGTGTGCCTAGCTAGTGCTGTATATTTTTGTGGGTCTTAACTTTTACTCATATGATTGAAACAAAGTCAGGTCTACTACATATATAAGTAAACGACCATAAGAATGTCAACTCTTTCTGAACATTTCTTCATGCATCATTGTGGTAGTCTGGTGGCTATATTAAACCAATATCTTTTTTTGTGTAATTGACATGTTCTTTTGAAGTAAATTGCATATTGCCTGACCAAGAAACTATACTGATGTTCAATACCACAAATGACCCCAGTCAAGTTCATAATAGTGATGTTGGAACATTGTAATCCTCTTATTTCTTCTTCCCATGGTGAAGTTGCACTAGAAAACACATTTACTCTTTCTTTTTTTTTCCCATTGACTTGAAAAAGTCTTTCCAATTTGTTTTTGCTTATATATTCTCTTGTTATCTTCAGGGAGCTTGGGCAACGATTTTCTTGAACTTTCCTTGGTGGGTAAGAAGAAAATATGGAGAGGTCTCATGAGCTTTTGTTGCTGCTAATCGGAACTTTGGTCATCATTCATATTGCTCAAGCTCAAAGCCAACAAGGTATCATGTCTAAACTGACATATATATGTCTATGTATTCTTCATCTTCTCCTTCTTATTACTATCTTGGTTCTTAATCGTACTTGTTGTATCTGGCAATTCATTTGTTCTCGTTTTTAACAGTCATTTTTTTAATGCCTCATAACAGGGTTCATCAGTTTGGATTGTGGTCTACCCGCGAATGAACCATCTCCTTATACAGAGCCGAGGACTAAATTGCAGTTCTCTTCAGACGCAGCATTCATCCAGAGTGGAAAAATTGGTAGAATTCAAGCAAATCTGGAGGCTGACTTCTTGAAACCGTCAACGACGATGAGATATTTTCCAGACGGAAAACGGAACTGCTACAATCTAAACGTTGAGAAGGGAAGAAATCATCTGATCAGGGCTAGGTTTGTATATGGAAATTATGATGGTCGTGACATTGGCCCCAAGTTTGATCTGTATCTTGGACCTAATCCATGGGCCACGATAGATTTGGCAAGGCAAGTGAATGGTACACGTCCGGAGATCTTGCACATCCCAACATCAAACAAGTTGCAGATTTGTCTTGTTAAGACTGGGGAAACTACACCGTTAATATCGGCTTTGGAAATACGGCCGATGGGAAATGGTTCTTATCTCACCAAGTCTGGTTCTTTGAGACTTTACTATCGAGAATATTTTAGCAAGTCCGATTCTTATATAAGGTATCCACTTCACCTGAACATCATCTCTTCTTTCTTCTCTGTTTTGCTCTTTGTTCTGTTTTGCTCTGTTTTGTTTTTGGCTCTGTTCTCCTCTGTTTTTGCAAGTGTGTATTCTGTTTCCAACATGAATGATATTTTCAATGAGAGGAATATTTTTTAGAAACTAGAAAAAGTTTACAACAAGATGAAAACAGAAAAAAGGTCCAAGATAAGAAAAAATGATATTCTTATCTTTATGTTCCTTTGCTAAAACGATGTTGTTCCCACCCTCAGGTACCCAGATGATATCTATGACCGCCAATGGACTTCGTTCTTTGATACAGAGTGGACACAAATTAACACCACTAGCAATGTGGGAAATTCCAATAACTATGAGCCACCAAAAGTCGCGCTCACTACTGCGGCCATTCCAACTAATGCCAGTGCGCCATTGACGAATGAATGGAGTTCAGTAAACCCCGATGAACAGTATTACGTGTACGCCCACTTTGCTGAGATCCAAGAGTTGCAAGCAAATGAAACCAGGGAATTCAACATGTTACTAAATGGGAAACTTTTTTTTGGCCCTGTGGTTCCTCCAAAGCTATCAATAACTACTATCCTAAGTTTGTCCCCTGATACTTGCGAAAGAGGGGAATGCAATTTACAGCTGATAAGAACCAACAGATCAACTCTTCCACCTCTACTTAACGCTTATGAGGTCTATAGAGTTATTCAGTTTCCGCAGTTAGAAACAAACGAAAACGATGGTAGGTGTGTTTCAATGATAGTATGGAAACAAATTTGTAAACTCTAAAGAGTATTCAAAACGTTTTATATATTCTTCTAACATTACCAAAACATTTATATCAGTTTCTGCGGTGAAAAACATCCAAGCCTACTATGGATTGAGTAGAATCAACTGGCAAAGCGATCCATGCGTCCCTCAACAGTATATGTGGGACGGTTTAAACTGCAGCATCACAGATATCTCCACGCCACCAAGAATCACTACTTTGTAAGTCATAAGTTCACTAGTATACACATCAGGATCTATAAGTGATCATGATCATTATTGAATGTGGTTTTGGAAATTTCACCAGAAACTTGTCTTCAAGTGGTTTAACTGGAACCATAGCAGCTGCCATTCAAAATCTTACGACACTGGAAAAGCTGTAAGTATGTCTATTATTGCTGATCAAATGCGAAATTTTTTTGTTATATTGTACGTATGCAAAAAAAAATCTGTTGTAAATATCATATTAAATTTTCTCTTGTTAACTTTAGGGACTTGTCGAATAATAACTTGACCGGAGAGGTGCCAGAATTTCTAGGCAACATGAAATCATTGTTGGTCATGTATGTTTCTCGCAGACATATTTTCCAATGCTTTTCAAATTCCACCTTGGATCATGTTCATGCATGTATCACAATTTCTCTTTTTTTTGCAGAAACTTAAGCGGGAACGATCTTAACGGTACAATTCCTCAATCTCTACAAAGGAAAGGACTTGAGCTACTGTAAGAAGCTTCCCAAATATATTATGAACTTTCCTCAGTTATTAACCACAACCCTTTTGTGCATTTGATTTCACAGAAAAAAAAAACACTTGTTTTCTTTGTAGTTATCAAGGAAACCCAAGGCTTATTCCACCTGGTTCACCTGAAGAAAAATCTGGCAAGAGCTTTCCAGTTACAATTGTTGCATCAGTAGGTTCTGCAGCCATTCTCATTGTTGTGCTGGTTCTTGTACTTGTTCTCCGAAAGAAAAAGCCGTCAGCTGTTGAAGGTATTTGCAAGAGAGAGACATATCAAACTAGAAAAGCGATAAATTTAATGGATATGGTTTTAATTTGCTAACCCCTAATTTCTGATCTGACAGTTGTTCACCCGCCTCCAAGTAGGCCAACGATGAACGTTCCTTATGCTAACTCACCTGAGCCGTCAATCGAGATGAAAAAAAGAAAGTTTACTTATTCAGAGGTTATGAAAATGACGAATAATTTTGAAAGAGTTGTAGGAGAAGGAGGATTTGGCGTTGTCTGCCACGGTACTGTAAATGGTTCTGAACAGGTAGCTGTTAAACTACTGTCTCAATCATCAACTCAAGGCTATAAAGAGTTCAAAGCAGAGGTATTTGTAGACAATCTTTCCAACTAGTATACGTTTTTTAACATCAGAAACCTAATGGATTTCTTGTTTTTATTTGCATGAGTGCATCAGGTTGATCTTCTTCTGAGAGTTCACCATACGAATTTGGTAAGCCTTGTCGGATATTGTGATGAAGGAGACCACTTGGCCCTTATCTACGAGTTTGTACCCAATGGAGACTTAAGACAACATCTGTCAGGTAAAACTTGGTGTAACATTTTCTAATGGTTATAATATGTATCATGAACTCATGAAAAAACAGTTGTTATTCCCAAAAACATGAAAGGATCTAATGATCTAATATACAGGAAAGGGAGGTAAATCCATCATCAATTGGGGTACTCGGCTAAGAATAGCTGCGGAGGCAGCACTAGGTTTGTATTACACTGTATGACTAGAATCCATTCGATTGGTTTTGCAACAATCAATTAATATGGATGAATCCATGCATAGGTTTGGAGTACTTACACATTGGATGCACACCACCAATGGTTCATAGAGATGTCAAAACTACAAATATATTGTTGGACGAGCATTATAAGGCCAAACTCGCTGATTTTGGTCTCTCTAGGTCTTTCCCAGTTGGAGGTGAATCTCATGTTTCGACGGTGATTGCTGGTACTCCTGGTTACCTTGATCCAGAGTAAGTATTAACAGTTTTAATTCTCACCACACAAACTTTTCTCTTCCTTCAACTCTGAAAGGGTGTGTATCATGTTCTTGTCTTGCAGATATTATCATACAAGCCGGTTGGGTGAGAAAAGCGATGTGTACAGTTTTGGGATTGTGTTATTAGAGATGATCACAAACCAACCAGTGATAGATCGAAACCGCCGAAAATCTCACATAACGCAATGGGTTGGGTCTGAGCTTAACAGAGGAGATATTACTAAGATCATGGATCCAAAGCTAAGCGGGGATTATGATTCTCGCTCTGCATGGAGAGCTCTTGAGCTAGCAATGTCGTGCGCTGATCCAACCTCAGCAAAACGACCAAGCATGTCTCATGTTGTTATCGAACTCAAAGAGTGTCTTGTTTCTGAAAACTCGAGGAGAAATATGAGTCGAGGAATGGATTCACTGAGTTCCCCTGAAGTAAGCATGATCTTTGATGGTGAGATGATTCCCAGAGCAAGATAGTTTGTGTTGCAAGTAACACAATTGTAAAGAAACCACTCAACGAACTTACTTGTGGCTTTGACCTGTCGTGTGCGCTGTTTGTATCTGTGAGTGCCGGTTAGGTTTTTAAACCTTCTTATGTAAATAGTTACTTTATCTATTGAAGTGTGTTCTTGTGGTCTATAGTTTCTCAAAGGGAAATAAAAATGTTGAAATCCCATTTACAGTTGATAACTTGATATACACAAACTTGGTTATGTAAATTTGGTGATATTTATAATCGAAAGAAAGCAATACCATTTATGTTCCAATATCAATATCAATACCAAAACTTGATAATACTAAACATATGATTGTCATTGTTTTTCCAATATCAATATATTAGATTTAATTTAACATTAGTATAAATCACTATGTTATAAATCTTTGTCGGTTGTAAGTAACTTGTAATTCGTGGATTTTAAAAACACGCATATGAAAATTTTCAAATAATTTGATGGCGCAATTTTATTTTACGAGTTCCAAACTATTGCCGCTTCATTCCCCCAATCCCTGGCGCCGCATGTAAACAAAAAAGATTCTTATTGGCTACTAATGCCACCACGCGGATCACGAATTACAACCGTTGATTAATATACATCGACGGTTCATACATCGTTTTATTATACACACGGATCGATATCTCAGCCGTTAGATCAACTATGCGATCTGATTGCTCAATTTATTAGACTCTCCGTCTTTGCCTATAAAACCAATTTCACATCTTGTCTCACCCAAATCAACTTAACCGTTCTTCTTCCTCTAGCATCAAATTCTCTCGAGAAAATCTAAATCTTCGTTGAAAAAATGTCGGGCCGTGGAAAGGGAGGAAAGGGTTTGGGTAAAGGAGGAGCCAAGCGTCACAGGAAGGTACTGAGAGACAACATCCAAGGAATCACCAAGCCGGCGATTCGAAGATTGGCTCGTAGAGGTGGAGTCAAGCGTATTAGTGGTCTGATCTACGAGGAGACTCGTGGGGTCCTCAAGATCTTTCTCGAGAACGTGATTCGTGATGCTGTTACTTACACCGAGCACGCTAGGAGGAAGACTGTGACCGCCATGGATGTTGTTTACGCTCTCAAGAGGCAAGGAAGGACTCTTTACGGTTTCGGCGGTTAATTGGGGTTTTTCAGATCCGCGTTTGTGTTTTCTGGGTTTCTTACTTAGGCGTATTATTCTGGAATTTTCTAATCAATTCATGTTATCTTCAGCGTTTGTGTTTTACTTTTGCTTTAGGTATGGCGTTTAGTAGTTTGCGGTAGTGTTCTCGTTATGTGTAATTACGCCTTTTCTTCTTGCTTCAGCAGTCTCTGGTGAAATATAATCGAATTAAGTTTCAATTTATCAGTGTTGTTTTTGATTTTGGCATTTAATTGGTGAAAATTTGCATCTAAATAGAAGAATCATCATGAAATTGGACGTTTGAGCTCAAATCTGCAAACATTTATTTTCTGATTTCACGATGGTTGAGGATGACGAAAGGGCGGTTCCTATGACCGGGAGATTTTCCGGAGAAGGCAATGAACTAAGCTATTGAAACGAGAAACGACGTCGCATTGGGAAATCAATTCCTTTATTAATACATAAACCGGTTTTGGTTAAGATGTAACAGCTGATGGAAAATCATATTGGTCATTGAATGAAAATCATAGTCTAATCGTTAAAAATGTACAGAAGAAAAGCTAGAGGAGAACAAATATGCTATATTCTGGTTCCAATAAAGATTCCTGGAAATTTATCATCTCTTTAGCGTCCCTCAGATTTAACCAGCTGCGAGAAAACTTTACTCATGGAAACACCTGAACTATCATCAACACTCGACTCTTCTTCCTCTTTAGCTACAGAAACGTTAACACTCGTGTCTCCATGGTTATAATCATTGAACCGTAGAGGTAGCTCACCGATCATGTTTGTGCTGTCTTCTGGATCACCATCAATGACTGCTTCTTGTAGCTGTAAAGCGTATTCAAGATTCCACAACACATCTCCCATTGATGGTCTATCAACTCCGTAATCAGCTAAACATTTCTCCCCTGTTTCACCAAACTTTCTTAGCGAATCAGGTCTGATTTTACCTCGCAGTGATGGATCAATGATATGTTCAAGATGTCCTTTCTTCTGCCATTTCATCGCCCATTCCGCTAGATTCACCATCTCTCTATTAAGTGTCGGGTCTATAACCGGTCTCGCGCAGAGAACCTCGAACATAACCACTCCAAAAGAGTAAACATCTGATTTCTCTGTGAGCTGTTGTCTTCTGAAGTATTCCGGATCAAGATATCCGAAACTTCCTTTGACCGCGGTACTCACATGAGTCTGATCGATCTCGGGTCCGGTCTTAGACAGTCCAAAGTCTGCAACTTTAGCCATGAGATTCTCGTCGAGTAATATGTTGGCGGATTTCACGTCTCTGTGAATCACGGGTTTCGCGTCACCGGTATGGAGATAATGCAATCCTCTTGCTGATCCAATGCATATCTCAAGCCGTTGCTTCCAACTTAAGCTAGGAAGATCTGAGCCGTAAAGGTGACTCTTCAATGTTCCGTTCTCCATATATTCGTAAATGAGAATCATCTCGTTGTTCTCATCGCAGTAACCGATCAGAGAAACCAAGTGGCGATGACGGAATTGAGACAGCATTTCGATTTCTGTCCTGAACTCTGCAAGTCCTTGCTGAGACTTAGGATTCGCTCTTTTAACAGCTACTTTAGTACCGTCGTGAAGCTCTCCTTTGTACACTTTACCAAAACCACCAACGCCAATTGCTCTGTTCTCGTCAAAGCTATTTGTGGCCTCTTTAACTGCTGCCAAAGGAATTCGATAACTGGAATTGGAAGCTTTACTTGCAATTGTAGTTCCATTTGAGGATGAAGTTGTTCCATTGGAAGACAACGGAATCCAAGTCTTTGAATGGTCATCCGGGTCTCGTCCTCGTTTCTTGTACAGCAAAAAGAAACCTCCTAAAACCACTAAAGCAAGCAATGAGCCAACCGTTACACCAACGATCATACCAACATTCTTCTTGGTGGTTGAACTTGAACCACTAGGCAAAAATGTCCCGTTACTGAGCTGACTTTTGGAGTTATTCATCTTCATGATCTCTAATCCGTTCAGAATCGCATTAGGGTAATCCGTGTGAAGACTCGATGGACCGATGCTCACACGGATTCTTTTAGTCTGTTTAGCTGATCCGGTGACAAAATCCATCGAGTATGCACCGCTCAAAGTGTTGGATAAATAAGAGCTTAGATCGAGATGCTCAACAACCAACATAGAGTCGACATAGAGATTGAAGTAAAGCTGGTTTAGAGCTTTACTCACAATATCGCAGAAATGAAACCGTAGAAAGTACTGAAAACCCGGGTCAACATCGAAATCCCAAGTCACATTGAACTTGCTAGACGGGTTATCCGCGGAATTCATCTCGGTGCAAGTACCATAGACAGTTCTTGGGGCAGTCTCCTCTGTAGCAAAACCGGGAACATAATTAACACTTGCAATCTTAGACACAATCTTAACTAGATTCTTCTCCACTATAAACTCAGAATCAGGCACCCAAATTCTCGAAAGAGTATCGTTACTAGGCGTAACACGCGGACCGCCCATGTTCACTCTATAAACCGTCTCAAAAGCTTGCAATGACAAGCCCTGAAACTTCCCGGGACTGCCTACAAATGAAGGATCACCAATGATCAACGTATCAGGAACCGATACAACCTCGAGCGCGTTCAGAAACGCAAACGAATCACCAGAGGGAGTAAACGTGAGCTCGAGATGATCCGTAGCTACATTCAGAGAGTACTCCTTCATAACTCTGGAATTCACAGTGAAATCACTCAAGAGGACATGTGTTTGTGAAGAAACTGAGAATATGGCTGAGCCCATTTGGAAGTTTTGGTACTGAAAAGGATTGAAATGGAGACGAACCCAGTGGCGGCCTCTAGTGATGGAGAATCTGTACTTGGAGATTCCGGTGAAGATTCTCGCCGTCTGGTAAATATCTGAATTTGAATTGCGATTACTCGCGGCGGCGAGGATTTCATTAGGAGAGGTTAGGAGGTTTGAAGCAAGCTTATCAGAGATGAACACTCGACTAGTGACAGTGACGTTGGTTGATGATCCACAGTTGATGAGGTAATTATTCACAGGTACGTATCCATGGCAGAGGCAGATTAAGCAAGAAATCGATGAAACCCAAATCAAAAATCCAAACTTTTGACCACCCATCTTCACAAAACCTGGAAATGTTTAAACAATTCGATGGAAATAGACAAAGAATCTATCAGCTAGATTCAAGGGATATACGACATGAGTACAATTAGGGATTTTGGTTTAGCAAAGATGACAACTATCTCAATAACGACAGTGATAAAAAAAAATTCATAACGGATAAAATTAAGCAGCAAAAACAACAAATTTGTTGTACCTTTAAGACAAGATTTGCGAGAAAATCAATTGTTCCATGAAAGGTACAATAGTTGACGATCAGCTGATCGATTGATTTCCAGATGTTGGCTTTTGTTTTCTTAAAATTTGTGTTTGGAACAGACTTGGTAAGTTGGTAACAACGAGAGATGTATTTTTTTTTTGTGAAATCTCTGCAAACAAGAACTGAATAGATAAAATATATATTAATTAATATTTGTATAGATGCAAACGACAAATAAATTAATATGAGCAAATGTAGGAGACGAACGGAATTGAATTGAATTGTCAGTCTGATTTTTTTCTGATGGCTAAGAAAGTTTTTTTTTGTTAGGATGGGGGACTAAGTCCCCCACAATTTATTGAAACATAACTAAAAGAAAATTACACACGAACATAACGTGGGCGCATGCACCCGATCGCATCGTCATAAACAATAGAGTCCACCACATCCGGTTTAGACTCAAGCATATAAAAACCTAAAGAAAGAGAAAACGCATAGTTAGCTAACCCGTCCGCGAGACGGTTAGCCTCCCTATACACGTGCGAAACACGGACTATCCAGTCACGCGACAGAAAGCCATAGCACAAACGCACTAGGAATGACAAAGGATGAGAATCATTAATCCATGTCTTGAGAAATCCCACCACAATCTCCGAGTCCACCTCCAACTCAACCCGTGTAATCCGCTTCTCCCAAGCTATATAGAGACTACACGCCCCATAACTCCGCCAACGGGGCTGAGCATACACCTATATTCAGAGCAAAACCACCACGCCAACTCCCATCTCCGTCTCGCAATACACCTCCCGCTGTCGCCAAACCGGGGTTGCCACGGGAAGCGCCGTCCGTGTTCAACTTAATCCAGCTTTCCCCTGGCGGTAACCATCTAATCATTCTTTCCTCTCTCCCGGCCCGCCGTGACTGATCTTGCAACATCACATGTGCCTTGGTCACTTCTTTTGTCCGATCTTTGAGGAATTGAACTATATCTCTACACTTCCAGTCTGTCCCAAACACATTCCCGCAGCGCCATTTCCAACTCCACCAAATCCCCAAAGCAAACAATGTTGACCATGGGCTGCCATCTGTGTCTGCATCATCGCCTAGGTTCCGATACAACCATTCAAGTAAGGTCTGTTCAAAGAAGCATCGTCGCTTTCTAGCTACCACTGTTCTACTCCATATTCCCCGTTGAGCTTGACAGTCTCTAAGTACATGAATGATTGACTCTTCTCCTTGCTTACAAACTAAACACAAGTCTGTATCACTCACGTGTCTTCGTTTCCTCTCCACATTAGTCATGATAACTTGATTTACCACCAACCAGACAAATACCCGGACTCTCTCGGGAGCTACCACACGCCACACCCGATCATATATTTTCTGCATGTTTGGTTTCGGGTCTGTAACTCTAGTGAGAAGAGAGTAAGCTGACTTAACTGTGAAGTACCATTCACGCTTCCTCCCCAAGAAATCCTATCTCTTGCACCCGTGACATTGTCCAGCACCACCGAGGCCAACATCAATTTAGTGTGTTCTGTAACGAACTGTGACACATAATTGAAGTCCCAACCCGAGCCTTCCCGCCATACATCACAAAATCTTATCTCCTCAAAGCCGGCTGGTAACACCGTAATCGTTAACTCACCCAGTGGCTCCTCCGCAAGCCATTTGTCACTCCAAAATCGGATTTCACGCCCATCACCAATTACCCAACTCAAACCCGGTAACACTGCTTCCCGTAACCCCAGCCCAAGGCTTCTCCAAGTTGAAGACCAAGTGCTTTTAACCCGCAGCCAAGACTTGTCGTGCACGTTACCAACCTTGTACTTACTACGTAACACTTGCGCCCATAAACTTTTCGTATCATGTAGAATTCTCCATCCTACTTTAGCCAAGAGAGCTTTATTCATGTGCTTTGCTTCCCGAATACCCAATCCACCATCTGTTTTGGGGAGACAAACTCTCTTCCAAGAAACCAAGTGCTGCCTCTTCTTCTCGGTTGTGGAACCCCAAATAAATGATCTTGACATTTTGTCCAATCTCTCTAGAGTACTTGCAGGCAAACAAATAGTACTCATAGAGTGAACTGGAATGGACGATAAAACAGCCTTTGTTAGAGTGATCCGTCCCGCAAAACTCAAAAAGCGCCCTTTCCATCCCGATAACCTTGAAGAGACTTTCTCCATAACATCGCTAAACGTCTCTTTATTAATCCTTTTATGTAGTACTGGCATACCTAAGTACTTCCCCAAATCTTTGGTAGCCTTGATACCACTCTCCTCACTTATCATTCTTGCCAAATCCATATGGACATTTTCTGAGAAAAAAAATTTTGACTTGTCTAGGCTCACTTTCTGACCAGATGCATTACAAAACATTTCCAAAACCTTCCTTATCACTCGGATTTGGGCTATAGAGGCTTCAGCAAAAAGGATAAGGTCATCCGCAAAACAAATGTGGGATAAGGTAGGACCACCACGGGAAAGATGAATTGGTTTCCATTCCTTATACGCCACTGAAATGTCAATAAGATGACATAATCTTTCCAAACATAGGACAAAGAGATATGGAGATAGCGGGTCTCCTTGTCTCAACCCTCGCGCAGGCTTAAACGGTTCAGTCTTCTCACCATTCCATAAGAGAGTCATTGATGGACCCGTGACACATTGCATAATCCACCGAATCCAAGTCACTGGCAGTCCTGCTGCTTGCCAACAAGAAAGTTAGGAAGAAGACATAATTTTTCAAATTTTACCATAAAAACTGCACAAACGTTAGTGGGGTATGTTTCATTACCGCTTTTTAATGTGTCAGCTATTCTAGAATTCAATGTACAGCCTTCTCTCTTTTCTCTCACTCCTATTTTTGAGAGAGAGAGGATGATTTCCGGTACACCGGAATTAATACGGTGATGCTTTTTGTTATAAATACGGTTCCGATTCTAATCGGTTTTTCTTTTCCGTTTTGTCGGTTTGTTTCTCCGGCTTAACCGGATAATAATTTCCGACTTAGTTTTTAACTAAGCTTTCGGATCTGTCTCTTTCTACAAGATCTCATCAGATCCCGCTTGCCATCGTTCGATCTCCCATGTCTCTCGTTGGCTTAATTCCAATCTTCAGCCAGAGTAATATCTTCGCCGCTTTCTCTGATGAGGACCTCAACTGGTCATAGGTGGAGCTTCTGCTAGGATTTTGGATTAAGGTGATGAAGATTTGAAGAATTTTCTTGCGGTTACCTCAAAACGAACGCGGAGGAAATCAATCGGTTTTGCAACGGCGAACTTTGTAGGAGGAGTTACGGTGGTGGATTCGTGAAGCCAGAGGCGGAGTTTGCTCCGGATCGTGGATTTCGGACGGCGCCAATCGTGTATCTTTCTCTTTCTCGCGTCTCAACACGTGTTGTCTACGCGGCACCTTCTTTTCTTATTCTTATCAATTTAAGTTTGATTAAGCAGCTTTAATTCTAATTAGGGTTGTAAATGTGGGAGACTGGGCTTCGTTTCACCACTTGTATAGTACACTGAGCTTTTATCAATACAAATTGTTGGCCGACAAAAAAAAAGTGTCAAGGAATAACAAAACTTTAACTTTCTCTAGACAATAATACTATTTTTTTTCTTGTTAATGTTAATTATCATATCATTTTGAGATAATTAGCTGAGAGACAAAGATTTTGGAGGAAATAAAATTTTCGGTAAAATGTTGTCGGACCCAAAACAACGTAAATAATTAGTCCACTATTTGCCCTTTTTTGCCCCTACGCGCTTCTCCATTTCGACACGATCCGGTTTCATACTTGAGACATCAATGTGTTGTGCATGGATGTCCAAAAAACTTTATAGATCTATGTATATATTTTGCATGTTGTCTCCTTCGTGTGCCGCCAATGTTTATCCTAAGCGAGATACTGCTCACTTGCTTTTTTCGACGGTTTGGATTCGATAATTGTAGTATATGCATTATAGCATACATATAAGTATACAAATGTTAATAACGCTCTATATATGTGTTTACATGTATATAAATGTTAATAATGCTCCATGTACGTGTTTTCATGTACACAAATGTTAATAACGTTCTATATATATGTATTAACATATATACATATACCGAATTATTTAACACTATAATTACTTCTAACGCTCTATGCATGTATGTGTTTATATGTATACAAATGTCAAAATCATATATAATATTCATTGGGTGTCCATGCAATTAGGTTAGTTGTTTAAACAATTCGAAGAACTATTTATTGGGTGTCCATGCAACTATGTTAGTTGTTTACATTTTTCGATTGTGTGTCGAAAAATGCATTAAATGTGTGTCGCATCATTCTTATTGTAGCCGAATAAGTCTCACTTCAACTGTAGTTCATTTAATACATGTTAGACTGTTATTTTCTTCGTTCGAAGAGGCAATAAAACAAATCCCATGCGCATGTTAACGATTGTAGCCGGTTATTTCGTAATAAATTACAAATCCGAGCCTTTTTTGAATATCTTTTGTATTGTTATCTAGGACATCCAATTCTATTGTTTTTCAGCTAATTTCCTCCCCATTTTTACTTCTGCGCTAATTCACCCTATCCAATTCACCCTATCATTTTTATCATATCCTATTATGAATTTATGATAAATCTCAAATATATATTTTGTTTATTCAAAGAAAATTAAGGAAGGTAGTGGAGGTTGGAACGAAAGTCAACATATGTGGGTTTTGTGAATTTTTATTTTTTTTAAGAATATAAACCAAACTGCCGACTGCCGACCGTATTTATGAAGAAAGCACATGATCATTTTCGGCTTCTGTTCATGCAATATAAATAGATTATCATAAGTTTACTATTCCATGTTTGTTTTGTTGGAAGTTTCATCTCAAACTTTTGTTACAAACTTACAATTGATCTTTTAAATAGCACACATCAACCAATTTATACAAGGGAGACTCACAAAAATGCCCCTTTTTCAATACCCCTTTTCAAAAATGCCCCCTTTGCTTGTCCATTTTTAAAAATACCCCTTTTTATGTACAAAATGACTAAATTACCCTTCTTTTAATAAAAGATATTACAAATATATAAGGAAATATAACAAAATTAGGTCCACAAAATACAAAATACTTTTTGGCGGGAAAAGTGATCCCTCAATTTTTCCCGCCAAAACACTTGTAAAAAACCTTTAAAATACCTTGTAAAATTTTCCCGTAAAATTTTTTCCCGCCAAAAAATTTTGCCGCCAAAATAGTTTTTTTGCGGGAAAAGTGATTCCGTAATTTT